AAGTACTGAAATGTTATTACTGCCTATGACTTTGGTTACTCTGAATATCTAACATTGAAGAACACTGAAGAAAGATGAATAGTTCATGGACCCTTACGGCAACTGCTTTGAGGCTTTTACTCAACTCATGTATTAGTACCAAGTACTGTACTGTACTTAGATGCTGCTTACTACGGCAACTGGTACACTGCAGTATTCAGCTGTATTTAAATACATGTACGTAGAGAGAAGCATTTAAGTTTGATGTCTTGCGTATCACCCAACAATTAGAAGTGGCTTGACATTATAGCTCATAAGTTTTAACACTCAATCAGAAGAAGCATCTAGGAAAAGAAGCATCAAGAGCTGCTACTTATCTTTACATGACTTAACACTGACTACTGCTGAAAAGATCTGTGGGATACTGGGATGCATGTATGCGTAATCATACTCAAAACCCTTGCTAACCTGGGCATGGCTGGCATAATTGTTTATGATGCCTTTGCATCAACACTGGCGTGACTAGGACGATTGCTCGTGACTTTCGGATAAGGAAGGCGCAACTCAATTTGGAATGGAAGTATGGAACAGCTAAGCTTGTGCCCAGAACTGGACTTGTTTGCTCACACTTCCATGCAGCATCCAGCTGAACTTGACACTGCTTTGAATCAAACTGAGTGCATTGCTGGGAGGATATGCAATTGGCAATGATTTTCTGAAAACTAACAAAATACCTGTATTTTACTAAGGTAAAATGCATGTGCTTATTTCAATATATGTTATTCACTTGAATCAAATAAATATTAGACTGTTGCATAATATCAGAACAAATTAGGGATTGATTTATAAAACGTGTAAAGGTAGTGGCAGTGAGTCGGTGGCAAAGTTACCATCACCACTATCGTCTTTTATAGTAGTACTATAGAAAATACAATGAATCGTAACTGATGTAAGGTATGAGGGTATGTTCGAGATTTTGTATATACATGAAGAGCTGTGGATATACATTAGAAGTTTTTTTCAAAGTAGTCTTTCACGTGCCAGTTTTTATGAGTCAGAAATAATTACGAAAAATAAGATAAACGGAGCGGTCCTGGCTGTTATCACTAGAGGACGTCCATCAGTCATAAAGATTCATGATTATGCTTAGCCAACATTTGGATTGCAATCGTGACTAATGGATTGTTCTGAAATTCTTTTTTGTGTGTGCATTCCCTGGAAAGAATATTTTTGTATGTGAATAAAAGAGTCTCATTGCTTGCTTCATGGTGTTAGTTCATATTCCATGCTTAATTCAAAGGATTCTTCATATGAAGATAACATCGCACTAACGTTTCGAAAGCTTGAACTTCAATTTATTTGGCCATTTGATTCAGTGCCCATTTTTCTTATTGGCATTCGGCAAGGAAATCTCTAGTTTTCCAGTTTTCAGAACAACTTTGCTTATACGAGGGAATGAAACACTCAAAGCATTGATCAATTTCAGTTGCTTGGCAAATGGCCGAAGGAAAGTAGACCATATAGCGTTTCACTTGTATCATAATCTATTCTCATTTGAAACTTAGGAATTTGTCAAAGTGGAACACTACTTTCCTTTATAAAGCTATCCTGAAACAACGGAATTATGAAACTTTAGCAGCCTTGAAGATGCAGTTCTTGTTGGTTGAGCACAAAAAGACTAATACGCAGTAGTATTTTTTATCGTACACTTATCGTACGGGCATGTTCAGATTGTAGCCAAAATAAACCTTACCAAATTTTGGCATTACCAAAATTTTAACAAGATGGCAATATTGCTAAAATTTTGGCAAGACTTCTTATGTATTTATCAAATTTGACAACAAACTAAACGTAAACATTTTTTTTGCAACTTTGCCAAAAAATGATATTATGAAAATGACATCAATCTGAACAGCCCCATAAATTTTCACTAAATTAATTTGAACGCGACATTGGAAGTGTGGATGTCATCCAAATCTACAGTACTAATATGATACAGAAATGAGAAAGTGAAAACATAACGGGCTGCTTTGACAGAAGCCGATTTTGACTTCAGTTACAGAACGGCGTTAATCAAAAGCCCGTATCAGAATGTTCAGAGGGTGCTACCCTGATGTTTACAGCAAGTCAATAACCAAGAAAACCTTCCTCTAATTAATTTTAAAAAATGAAAGGAGGGTCTTTTTCAGATCTGATAAGCAGATTATTCAAGAATTCTGTCGAAGGGTAGCAGGTGATAGATCATATATGAGCAGCAGTTTTTTTTCCCCAAAAGATAAGGGCAAAACACTATGCCAACAGCTTCTGAAGTCTGAACAATCTGTGTACCGCTGAAAGAAACACCACCACCGGTTTTCAGTCTTTCTAATGAAGCTTCAGCATTAGCTAAGGTGTCAGCTGATTGCTGAGTCTTAATTACACCGGCATTAGTCCATCATCACTGACTCAATTGTCTACTAATGATGCTTGTTAGTTTGTAGTAATAGGCCCATCTCTGAAAGCCTGAAAGCAAGTGTCACCTACAGAGCATAATATGGCCACTGAAGGCTTACCTTCAGTTCTTTAATTAATCCAGATGGAGGTTGTCAGTGGAGAGGTAATTAAACCTCACTGCCTAGTAGATGAATAAAGGATTAGAAATTAGTGGCAGATTTCTCTGCATAATTGTAAGCATGATGCTTACAAAGATTTGTGTAGAAGTGGGTGCATGTTGTGGTGTGGATTTCTCAGTAGAATGCTGATGGCCTTATTATGGCTTGAGACAGAAGGAACATACATGCCATGGCTCATCATACTGGTAATCAAAGTTGTTGCCAGTGATGCTTGGTGATTAGGTCTCATGTCAATCAAGCTTATCCAAGTTGATGATAATAGTTTTATTCTTTTGTATGCAATGTGAATCAAAACGGGGTGTTTTCTAAGATCAGGATTTGCCCTAGCGGCCTACCTAGCAGGTGTTCAGAATGTTTCGTTCTGCTTGCTTTTAGTTTAGGATGTTCCCCAGCCTAACAGAGACATGCTTTGGACAAGCAAAGTTCGTTTCAAAACAAGTCGTGGTCTAATTAATTTGCTCTTGACAAATTTCAGTACTGAGACGAAACAGCGACATATATATCTCCTAACTAATATTGTTTGTCGTGTGTCTCGTGTTTATATCAGTGCGAATAAAAGCTTGAAAGGAAATTGTCAACAAGGGAAACCATCACTATTAGTTTGTTCTGCCTGTCCGAGCTTAAGTTAAAAGCAATATGAAAATCCTAACTAACAGCTCTAAGAAATTGAAACATTACATCAGGTAGGTATAAGCTAACACTTGTTTCTAAACAATATTTCAAGTGATAATCTGGATACACGATTTTTTTTTTTTGCCAGGCCGGCCAAGAAAGGCCAACCAAATTTACTTAAGATTGAAGAATATATACAAATATACAAAGTTATAACTTCAACAAAAAGCTGTCGAAGTAATGGAAGTTGTCACCGGAGCAACTTCCCAAAAGCAAAAGATTACACTAAGAGACTACTCTCCTATATTTTTGAAAACCCCAGCTTCCTTCCAAATCGCCACTTCCTATTTGATTGAACCAAACAGGAAACCGGCTGAGCGCCGCTGGTTTTGAAACACACGCGCATTTCTTTCCTTCTAAACCATCCAACAAACAAGCAGCACAAGGCTGTCAATGGCGTCCCTGTAGTTGTTCCGAAAATTTTGCCGCATCGCTAACCACCATTCGCCCAAGTCCAAGCCTGACTCAGATGGCAGCAGAAAGCCAACCCCAATCCAGCCCTTGATCATTCTCCACACCCTGGTCGTGTAGGTGCAAGACACAAATAGGTGTTCAAAATCTTCATCACCCACCAAGCAAAGTTGGCAAACCTGCTGGTGCGGCCAGCCACGCTTACTTAGATTATCCGCCGTGAGGCATCGCCCTTTTTCTGCCAACCACATAAAGAATTTCACCTTTGACGGCGCTCTTGTTTGCCAAATCAGAGTACCACATCGCGCCACCGTGTTTGTCATGAAGAATATGCTGTAGGCCGAGCAGGGAGTGTATTATCCATTTGGTGCCCACTTCCAGATTGTCTCATCTTCCTCCCCATCTTGAAGTTGCACCCCCTGGACCGCGTCCCAAATCTGAAAGTATTCCCCAATTGCGCGATTGGAGGATGCCCCCTTGATGTCTCGTACCCACCTGTGGTTCAGAAGCCCTCGTGCCACCGTCAAGCCCGAGCGCTCGACATGGCTGAAGTTCAAGGGGAATCTCGACTTTATGCTCCCCACCGGCAACCAGTCCGCCAACCAAAATTTGGTGTTCTTCCCATCACCCAACACTTGTCTCGTTCCTGCGAGGTAGAGGTCTTGCAAGTCTTTCGACTGATCTATTGGAACTGTTGTCCACGGCCTGTCTTGTTGTTCCCCCTTTTTACCAACCACTTGCTTTATTTCGACACGATTATTTAAGAAAGAAGCTAACCGTGCTTTATTTCTTCCTTTATTCAATGTCGTCAGAATACTACTCAAGTTCGTCAATGGAATTAGAATATATGGAGTCAAATCAAAACTTGACTTGACAAACTAAGTTTTGTTGCAGTTACATCAAATATTGAAATGCAGCTTGGAGGTATTGTATTGTCACATGCAACAATTTTCCAAGTAGTTCTCAATGAAAAGACCTGAAGACGGTAGAAAGGTGTACACTTTGTTTTCTGATTAAATCATCATTCGTAGTGTCTAAGCCAAACAAAGAATATAAGAATCCAACATGTGCTAAATACGATGTCATAAAATACGTATAAGGGTATGGTAGATTGGTAGGTTGTCGTGCAAAATTTAATCAGCACATGTCTGTATAGCGGAACAAAGACAGACATCGTTTCACTTATGTTGATTATAAGCCATAACGGTTTGTTTACGTCGGGGCGTAATTCTCACCAAGAACAACCTTGCTAAAAGAAATTGGAAAGGCAGCAAGACATGTTGTTTCTGTCACAAGGATAAAACTATCCAACATTTATTCTTTCAATGCCGCTTATCTCGCTTGGTGTGGTCTGTAATTCATTTGGCTTCTAATCTGAAACCTCCTCGCAATGTTGGTCATATGTTTGGGAGTTGGCTATCATGTGTCCCCAAAGAAATGAGGAATCTGCTTTTGATGGGTGCAACAGCTCTGTGTTGGTCCATTTGGCTAAGCAGGAATGGAGTAATTTTTGATAACAAAATGGTGTCTTCTCCTTTGCAGGTTATCACCTTAGTTACCCGGTGGCTACGTACCTGGGCTATCCTCCACCAACTGGGACCGCGGGATACTATTATAGTGGTATCTCGATGTTTGGACCAGGTGGCACAGGAGATTTTTACCCAGAAGCATGGGTAGCGGTCTAGTCTACGGATTGATAGCCACTAAGATATACGGTGGTATCTCGACAGTTGGACCAGGTGGCACAGGAGTTTTTTTACCCAGGAGCATGGGTGGCGACCTAGCCTACGGATTGATAGCCACTAAGATATATGTTTCTGTCAAACTTTTATGCTTGGGAGATGTTCTAGTTGTTTCTTTCTTCTTTTCTGGCTGTGTGCATTTTATGCAGAGGCCGGGGATGACTCAGTTTGTTTGTATCATCTTGATATAACTAACTGAGTCTAAATAAAGCTTCCATTATCTAAAAAATAACGGTTTATTAGCAACAAAAATATGATTTGTGCATGAAACTTATATATACATGTTGTTAACAATTTAAAAGAAAACAGTGAAAAAAATTACGATGAAAAACAATTCCTAAAATTAACTCTAAAATTAATAAAATTTAAATTTAAATGCGGCTTATAAGCTGAAGGGTAAAGTGGCTTTTGTTCAGACAAATCTACAGTAGTCATACTTCTAATCATACTGACCGAAATTTTAACTCTCCTAAAGTCCTAATCTTACCATGAAAAATAACTTAATATTATGCTACGTATTGAAATATCCAGGAACTTCTCCATTAACCAATAAAATTTCAGTATTATCTGTTCAGTGACTGGATAGGAGAGCAGAATGATGCACATGTTTGCACAACCACCTACAATAGTCGTCGCCTAAGGAAGGACCTCTCTACTTTCTGGTGATGACGCACATCAGAAATTGAGGCGTACAAACACAAGTTCAAAGTTCAGAAAAATGGACATCTGCGCTCACTAGGACACAAAAGTTCAGTCCCAGTTGTGAGTAGTGACAACAACATGACGATGTCAGTTACACCTAAAAGTTCACTAAACATATATCCTCAAGGTTTGAGCAAATGAGCAGTTACCTAATCCATCACTAGCAAAGTAAAATAGAAGAGTGAAACATTGCTTCTTATCATGAAATTGATACACAGCACAAAGCATGCAGTACTCAAATGCTCATGGAAACAAAGTTTAAGGCATATGGCACTTTAGCAAATCTGAACAAAATAGCAGAACAAAACAGCAGATTCTGGCCATATATATAGTGGTTCTAGAGATACTATCCAGTGCATTGTGAGAATTTCAGTTTTCACCTAGGTGGCAGGAGATTGGGCAGGATGATCAGGAGGCGGCTTCGGTCGCGGCACGTAAGGAAGGAGAGGAGTGCCATGCTCAATTGGACCTGCCCCGATAGTCGCCTTGGAGCTTGGACTTGGATCAACAGGTCGGTAGTCATCGATCCTGACATTTTCCAAGGCCCTTGTCTTTCGGTTAGTAGAAGAAAGTCTTCTTTCCTGAGAAAGATAGATGAAGGAACACGAGTTATGTAGAAGTACAAGTACTGGATTGCCATTATGGAACTGGAGAAAACTTTCCAACTAACTTTAGTATTTCTTATAATAAGAAAATAAAATCAACATCAAGGGAAATATATACAGCTAGTATGTTTTCCATTTTCTGCCAGAAACTGAAAGTGCACACCTGTAATCTCCTGCCGTTTAGCTCAATGCTTCCATAGGTTTGATGATCTGCTATGAATGTAGCAAAAATGTCATCCATTGTCAGTACATTGTTTATTGCCACCACATAATCTAAACAAACAAATGCTAAAACGATGAGCCTACATACAAAGGACTGAAGAAACCAGAACCAGAGGCAGCCAACGAACAGAAGTGGGTACAGCAAAAACCCAAGTACAACTGATGGAAATCCAAACATTCATTCGAAGTGCAGAATGAATCTTACCTACGCCTACGGTACCTAAGAACGTTGGAATGTCAATAGCATCACATCTCATTCACAATCTTTTCAGAGATCCAGCATCAAACATGAACCAAGAACCAATGGCAGATATAACCGCTAAAGCTAAAGGTACAGTAGCTATCACTTTTCACTCAACCAATCAAGACAAAGTAAAAGAGGACAGGAACCACACGAACCAAGTGAGTGACAGGAGAAAAACACAAAGAGGGCAAGAGACAGAGCAGAGAGAGCCATCGTTTTCTTTGTGTACCTGAGGATGTCGTAGTGCTTCTTCTTGCATCCAAAGCGATCCCTAGCAACATGTTTCCTCCTCCAAGAAATGCAAAGAGTAGCAAAACCAACAGAGGAAGACGCTTCATCTTCATCTCCCCTGCAACACCGTAACTTCAGATGCTTCTGCACCTTCCTCCTCTCGCTGCTTCCTCTTTCAAAAGATAACGAAAGGTCCATGCGTGATGTGATTTCATTTGCATTGATCGTAAGGTGTCAGTACATGATTAAAAAAATTGATGTGATAAGACGGCAGAATTTATGGTCTCGCCAACACCGAGGAGCAGCAGCAGAAAAAATGGCCACCATGCATTCCTCTGTTGCCAGCACCTCGCATTAATTGCCAACCGTGCAACATGTACAGTAGCGCAGGAGTATCATATGTCCAGGTTTTTCGATGCTCAGGGCTTGTTAGGCAGAGCTCCAGCTCCACCCCTCCTGGAGCTGGAGCTCAGCCAAATAGTTTCAGCTCCACCAAAACTGGAAGTGGAGCTGGGTAGAGCTCTCTCACAAAATGAACTAGAGTTGTAGAGCTAGGTTTATGCAACTCCACAACTCCACTCCAGACTCAACTCCTGGAGTTAAATTTAGGAGTTGGAGCTGTACCAAACAGGCCCTCATAAACTTCAGATACAGGGGACACAGAAATCTGACTGCAAGATTGACAGTACAGGGAGTTGAATCAAAGCATCAGAACGAAGTATATAAATCCACAAAAATGACAACCTCAGCAAAAATCTTCAGAGCTGAAGCTTGTAAATAACAAAATGAAATCACATTTGATACACTAGTATTACAAGGGTATAGGAAGAATGCCGGCACGGCGTTATAATTCTTTTCCCATATGCTCTTCATGCTGCCCATCCAGTGATGGTTTAAACTTTGTCACTGTTCCAGAATTTCTAAACGATCCCTATCTAATGTCATCTATTCGGGATGATGTCGTTGGAGCCTTCTAGATCACAAGAGCGTTCAGGACAATCCAGCTTACCCCACCGTGCATTTACTCTCTGGCAAGGAAATATAGGTTTTCCAAGGCTGCAAAAGACAACCACAAAACGCTCAGATATTGTGAATAATCTCATCATGGGAGGGCAGGAGGCCATGAGATTCAGCAAAATCATGATGTTGTGAATGAAAACATCTATACTTCAAAACACATACCCCCTTTATGGTAAAAGGGTGCCTTAATTTTCCTCTTTTTGGCTTTGAGACCTTATTTTTGCAGCAACTCTATACGAACAAATTAACAATGCAATACCTTAAGAAAGTTCCTTTCGGAATGGCAAGTCAACAGTTCAAACTTGACAATATGGACTTACCTTCGATTGACCACATTGTGCACGTAGCATAACCACTGAGAGAATTCAGCCTGAGATCCTGCCTGCACAGGATTTGCTCTAAGCAAAAAGAACATAAAGAAGTCAGTTCAATATTGTGCCGAGACAGTTTATTGTTGCTACATTGAGCACAAACATGAAAATTTAAGGGCAGCACAAGAAAAAAACAGAACAACAGAAATTGGCAGCTGGATATAACTGGAACATAATAAACTATGACAGCAAAAACGACATTATAACCATAAAAGTAAATGAAAAATAGCTATAAGAGAAATGAGCTTATAAATGGATTGTTACATCCAATTCCCACATCCCATTATCACCATAGCTTCTGTAAATCATATTCCCAAAAGGTACAGATGGTGTAAAATAACTAAAAAGTTTTTAAACGAGTTTGTGGATGCATAGCTTTAGAATATAAAAGATCCAGAAGCACAGTTTCATAATGCAAAAGTACAAAGAATTTATAGTTCCTACATGATGTTATATCTCGCCCTAAAACAATGAATGGATAAAGGTTGATAATGTATTACATACCAACATTTCAACAAAACATAGTCCTGTCACACAGAAACACATCTCGAGGAATCAAACTATCAAAATGGATACTATAATTTATGCTAGTGGTTGGAGAGCATTTCTTACTTTAAAACTTCTTTGAAGTGTTCCGCACATTCTTTGCAAGGATAGAGTCTAGATATTATAGCCATCTGAACATAAAAAGCAGCAGAAATGTGACCTTGCATGAACCAAGTAACCAAGCAAAAGGAATAATGAGATGCAGAAAAATGTAATTCTTCAGGAAATAATAAAATAATTCCTCTTCGTTAAAGCGAGTAAAAAACCAGTGAACGAACTTCCCATTATTCATCATGGATTGAGGCTCAATTTGCAGTTGTTGTGCTGGCCTATGCTTATTTTTTAAGTTTTCATGGAACAATTTGTAAAACTCAGTTATCCAATTTGGTAGACTCATCCATCAAATTTCAACTCAGATGTTTTATATGATGATAATGCATCTGTATGCACCATGATTGAGAAAAAAAAATAACAGCTAGCCAAACACCCATATATCTAAATGAGGTTCAATCAAATGAGATAGTCGATTCCAAACGAAACCTTAGCAGTAGTCGTAACATACTGCCACCCATTTTCAACGATGCAAAGTATAACATTTATTTGTCAAGCAATGTAGTGGTAATTCATAACTGTGCTAGACCAAAAGCACAAAACACTTTCTAAAAATGTCTAAGCTCAAAGTTAGCGGGGAATGAACCAGGAGAACACCTAGAACAAAGCCTGCATCCTGTAGCAACAAAATCACGAGATTACCATGCTGGAACTTTACTGTGCAGTCTTAAAGTAATCTTGAATATTTCAAGGCACATAAAGAATAAATTAAATACAAGCTATATCTTAAACAGGATCCATTGCAGGAGAATACAAGGCCCCCAAGATAAACATCAAGAAAGTGCCTTTTCTAAGATTCAACAATCCTGTAGTTAGCCGTGACAAATTACGAGTGGGTAGCGACAGCAAGGTCCTCATGTTTCCCCCAAAATCAAAACAAGGGACTTTACCATACTTCCACCCAAACTCTAGAGAGATATCACTAACTGTTTATCCTGCTTAATGCTTACCAGCTCTCTCGCATCGCGTCTTTGTTGCCTGGTTGGTTCGTCAGGAAACTGAAAGACAATTCACAAATACAAACACGAGTTAACCGTAGTCAATACCAGACTGCGTACTTTCAACAACTTGCAGCCTATTCACAAGTATGTCAATCAATCTAACAAATGAGTCACGGTTCGTTGATGTGCTCTAAATTCACCCCTGATGCTACAGAACTTACTAGTGCGAGGTAAGTACATAAAAAGCTTTCATATGCTCTGTTGTGCTACTCACAGAGGCAAAAGATCGAGCACCTGCGCTGCGATGGTGTGGAGCAGCATCCACGTGGCCCTGCCGACCTCCTCCTTGGTCAGGGGCGCCGCCTTCGAATCCTTCTGCCGCGCATTTCACCCCCACAACAACACAAGTTCAGAAACCCCCTCCGCCACAATACAGCAACGGAGAGATAACGCAATGAAGGCAAAAAAAAAAAAACGGAGGGATTACCTTGAGGACCTCCGGTGGCGGCGGCGGCGGCGACGGCGGGGTGGGCGGAGGGGAGAGGGAGAGGGAGAGGAGGGGGCGGAGGCGTGCTTCGTCGGGCGCGGCGTCGGGGGCAATGAGGAGGCGGCGGGAGAAGGCCGCGACGGTGTGGACGACGGGCTCCAGCGGGTTGGAGCCCCACCCCCACGCTGGAGGCGGCATCGCGGCTCGCGTGGAAATCGTACGACGACGGCGACGGCGGCGGCTGCGGATGGGTGAAGCCGTAAGCGAGGTCGACGTCGACGAGGAGGAGAAACTCGAGGGCGTGCGGTGCGGAGGGCGTGACCGCGTGAGAGGGGGGAGACAGCTAGGAAGGGAGGAGGGAGGGGAAGGCGAAAACGGCAAAACCGGTGCGTTTCCAGGAGGAACCAGTTGATGGATTTGGACGGTGGTGTTCCCGTTTCACGTTGGTCCGTGGGCCGCCCGCGGGCCTCGTTTGTGCATGCCGTGTTGCGTCGAAAACGTGCGGTGCGGTTTGGCGGCGATTCCGGCCCCGATAGAAAGTTTCGGTGCGGCCCGGTTTCGACACTTCGGCACAAAACTTCAAAACTACGATATATTTCATCTAATTTTGTTAGATGAAATATATCCTACTACGAATCTGATATGCTAAAATATATCTCATACAATCAAAACTTCTTGTATTTTGGAACAAAAGGTATTTTGGAACAAAGGGAGTATTGTAGAGCAGAAATATTATTTGCTAAAATGTGGTCTGGTAGATATTAGCTGACATAGTTTCTCCTCTTTCCAACTTTTACTCCCTAATTTTTTGCGTACACGTTTTCGGATCTATACTACCTCCGTTTCAAAATATAGCTACGTCTACCGTGCATAGTCTCAAGATGAAGTTATTTCTTCACCTATCATCTCCTCTCAATCAATCATAACCATTCTCCAATTGATTTTTTTTCACTTTTCTCTTCTCAATCAATCACAACCTTTCTCATTTACACATATTTCAATACCCATAGACAACTCAGAATCTTACATTTTAGTATGGATGAAATATTTTTTTGCAAAAAAAATCTATATGAAAATTACTTTAATAAAATCATATGAATCTAATTTTCAAGTTTTCTTAGCTAATACTTAATTAATCATGCTTTAACGAGTCACCCTATTTTTTGCACGGGAAAAATAAGTTCTCAACCTCGGCTAACAAACACAGCCTAATTCCACATAACCGTCATTTTTGCTCATTAAGTGCTCGTAGGGTCAAAAGTACAGCCCTGGTACTACACTTCCCTGCGATCAGCTGGACAAGAACCTCTTCGTTGGGGCAACGACAATAATTCTGGGGGACGGGAAAACAACCAGCTTCTAGGACTCGCACTGGCTCGAGAATAAGAGACCCGAGGATATCGCTCCAGCTATCTTGGCGGCCTCCAAACAAATAACCAGGACTGTGCACGAGGCTCTTGCCCTTAACACCTGGATTCGGGATATTGACCTACTGCGTACTATAGATGCAGACCATCTATGCTAGTACGTTTGTCTATGAACCATGATACAATGCGTTGGCCCTCTAACCGACCTAAAGGACCTCGTCGTATGGAAGCTGACGGCAATGGAATCTACTCTTCCAGCACGGCGTAGAGGCTACAACTCCTTGGAGCGGCGGGACGATTTACAACCAGACCATTTGGAAGTGTTGAGCTCCACCTAAATGTAAGTTCTTCTTCTGGCTCATTATTTAAAACAGAGTCTAAACGGCGGATAGGCTAAAAGAGGTGGTGGGCCAATCAACATATTTGCCCCCTTTGTCGCAAAGTACCGGATCTGTCCAAAAGAATCTGGACTGAAATGTTGATTGGCCCACCCTCCCTAGATTGCATGTGTAAAGTTCCAATTGCATACTGTCCAGAAGAATCTAGGCTGAAATATAACGGTGGACAGGAGCAGATCTCCGATTGCAAGAGTCGGACGGATGTGCGACAGTTGAATAACGGTAGTACAAAATCTCACGCACGATGAGCTGCTGGTAATTATGGTGCGAACGAAATGCCAAGATTTTTAGGCATGTTGCCTCCACTCCCACCACCATCATTGCCAAAATCAAAGAGGAGGCGCATACTTGGATCACAGTGGGAGCGATAAAAATCACAGAGCTAATCCCTACAGGAGAGTAGCGCCTTATTGTTTAATTTTGCGTGCCCGTTTGTTTTTGTCCCACTCTCTGTAAATACTTTACCATTTTATTCCTGCTCTATCACTATAAAGGCCTGGTTTAGTTCCCAAAAATGTCACATCAAATATTTGGACACATGCATTGAGCATTAAATATAGATAAAAATAAAAACTAATTGCACAGTTTGCATGGGAATCGCGAGACGAATCTTTTAAACCTAACTAATCCATGATTAGCCATAAAATGCTATAGTAACCCACATGTGCTAATGATAGCTTAATTAGGCTCAAAAGATTCGTCTCGTGGTTTACAGGCGAGTTATGAAATTAGTTTTTTCATTCATGTCCGAGAACCCCTTCCGACATCCGGTCAAACATTCGATGTGACACTTAATTTTTTTTTTCGCAAACTAAACAGGACCAAAGTGGCGAAACTTTTGCCCTTCATTCAGAAAAAAGTACAGCCCATAGCCGTCGGTCCATGTCTTTTTCACGACTAAGTGAGGAGCACGATGCATCGATCGAGCGGGACATGGTCTGAGATGTTCTCTGTAACACGCCACGCATGACGAATGGGTACAATATTGACAATTAATTAGGCCCGACGGTAACGTTCACGCAGGACCAGAAAAAAAAAACCCTCAAAAAAATAGCCCGTCCGACGGCCATTACGTGACCGGAACCAGGGGCGCAAAACCGAAAGCGACGCCGCGGCCCCGTCCGTCCACCATCCAACCAACCAACGGCGGATCCGTCGAATCGCCGACGCGCGCGAGACCGCGAACCGCGAGACACCGATACCCAGCAGCAGTGGCACCTGCACGGCTGCACAGCAGCGCAGGCACAGGCGTGCGTATGCATAAGCCGTACGCCCAGGCAACGCGCCAATGGACGAGAGAGACGGTGGCTGTGACTTGCTGTTGGGGCCTCAACATCAGCGAGGCATTTCATTTCAGTACCAGTCAGGAGGCAGCAGCTGCCGGCCTCGTGACGGCGCCCAGTGCATACTACGTGACAGGGCCCGGCAGAGGCAGGTCGAGGTTGACGGTGATGAACAGATATTTCGGATGCATGCATGGGTGCAGCCATGCGTTTAAGCCTGCTAATGGGTTGGGATAAAGTGAGTAAAATGGATTGTTTTTAAGTTTGGGTTGTCTTTGGTTGGATAGAAATGGGCTGAGGAGGCTAATGGGTTGGAGCGGATTGGTCCACATGTGGAAATGGATTGGATTGGTTTGGTTTTTAATAGGTTGGGTTGAAGTGGGTAAAATGGATTGGTTAATGGGTTGGAGCGGATTGGTCCACATGTGGAAATGGATTGGATTGGTTTGGTTTTTAATAGGTTGGGTTGAAGCGGGTAAAATGGATTGGTTTTAAGTTTGGGTTGTCTTTGGTTGGATGGAAATGGGCTGAGGACTGGACCAATCTGCTCCAACCCATGCTCCAACCCAATAGCCTCCTCAGCACATTTCCATCCAACCAAAGACAACCCAAACTTAAAACCAATCCATTTTACCCACTTCAACCCAACCCATTAGCAGGCTTATCCTCAACTACCCCCAACTTCTAACTTTCCATCACATCACATCTAAAACTTTTTTACACATATAAACTTTTAACTTTTATTTTAAACTTTTAACTTTTTTTTTCAGGAACTAAACACAGCCGTAGTAAACGTTACACCTTCAGAGAGCTAATAGTGAACACATACCTTGCTGCCGACACAGACGAGCATACTCACATATACGCGACATTGGATACCCAACACACACGCAGAGACTTTTGACAACGTATCTGGCCGTTGTCACGTCTCTGTCAACCACGGCAGGCCGCAACTCATAGATGCCAATGGTATCACCGAATTTGCACCTCTAATGTTTTGGAATGTTCGAATTGTTTGCGCGCGTCAAAGAACAATTAACAAACCATGAATCTCAGCTGCTTATGGCCCCGAACACACACACACACACGAGGAGAGGACGGTCTTAACGCATCCGGGAATTCAGAATCGACATGGCCTCTCTTTCAAGCTGGTCAGCTAATACCAACCGTCCGAATTAACAAACTCCCACGCAATTGGTAATCAAAGGGGCTTGGTTAAGCTAACTGGCTTTTGTAAACACTTACGCTTACTTTACTGTATTCTCCAGACAAAAGCTTGGCAGACTTTGCTTTACTGTTTTTTTTTCTCATACGAGATGGCTGCAGCAGGAGCAGCCATCCACAGTACTCTAGTATAGTGGTCTCCTATCAATTATTATAGCCTTCAAAAACAAATAAAGCAGATCTAATCATGACGCCGTTTTATTGGAAAAAGGAACGTCTGACAAATGTGCCTAATTAGGCCGCTTAAACGATCATATGGATGAGCTATTGACAAATAGAAGATGAAACCATGCGTGTTGCTACGGAAAATAAATAAACAAAGCAAAATCAATACTAATTGGGTAAATACCTACAGTTTGATAGGCAAGAATAAACATAAACTGTATAAATTAGATTGATTGGTTGAGTTTTCTTATAACGTGGCCTAACATTATACTCCCTCTGTATCAAAATATAAGGGATTTTGGAGGGATGAGATACTTTTTAGTACTGTCTAGATTTGTGGTACTAGAAAGTATTACGTCACTCAAAAACCAAACCTCTTGTATTATAGGACGGATGGAGTAAGAGTAAATGTTATCAATGTGTTGTATTTATATAGAAAGAAAGAACGCCTAAAGTACAACATGCCGCCTTTCATCACAAATTAACTGTAGTTTAACTTGCCACATTTTCAGAATTGAATTTTTAACCCTGATTTGTTTTCCCAAAATTTAGCGTGATTACGAAAGTGCTGTTCAATAATACATAATAGAGTATCAGTTTGACAGCAACTCTTGTGGCTGACAATTTTGAGCCCGGGCAGGGACAACAGTATCCTAGGCTCTAATAGCAGAATCACAGAGCCATCGGAACCTGTCGTTGCCAATGGCCGGATAGGTTTAGTTTTTAGCATTAAAAACCACTGGAGTAGCTAGGAGTGACATCGACTTTTATCAAGAGGAGCTAAAGGCGAAAAGCCAGTCCAACGACCGAAAGCTCAGAGGATTTCTTTTTCTTTTTTAAAAGATGAATACTTACGGCTTAAGTTACTGATTTTAGACGTTAACAAGATATCAGCAGTGATCAGTGCAATTAGTTGAAGTGTGATTCAATCATTCAAGGGAGATATATACTTGTAGGAGAAAAAGGAGGCAATTATTGATGTGTATCTGACAGTATGAAGCATCGCGATTGGAGTGTCCTCAGCAAGCACCGAAAACTACAGAACAAAACACTGTACTTACATTTACAATAAGGCGATGTTTTTTCTTAAAAAAAAAAGAGGCGTCAAAACCATTGTAAATCATTGTGTGAGTGGTACTCAGAGAACATAATTTGATTTTCTAGGACAGTATTAAGTGGCTAGCTTTGGTCGGCAGTCAGTCAATAGCCTAATAGTATAACTTGGCATAATCAATTTTAAAGTAGCAACTAGCAAGTGTCCATACGAGATCTTTTAATCCCCAACTCACTTGTTCCAATCTTGATAATCTTTTTCTGAACTGTTGAGTGGCGCCTCTGCAGACTGGAGTCTGAACAAGCACGTTTCAGGATTGAGGTTTAACTGAGTTTCGATCAAATCTTCTTCTTCTCTTTCTTTTAGCAAAAGGAACTAAATTTTAATCCTAACCCAAACGTTTCCGGATCAGAGCACCATCAAAAACTAAAACTAGATAGGAAATTCAAGATGAAATTGCAAACAAGAAAGTAGTAATAATCTGAAACAGCTCTGTTCATTCACATACCCCAAGTATCATCTAGGCGGATCGATACAAGAGGAGGAATCGATTACTACATCTCAGAGCCCAGTAGTGAGACGGAGAAAAGAAAAAAAAAGGAAGAAAAAAAAAATCAAAGAGAAGTCGCGAAGAGAAGAGGACGAGCTAAGCCACAGCCACAAGCCCACAAGGGAGACCTTCTAGAAGCCCGCGCAGAGGCAGATGCTCTCGGTCCACGGCCGCGGCTGCCGGAACCGGCTGTGCCTCCTCGCCGGCGGCGCCGCCCGCCCCGCCCCCGCCCCCGCCGTGCTGGTGCGGCTCAGCATCTCCCACATCACGCGCACGTCCTCGTACTCGCACGTGCTCACCTCCTGCCTCAGCCTCCACAGCCCTGCGACCAAACAAACCCAAAAAAACATCGCCGGAGTTAGCCCCCACGTACGCCGCCTCCGCCTCCGCCGCCCAACCAAAAACCACCCCGTCTCGCCGCCTTACCTGTCTGCCGAACCCCGAATCGGGCGGCGACGCCGAGCCACGCCCTCCTCACCGGAAGCACGACGCGGTCCCACCAGTACCCCATCGCCGGCGATCGATATCCTCCTCCTCCTCGTCGTCGTCGGCGACCACCGCACAGCCTCGCCTCCCCTCGATTGGGGCCTGGTCGTCTCGGCGTCCCGAATTTGTACACGCGGGTTGGGGGGAGAAAAAAAACCAACCCACTGTAACCACACCCTCACTCACACACTGACGACGCGGGCCCACCCTCGGAAAGCTTCTGCGGGCCCGGGGTGTCAGTGGCAGAGGTAGGTACGGTGGTTGTGGGGAGTTTGTTACGGGGGTGGGCGGCGTGCACGTGCCTGAATGCGGTAGGCGATGGCGCACACGTAGGCGCGGGGATGGGGGTTGCTTGCTGATAAAGTGGGGCCCAGGTGGATTCATGCGCAGTCGTAACTGCTTGGTATGTGGCAGTTGAGTGGTGGTTACGGCGGCGTGGCAGTAGACAGTAGTAGTAGTGTGGAAGTGGACGGAGTTAGGTCACCCGCGCTGGGTTGGGGTGACGCTGCGAAGCTACTGCACCCTGCCATCATGATCTATCCAGGTTTAGTATCCGTGCGGTTATCACAGATATCGTATGCGGTAATCTTTTTAGTTTTTAAAATCATACTATATCTTACGATAATCATCAAAAGAGTGATGATAACTTCACTCAAAACGGTTTGGTAAATTTAGATCCATCTCTACTGGTTCTAAAGTACAAAACACGGTAATCTTCTCAGTTTTTAAAATTATAGTATATCTTGCGATAATCATTAAACCATGAGAGTGACGGTAACTTCACCAAAAACGGTTTGGATCCATCTCCATCGGTTCAAAAGTACAAAGCATTTTTTAAAATTTTAAGTACTTATAATAGCAGTGAGCCGTGATTTTTTAATGATGATTCTGAGTTTCTGACTACTCATATTATTGTTGCCGGGTCAGAAATATTTCATCTCTTGTAAAATACAAGCATTTATGAAAACTTTAGTACAAATAAATATTAAGATAAGTATTGGTTAAAATGAAAAGTAAGTAGACAAATTAAATGGGAAAGATGACCATCGGTTGAAATGAGAAAACTGATGCTTGTATTATAGTATAAATTCTAAATTCTAAAAATATTTATATTCTGTAACAAAGTGGGTAGCAATCAGCCAATCACTACGGCACTAGTCACCTCTCTTGCCGTCTTCTATTTCGCTTTGAGATTCGTGCACAAAGTTCACGTCGCATTTTTAATTATCTGGTGTTAACTCGTAATCAACTGGTGATACGCAAACATCAAGCTGATCGTTGAGCTGAGCAGAGGCAGGGAAACATTTGGTTAAGGCCCGGAAATTCTTGACGTGCGACGAGATGAACGGGGCGGCGCTTGTTGCAGGTGAGCAGTCGCATGCACGGCCATACCTTTATTGCTAAAATGACAACTTGTGCAAATTGCGACTCCCGGATCAGTGTATATAATTCTGAAGAAAAAGCCTACAAATCGTCACGCTGCTTAGGCAAAAAGAAAATAAGAAAAGGAACAGATATCTCGTTAAGCCATATATATAAATCGATGGGACATTTTATACAGGTTGATCTAGACATGATAACAATTACTCCTAACAAACAAGAACGTGAACGTGTTAACGTGAGAGTTGAGAATCGCGTGCGGAACAGTTTTGGTCGTCGAGCTGAAAGGAAGATCGATATATCAATCACGCATTGGAAGAAAACTCCAAACTCAATGGAGGGAACTTGGAAAGGAACAATAAGATTGACCGTATAGAAATGCAAGGGCTAGTTGGTCTAATTCTGTCTACTGTCTACTGGCTCCCGTTCCATCCACATGTTTATTTTTTTTCTAGAACTCCATCCACATGCTGGAAACGAAGTTTTCTACGTACTCCTACTTCAAAAAGGGAAAACACATATCCCATATGAGTGGCTAAAGCAGTAGTCAGATCTACCAACAAGTCTCGGAACGTGAGATTAGACTGACTTTACCCGTTGAGTTCGTTAATTAGATGGTTTTATGGGTACTGGTTAGTTGGTGCAGTTCACCAAGCCTATATCTGCATGTGTTTAGTTGCAGAGTACTAGTAATACCAGAACATCACCCCATATACATGTGTGGTTCCTGGAGCCTCAGCGAAAGCAAGCCGAAGATGCAAGTTGGACCTTTCAGATTTCGTGCTGGTCTCTCCAGACCGGGCACATTTCTTACTGTCAAGTTGGCTCTACAAACAAAACAGTGCCATATGGCCAATTGTAACCGGACACCCCTGCCCTCTTGTATTCTATTTTTATACCTCTAAGGTCCTGTTCTTTTCTCCAACAAACGTTGGATTAAGATTAAGATTTTTATAACACGCTTTTTAAACTGCTAAACGATGTGTTTCATGCGAAAACTTTCTATATGAAAGTTGCTCTAAAATATCATATTAATCTATTTTTTAAGTTTGTGATAATTAAAACTCAATCAATCATAAGTTAATACCATCTCATTTTACGTAAAAAACTTCATCTTCAGCAGATTCAAACAGCACCTAAGTCTGATACCACATACAAACAGTATGTATTGTATGACCATAATAGTATGAGTCTTAAAAAACACAGACTGGTTGGACTCACTGTAGGCCTGTAGCCTGACCATCGGTCACGCGCGCTCGTGACCACCGCGAGGCCAACCGCCGCCCCCTGGCTGGACCACTCCACCGCACCCACTCGCGATTCATCAGGGTATATTTAAATATTCAACACTTTTAAATATACTTCTTCCGTTTCAGCTTACAAGACATTTTAACTATGGTCAGAGTCAAAATACTTTAAATTTAACTAATTATATAAAAAATAGTAATATTTACAACACTGGTATATTTTCATTAAATCTATAATTGAATAAATTTTTATAATATATTTGTCTTAGGTTAAAAATATTACTATTTTTTCTATAAAATCAGTCAGTAGCTTGATTTTAACCAAAGTCAAAACGTCTTATAACCTTAAACGAAGAGAGTAACATTTAATAAAATATGTCTATGTTACGTGAGTTTTGGCAAATTGTTAAACAACGCATCTAAAAAATTCACCACTCCATTACTCCTCATTTATATGCTATGAACGGTAAACAGTGCATTAACCAGGGCAAACCTGCGCGGGTACGTTTTTGCAGTAGCGGTACGACGAGGGGAAAATCCCACTGACAGGTGGGTCCAGGCGAATCAGAAAGCGCTGCCCGGTCGGTGGAGGCGAGCTGGGCCCACGCCGCAGTGGCGGCGTGGCTCCCCCGAAACTACCGCTCCGCTTTTTGCCCGGCCAAAAGGAGAGCAATAAAATAAAATAAAAAAGGAAAAGAAAAAGAAAAAAAAACACGCTCTCTCTCCCTCGAGGGCCGCGGCCTCGATCGCACGCACGCACTAGCCGCACGCGTTTGGCTGCTTGCTGCGGTTGCTCGCACTCCTCCACCTCCAAAGGCTCCAACAAGAACAAGAACAAATCCAAGTGAGGCCCTCGCCCACCCACCGACTCCGCGGCCAAATTCCGGCGAGATGTTCGCGAGCAGGCCGGCGGTGCACCCGGTGGAGGCGCCGCCGCCGCCGGATCCGGCGGAGCAGCCGAGGGGGGTGCTGATGAAGGACCTGCCCGGGATGCCCGGGACGGCGGGGGGGCTGGGGCTCCGCCTCGCGCAGTTCGCCTTCGCCGCCGTCGCCCTCGCCGTCATGGCGTCCACCAACGACTTCCCTTCCGTCACATCGTTCTGGTGCGTGCCGCGCGTGCCCCCCCTCTCCCCTCCCCCGTCTCTGTTTCTCTTTCCGCTTTATCCGCTCCACGTCAGTATTGAGGTTTCCTCTTTTAGGATTTGAGGTTTTGAATTGTTGCTTTAGAAAGGGGGGATATAGTTGTATGTGGTGGTGTGTGAAGACCACACGTTTTTTGCCTTATTGATGATATCTGAATGAACAGAGACAAATATTTCTGAAACTGGATATTGTAGATTATTAGCTCAGCGATGAGATACTAAATGGCTTGGCTGACTGTGGTGCCCTGTGCAAACCTGTGCTATATAATCGTCCAATTTTCTTTCTGTTGTATGGAGTAGTTCACTAGTTTATGCTTGTTTGCTTAACTCCAATGTAAAGATGGTCATTATCTTTAGAGTGCAAACTTTTGAACTTGAATATATATGCATCATTTGCCGATGATGAAGCATATACGTGATGCTAAAAAAATGTGCTATATTATCACCAAGTCAGCCGCCATCAATTGTTTGAAGGTTTGTTAATACATAAGCACGGGCTCTTATCATCACAAATTTGTTTTTAGCTAATTAGATGTGCAACCATACTATCCCATTTCAAATACTCCCTTCCTTTGTATACCACATTTATATTTTGTACTTTCTGAAATTTGGATAGGGGTACAATAGCTCATACCATTATCAGAAAGAATGACACATATATCCCAAGAACAATATCGTTTTCATCCATAGTTCTGAGCTCTTCTTTAGCAAGTTGCAACACAAAAATTCAATTTGGCAAACACTTGGGGACAAGCAGCCTCACTTAGCATCTTCCTCGGTAGAATAAAAATAGTATTGTTGTGCTGCATTACCTCATATATTCAGAGATATCCCGCTTCAAATTTGGTGGCCATCTTTATTATGTGCTAGTATTGTGTGTGTCTACTATTAGTACTGGTTTTGAGCCTACATGTAAACCTGTCATCAATTCAAGAGACACACGCATATGCTAATAAACAACAAGGACAGAGACAAGATGCTGATTCGAAGAGACTGTTGATGAGTAGGAACAGTGTATTCTGTGCAACTATAGTAATTAAAAGAGCCATATATATTGTGTTCAGTATGACTATTAATTAAAGCCTATTAATGGCTGCGTAGGGTATACTTACTTTCTGATATTCCCTAATTTAATACCTAAACCTTCTTCTTGTTATGTAGGTTTATCCACTCATATTACTCCTATGTTAATTATATGACCATGTTTGCCCTTGTTTCTTTGGGTGGTGGGGGCATATGCTCTTTACAAATGTTTGGTCTTTCTTTTAGTCAACCTCAGTTCTATTATACTCAGTTTAATTGCATGAATAACAGACTAATGAATTACCGTTTTGGCCAGCTTTCTTGTTGCGGCAGCCATTTTGCAATGTCTCTGGAGCTTTTCACTAGCAATTGTGGACATATATGCACTGCTTGTTAAGCGTTGCTTACGAAATCGCCGGGCTGTTTGTCTATTTGCAATTGGTGATGGGGTGAGTGCAAGCTGTCTGTTATCCTCTTTCTACTGCTTGTGAAATCCATTCAGTCAGTATACCTTCATTTATTTTCTGTAAGTAATGGATATGTGTTGTTGATAAATTCATTACAAGTCCTTCTAGCAGTCAACTTGTTCATGATAACACTAGCATACTATACTCCCTTTGGTCACTAGAAAAGAGTGCCCTTTGCGGCTGATTCCAAAAGTTCAAGAATACAAGTCGTTTTGGTTAAACGAGTCTCCTACCTGCTATACCTTCAATTAAAGTCCTACATGCATGCACATGCACTTTTACTACAAACCAAGAGAAGTTGAGAGGCAACAACGGAAAAAAACATGGAGAGAGAATGATGCATAAACGGGTTGATGGACCTTAATAGGGGTACAGGCACCTGAAATTTCTCTCCTTGGTTTTGTGCATAGTGCTGAAAACTACTTTTATTCTTGACTGGAGAGAGTACTTTACTGTGACTATTCATTCTTCTGCAACTATAGGGTGCATTGTCATTGACTTTGGTTTTTTTGCAGATCACAGCAGCACTGACCTTCAGTGCCGCATGTGCGTCATCTGGCATCACCGTGTTGATTGATAATGATCTAGACCTATGCTCGGAAAATCACTGCGCAAGTTTTGAAAGTGCGACAGCAATGGCGTTTCTTAGCTGGTTTGCTCTTTCGCCATCCTTTCTATTGAATTTCTGGTCAATGGCTTCTGGATGAATGAAAACCAAAGAGGAGGTTAGAGCTTGATTTTTGAATGTATCATGTGCCCAATTCACCAATTGTGGTTAGTGAGAATTGGATAGCGTGACGCAGCTAATTGTATTAGAGTTGAAAGCTGATGTGCGGTCTTGGGATCATATGTTTCTAGTATAACTCTGTAAAAAAAGAATAGGGGATGGCCTGTTTTGCAAGTGTTCAATGTGGAACTCAGTAAAAGTCTCTTAAGCAAGGTGCTTTCCGTATAAGACTTCCAGCTGGTTGAGTTTTTGTGTGCCATCATTTATGCATACAACGTGTTGATTGTGCTGATGAATCATACAGCCACAGCACCACTACATAACAAGGGTTGTGCCTAATTTCCATGGTACATTTCAGTTGAAAGTCGTTCTGAAAGAACCACTGAAATTGGTGGAGAACCTTCTATCGTCGGCTGACATTCTTGTGTGCAATACCCATCCATGGCTACTGGCCAAGAGTTCTGCACTCACCAGGGCCAACTGTGGTGCCGTAATCTACCACACTGACCCATCCGTAGATGGCACTCTTCTTTTTTCCCATTGAATGTTCTTTCGTAGTAGTACCTTTCAATTGTTCCCTCGGTTTCTTAGTTGTTTTTTTCCTTAATATGTTTGTACTATATGCAATGGACAAAAGCCATGTCAGATAATGTTCTAGATGTCAGTTATCACTTGTTAGGAGCTGGAGATGAGATGCACTCCTAGCCATGAAAACATCATCGTTATCGTCCGGGGAGAGACAGGATAATACCGAGATTTCATTCGCGTCGTTACTTGGACTTGGCTGGCACATCTCATCTTCTTAGAATGTAAAAATAAAACTTTTTTTTTTGGAATTTGTAATACTGTTTGAGATTCACTTTGGTCCATCAAAAGTACCTCGAGATACCGGTACCTCACAGTATCAAATTGTTTTTATCATTGGATCTAGCTGGGCAGGAAAGACATTATTAGATCTAATGATCGAAAACGATTTGATATCTCGAGGTACCGGTACATCGAGATAGATTGGAGCAAATCTCACTGTTTATACTTCAGTGACATATACTTTACACTGAGAACGACTTCGATCAAATCAATTACTCATCTGTAGACTACACCAGCTTTGTACTAGGACTATACCAAAACCTTACATTGAAATGAGTTCAAAATTTGTGTTGTAAGTTGTAACACAAATGATACATTTACAAGGTTACATACTAAAATACTACACACCTGAAATAGTACTACCTCCATACTATCATGCTTATTTATGTTCATTGCTACATAGCGATCATGAAAAATCAAAAGCACCATGAAGACACCAGTCATGCATGATCACTTTGATCAAGGTCTGGTTGGTCAAGAAATGGAGTGCCTCCGATCCTTGGGCGGCTTCGTCCGCACCCTGCCGCCGCCGAGCACGTCCGATCGCAAGAACGGGTTGAGCCTCCCGAGCTTCTTGGACATGCTGTTCATGAATCCGCCGCTGCTTCCGCCGCCGCCGCCGCCCGGCTTCTTCGGCAGCGGCGGCCTACCGGACGGCGGGACTCCTCCTGCGGAGAACGCCACGGATGGGTCTCTCAGGCGCATCTTCATCCGGAGCAGCTCCATCCTGAGCTCGTCGTTCTCGCGCTGCAGCCGGGACACCTCGTCGGGAACGCCCGGCCGGTGCCGGCCGTTGAAGCTCGGCGTCGGCCTGTACGACAGCGCCGGCGACTCGCCGCCGGCGTACGACGGCGCGGCGCTCGGCGGCTGCGATGGCGCGCGGAGGCGCCGCTGCTCGTGGTACAGCACCTGCACCACCGTCTGCACCGGCAGGCGGTCGTTCTGCGCCGCGTGCGCGCACGCCTCGCGCGACAGCTTCTGGCAGTCCATCGCCCTGCACACCTTCTTCCTCTCGCCCTCGGCCAGACTCGGATGCGCCTATCGAATCAATCCACATAAGCATTTAGTGGAGCGATTAACGAAGGATTCAACCATTTCTTTTAGTGATCGATGTTAATGGTAGCTTCTAACCTTCAAGTAGATGTCAATGGCGCGGTACATGCCGTCCTCGTTGAACCTGGCGCGCTCCGGGATGAGCTCGGCGAGGGCGGTGAACTTGTCAACGGACAGGTTCTCGTCGGAGGCGATCTCGGCGAGGTAGCTATCCATGAGCCTGCCGACCTGGGCGACGTCGCTGTGCGGCGGCGACGCCGCCGAGCTGAAGTCGTCGTCGGTGGTGTAGTCCAGCCGTGGCGGCGGATCCGTGGTGTAGTCCAGGTCGAGGTAGCCGGCCAGGATCCTCTGCACGGCGTCGATGTCGTAGGCCGTTGTGGCGGCGGCGGCGTCGGGCGAGGAGGACGGGATGAGGAGGTCGTCGAGCACGGCCTGGCCGAGCTGCGCCGCCATTCGCTTCTCGAGGTCGAGCCGGCACGCCAGCGTCGTGTCGAGGTGGATCGCGGCGCGGAGCAGCATCGACAGGAAGCTCACCGACAGAGTGTTCCTCTCCCTCGGCAGCAGGCTCACGATCGTCTCGAGCACCACCCGCTTCTCGTGCTCCTGCCTCGCGCCCATCTTCTTCCTGTCCCTCCCGTGCATGTCCTGCACCACGAACCACGCGCCATGGTCAGATGATGATCCAAGAAACGAAACGACCGATCGCGACCATTGCCGGCGACGCGCAGAGCTCAGAAACTAACCAGCCGTCGAAGAGATTTCTGGGCGTAGAGCATGATGAGTGTCCCCATGGCGATGCCCTTGAAGCCCCTCGCCTTCATCGCGATCATGACGCGCTGGAACGTGTCGATCCGCAGCGCCGTCAGCTCGTCGGCGCACCAGTCGTCGACCTCCCTCGACGCCGCGGCGCCCACGCCATTGTAGCCGCCGCCGCCGCCGCCGCCGGGGGTGCCCAGCGACATGCTGAACTGGCCGTCGCCGCCGCAGACGATGGACGCGACGGCGTCGATGCACCTGGCGACGAGCCGCGCCTTCTCCTCCGACGCCGGGAGGAGCTCCTCGGCCTTGCGGAGCACGGCGACCGCGCCCTCGAGGCTCGCCAGCGCCACCTCCTCCAGGTAGGCCTCCGTCCTGCCGACCAGGTTGCCCGGCCTGCACTCCTCGGTCATCTCGAGGTGCTCGCCGGCGCAACGCAGCATGGCGACGTTGTCCACGGTGATCTCGAAGTTGACGCCGTAGCAGAACTTGACGACGAGCTCGAACGACTTGGAGCCGCCGGGCATGCCGGCGATCTCCAGGTGCGTCGCCTTGTTGCCGCCGACTCCTGACACCTGCTTCTTGATGTAGCCGCACCTGGATGCCAATGGAAGCTGCAGTAACAATTAAACACCTGTCAAAAACTCAGTTTTTCTTTGCTAGAACACGCAGTGAAAACTGAAAAAAAAAACAAATTTGGGTTGATGAAAATCACCTTGTGCAGGTTGAAGGCGGCATCGTCGACTTTGATGGTAATATCGCTTGGGAGTTCTTGCGAAAGTATCCTGTAGCAATGAAGTGAAATTTTTGTTCAGACTTGTGTTCTTGCATAGTTCGGTTACAGTGTTGTGATTTGTGACTCCGAACTAAAAGCAGGATGCTACCAAGCTGTACTGTGTGTTGATTTAGGGAAGTTTTTGTGCTGCTCACTTTGAAGCAGCACTATCACTTCTAATTGAAAAACAAAACAGTCTCCAACTAAATGAAGAGCAATTGAAACTTTTTTTTGACAAAATTACAGTTCATATCAGATAGAAACACCATGCAAATTAAACATGCAACAACCACAAGAGGAACAGATGAACTCGTAGCAGGAAGGTGAGGAGGAGGACGAAGGGCGGCAAACGTACCAGTCGCTGGTTCGCTTCATCGCAGGCGAGACGAACCGAGCCTCAGCCTGCATCCCTGACCTTCTCTCTCTCTCTCTCTCTCTCTCTCTCTCTCTCCTCCTCTCGCACGCAGAAGTCACAATTTTCACACAAAATATTCTCTTTATCTTGGCCCAAACGCGCGTCGCCGTCGGAGGAAATCACGGGTGCAGTGAGTGACGCAGGTGCGGCACCCTCCGGATTGAGCCGCGGTTGCCATTGGACCCGCGTGGTGGCTGGACGCCACACAATGGCAATTCGTACGGCGGCTTGTGGATGGAATCGGTCCCGAATGGCTTGTGCTTGCTGCTGCCCCACTTGCCCTTTTTCCGCTGTTCTTTTCTCTGTCAGACTCAAAATTGTCTTCGGGGAGAGGGAGACGGGCGGGCGGGCGCGCGCTGCGCCTTGGAGCCATGGGCCTGGACGAGGTGGGCCGCGTCTTAGGAGATAAGGGGCGCGGCCCACTGGGAGATCGGTTTCCTGATGGAATAAGTTCACTTTTAGCCCCTTAACTAGTGACCGAATCTGATTCTTATCCTCGAACCGCAATACCGGATATCTCGATCCCCTCGATGCAATCTGATTCGTATCTCGCCGCATCAACTGAGGTGGAAGCGGAGATATCCAGTATTACGGTTCGAGGAAACAAATCAGATTCGGTCCTAAGAGAGTCAAAATGAATTTATTCCTTTCCTACCGGGTGAAATTTCCGGTGACCTACTGACCTCCGGTCCGGTCCGGTCACGGTTGCTGAGTTGCCGGTTACGGCGCCGTTGGGTTGAAGTAAACCTTCCCGGTTTGTTTGATTTGTTCCGTGGAGAAGCTGGCTGATTGTCGTGGTTTGTAATAATTGAATTAAGATTGTTGAATCGTAATATTTTCCTGATAACTAAAGAGTCATCTTTTTACAAGGAGCAAGGAGCCAAGGAAACACACACAAAAAAAAGTAATAAATAAAACATATATTTTGATCATGTACTCTAATTCTTATTTTGAAAATAGTTCTCTTAAGACCTGTTCACTTTGATGCTATTTTCAACCATATCTTTTTTTTTTGGCAAAGTTGCTAAAAAAATATCTATGTTTAGTTTGTTGCCAAAATTGATAAATACATAAAAAATCCTACTAAAATTTTGGCAATATTGCTATCTTGCCATGCTAAAATTTTGGCATTGCCAAAACTTGGTAAGGTTTATTTTGACTACAATCTGAATAGGTCCTTAAAAATGCTAATAATGGCATGTCCACATGTGTACAAAGATAAAAGAAAATAATAGGAGAAAAATATTGTGTTTGTTCATTTCTTTCTTATATTCAGGAGCATACGACAGGATTGTGTTTTCTACTCAGGCCTTAATTAATCTGCGTGTCCTAAATAACCAGAGTATATGAATGGATAATGTCCCTAATATTTTTTTTACTAGCACTTGCAATATGTGCTGATAAAAAAAATAGAACGTGTCAATCATAGTATTAGCATACTGTACATGGCTGCCTGTCATTTTGACGTAGGTCCAATACAGGAGCATAAAATAGCAAGAAAACAATTAAATTAAGCGTGAAAAAGGAAGGGACGAAGAAAAAGGGGAGGAAGAAGAGCAAAGCGGAGACGACCAACCAAATCCTTGTCCCGTCCGTTCGGTCGCCGCGTCGAGGAGGCAGGGAGCTCGCGGCCTCGCACCACCGCCGCCACCCCGCCATGACGAGCGCCTCCGAGCTCTTCACCGCCCGCCGCGCCCGCGCCGCCCGCCTCTCCGACCCCGATCCGGACCCGGATCCGCCTGCGGACGCGCTCCATGACCCGCACGGCCTCGCCGATCGCCGCGGCCGGCGCCGGGGCTGCCGCCCGCGCCGCCAGCTCGACGCCGCCGGGGACGTCCGCCAGCACCTGCACACCGGGGCCCCGCCCTCCCGCCGCCGCGCTTCGTACACCGTGAGAAGCACATCCCCCCGCCTCATCCTCTCTAGATTTTTTTTGTTCATTTTTTTATTATTTTTGTGTGGATGTGATTAGATCGAAATGATTTAGCTCATACTGATAAAAATTTGGGAGGATTAGGGCTCCTAATTTGGCTTGCGCAATCCCGATTGGGGTTTGGATGCTTTAGATTAGGTTATCCTCGCCTAGTTTATGGTGAAATGGGGACAATTGTTAGTGTGGCTAGCCTATTCTCTTCCATTTTTTTTTCTGTTACTGCATCAATTGTCACGTTGAGTACTAATCAATATCGTCCTGGCAAGTACTAGTACTTGCACAAAAGACTGAAACCAAACCCGATCATGCTGTTTGGTCTGTTCAACTGAGGTGTTCTTCTGCTATGCACTTGTAGATCATTACGGTCCCCAAAGGGGCAGTGATAATATCGTGCAGTGTATCTCGAGAATTCGTTGCATCCTGTAAAGGCTTGATTTTCGTTATAAACATTAAGTTGAAGGAGACCCTTATCTTCATTTCCATAGAAAATATAACATATCAAAATGGTGTGATGGTGCCTCATCTTTCTTCACTCACTCCTGAAAATTGAAATGGCTAGGATGTATGTTTAGAATATTGGCTACGCTTATTAGAATGTCAATACTCAGACCTGTGCATTTAGTATTCCATTGCCTTTTCTTCTTCTTCTTTTTGTTCCAGTTCCACTTGAAATTCTTATTATGAATTGTTATGGATGAACATTAAATTATGACCTAGGATGCATAGTGGAATTTATAACTGTACAGCATTCTGATCTATTTATTTCAACTAAGAAAACGTAAATTTAGATTGATGTTTGTTGTTTCTGGTGAATCAAATGAGGATATTCGGTCTCTTTTGTTGTCTACAGGATCGTGTCTTATCATACATAGACAATAGCAACATTGGGGACTCTGCAACTAGGAGGAACCGACTGGATAGGCTGATGTTCAGAACAAATGAGCGGCTTCCTGGTGCTGTACTGCAAGCACAAGCACGTGTTCTAGAGAGACTGAGAGGCATTTCTATTGGTTCATCTGTGTCAAGGCCATCTATCACATTGGATGAATTTTCAGCTACTGATGTGTTTAGAATCATTGACTTCGGGAACAGGGATGCTCCATATGAAGCAAATAGGTCCAGCTCATCATTGGCCCATCCAAGTAGCGAGTCAGATGAAGAAAGGTCACCCATTGACACCAGTTCCTTAAAAAGATCACGTGGGCTGAGCAAGGCGGCCTTCCTTCGGCTACAGATAGAGATTTTTGAGGCAAGCAAAGATGACAACAGGGAGGCATCACCAGAATGCTCGATTTGCCTTGATGGATTCTATGACGGAGATGAGCTCATAAAGCTACGTTGTGGGCACAGGTTTCACTCGAATTGCCTGGAGCCATGGGTACGGAAATGTGCTGATTGCCCATATTGTCGAACAAACATACAGTCACGATCCTGACTACCTTAGTTCTGCATTGGCAGTTTGGCACTCTCATTAGAACTGTAATTAACAGTAAGATGTATTGTTGTAATTCAGTGTTATGTGCATGCCTGTTACCCGGAGTTGGTATGACATCACTCTATTGAATTTCATTGTTGCCACTGGAGTTGTGCTGCAAAAGGATTGAGAATTGTGTGCAATGACTGATAGTATATGGTAGTACATTTTTTTTCCTTTTTGTAAATCCGATGAGAAACTGACATACATAACCAATGTTGTTTCGGTTGATATGAGTATGGCGTAGGTATGAACTGCTGAGATGCTTTGAAATCCTTGAATAGTCTGGTGTGGATTGTGTCGTCAAGGCAGTATCATGATCTTTATATTTGGGAAATTTTCATCTATACCATCATCAGGATTGCAGGTAACAGCAAAACATGCATCAGTGTAGCGAGTTCTCAATGGTCTTTGGGAGTTGGGAGGTAGAGGTATTTATGTTATTTGAAGGTATTATACTTTTACACACCTTCTGATTAACACTACAAGTTATATATACATCCTCATATTTTCCTTTTTCTTTGATATTTTCCTTTTTCTTTGTGAAGAACAATAATCTAGTTATTCTTCTTGTAGTTTTCTTTTCTTTTCTTTTCTTAGAATATTAGTCTAGATTTTGTGTGAATTCTTTTGTGAAGCGTAACGTTCTTAGGTATTTTTCTTCTTGTAGTTTTCTTTCCTTTCCTTGGAGTATTGGTGTTCAATTTTGTGTGTATGCTTGCAGCTGTTCTGCTATGGCACCATTCTTTCCCATTGGATTTCTGCTACCTAATTCTTTTTTTGTGCTGCTATTCCCCAGGATACCGACTTGTTTAATGTTTATGAATCGAGAATACTCCTACGTCTTTTAGAGTTTTGACATCCATTGCGATCCATTGTGTAATTTGTATATCATCTGTAAATATACTGTACTCCAGTCAATACCATGTTCTTTGGATGGCAATATTTCTTTTGTCAGGAATGGTTCTTGAAGTAAGGGAAGAGTGCATCCTTGATGCCATCCTCCTCCCACTCCAGCTGCTGCCACCACTCGTCGCTGCCCTGGATCTCCCGTAGCTTCAGCGGCCGCACGCCGTCGAGCCGCCGGAGAGCGTAACATTGGCCGACCTCGAGGATCTCCAGGGCCGGGAAGCTGATCGCCGGGACGCCCCGGCACAAGCACGCAAGGCTCCGCATCCCGTGCACCGCCAGAGTCTTCAGGCAAGGGAACGTCGTCGGCGTCCTCCGGTCCTCCGCCGCGGTGTCGCCGCCACCGTCGACGATCGCCTCCATGTCGTGGCAGTAGTGTAGCTCCAGATGCTCCAGCGCCGGGAGGTGCAACACCCAGTTGGCGTTCTTGAGCTGGAAGCAGTTGAGGATGTTGATCCGCCGGAGCGCCGGGAGGACATGGGCGGCTGCCGTCGTGTGCCGGAATCGGATCGTCTCGAGGTGACGGACGCTCAGGAGACGGAGCCTGTCCAGCTTCGGTAGGCGGAAAGATCGACGCAGCTCGTCGTCGGAGTCGCTGCCGCTGCCGCTGCCGGCGTCGATGACAATGTCCTTGACGCCGGTGCAGCTCCGGATGGCGAGGTGCTGCAGTCTTTCCAGCATGTCAAGGCCTCCTAGCGTGTCCGATAGCGTGGAAGGGAGCAGGGTGAGCGACGCCGGCCCGGCCATGTCCTTCAGGCACAGCCGCCTCGTCGAGACGTTGGTGAAGCCGGAGAGCTTCCGGAGTGCGGCGACGCTGCTGACATTGATGCCGAGGAACTTGATGGACGCGTTCCTCGCTTCAAGCTCATCGAGGCTCGCCTCGGATGCGGTGGCGGCATCGTCGTCGTCGGCGTTCAGCCTCCATCGGGTGTACCTGCTGGCGAAGACGTCGAGGATCTTCAGCTTCTGGAGGCCCAGGATGACGTTCCTTGGTATGCTGTCGAGCATGTTCGTGTCGCTCAGGAGCAGGTGTTCGAGCTGCGTGAGGTGCAGCAGCTCAGGCGGCAGAGCGCCGATGAAGGTGCCGGACACGTTGAGGTATCTGAGGCCGACGAGCGAGCCGATCTCGCCGGGCAGCGCCATGACGATGGTGTCGGAGAGATCCAGGTACGTGAGCGCCGGCACGCACCGGAGGAAGCTCCCGGGGATGGCGCGCAGCGACGTGTTCATCTGCAGCATCAGCGCCCTGACGCCGCGGCGGGCGGGGAGCCGCGCCGGGAGCTCCTCGATGAGGTTTCTCATCAGCGAGACGCGCTCCGTCGACGCGCCCGCCGCCGCCGGCGAGGTGCGCCACTGCTCGTTCAGCTTCGACGCGGTCTTGATGCCGACGCCGGCGCGCACCAGCCACCTGTTCCTCGTGGCGCCGCAGTCGGAGGCGATCCAGATGGCCATGTCGCGTATCATGTCGTGCATCCTGACGCCCCGCGTGTCGCCGACGACGTCGCCGCCGGACTCCAGAAGGCGGACGTCCTTCAGAGCGGCGATGATCCGCGCGCCCGTCTCGACGTCGTCGTCGATGCTGCTGGAGCCGGCGATGAGGCCGAGCCCGAGCCAGCACTCGACGAGCTTCTCCCTCTCGATCGAGTAATCCTCAGGCCAGAGGCAGCACGTCAGGAAGCACTCCTGCATCGTGGTGGTCGGGAGGTAGTCGTAGCTGACCTTGAGCACGCGCAGCATGCCGGCGTTCTCCTCCTCCATGCCGGTGATCTCGTGCAGGTGCGCGTTCCTCAGCTTGTCAATGGCGTGTCGCCACAGCTCCGGGTCGGTCTTGGTAGACAGAGCCTTGCCGATGGTGATGAGCGCGAGCGGCAGCCCGCGGCACTCGCCGGCGACCTCCCTGGCGAGCCCGGCGATCGCCGGGTGGGACGTGACGGCCGCGGCCGTGGCGTTCATCTCGAAGAGCGTCCACGCGTCGTCCGGCTTCAGGCACTCCACGTTGAGAACCCGATCGGCCTTCATGTTGCCGCAGACGATCTCCGACCTCGTCGTCAGCACGACCTTCCGCGGCAGCTCGTCGCCGGCGCTGCCGTCTGGATAAGGAACGCCGATGAGCTTCAGATCGAAGCATTCCCACAGGTCGTCTAGTAGCATCAAGAAGCCTGTGTTCTTGAGGTGCTCGGCGATCGGCAGAGCACGTTGCTCCAAGTCGGCGTCCGAGTGTTCGTCGGGGAGGCTCGCCAATGGCAAGCCAAGTTTCTTCGCGACGTCGTCCTGGAGCCGATCGATTCTGCATTCCTTCGAGGCTACTGCCCAGACGACGTGGTCGAACACCTTGCTGCTCGCCGGCGGCTGCCGCGCGGTGGGAAGGAAGCTGTTGTTGATGGCGCGGAGGAGGGTGGTCTTCCCCACCCCTCCCATGCCGCAGACGCCGATGACTCCAACGGCGTCGTCGGCGATGTAGCCGAGCGCCTCCTTGAGGTAATCCTCCGTCCCGACGGCGGCCGCCGCGGGCGTCGGCGCCGACTGGTGCGTCGTGGCGGCGAAGCTGCCGACCCCGCGCCGCGCGGCGCAGATCGCGCCACGCTCCTGCACGAGCTGCTGCGCCTGCCGGAGCGCGCGCGACGCGCGCTTGCCGATGCGGTAGCGCGCGACGAGGCGGAGGCGTGGCATGGACAGCGCGGCGTAGTCCGCCGCGACGGCGTTCCCTTGCTTCTCGGCGACGCGGGCGCGCCCCAGCCAGTTCGCCGCCTCCTCGGTGCACCCCAGGCGGCGCAGCCGGTCGGCGGCGCCACCGTCTTCGCCGTCGTCGACGCCCACGACGCGGGCGTCCACGATAGCGCCGTGCAAGCTGCTACGCTGCGCGGCGAGCTGGCCGACGGTCTCCTCCAGGCGGCGGACGTTCCTCGCCACGTCGAGCATGTCGTCGAGTTCGCTCCACAGGTGGATCGCGCAGCAGGTGGACGTGCTGTCGGCGACTTGTTGGTCGGCCGGAGCGTCCATGTCGCCGTCGCCGCCGGCAATGGCGTCTGATCGTGGCCGAGTAGTCAGGTGAGCGGCGATGGCAGTGTCGAATGCTTCCGTGGACGGACTAGATCAAATTTGTGCTAGACATATATAATGGATATATGAATTATGCCGCCTTGATGATAAATTTCGTATAAAGATAAACTTTGTGAATTTGAGAGGATATTGAACACGTGCTAGCAGTTGGATTGACCCAGTCACCCAGCTACTCCCTCCGTTTTTTAATAGATGACGCCGTTGACTTTTTCTCACATGTTTGACCATTCGTCTTATTCAAAAAATTTACGTAATTATATTTATTTTGTTATGAGTTGTTTTATCACTAATAGTACTTTAAGTGTGATTTATATCTTATACATTTGCATAAAATTTTTGAATAAGACGAATGGTCAAACATGTGAGAAAAAGTCAACGGCGCCATCTATTAAAAAACGGAGGTAGTAGTATTTATAGCAAATCCAAAGAAAAAGGGCAAAGACGAACTCACCTACAGAACAGTGTATGCAACTAAGCATGGCGTGTGAGTTGTGACAGTGACTGACAGGAACAGCTTAATGGTAATGTGCCTTTGACTAATCAGGTACGACCTGAATAAACAAAGTCAACCATATTCACTGTGTGACGCGCCGATTTATAGGTGCATTATGAAAGCTGACCATATGTTATATATAGTAGGAAAAAGATGAATACCATATCTTCACTAAAATATGCTATGTAGCTTCCAGCTTCTTTTAGCAAGGAAGATGGGGTGTTGGGGATTTGATTGGTTAGTCAAAGTCATTTTCATAGCCTTAAGTCGTATGCTTATTCACAATTTTTTTTCTGGATTTATATATAAAGTTTGGACTTCAAATTTTATCCGATACTTTATGCATACTGTATCAATGTTGTCAAATGTTGGACAACATTGCTGACATACTGTTTGATAAGTGGAGATGTCCATAGTATAATGTCGTGAAACATGTAACTTCTCCTTTACCTTGATGACGGCAAAAAAAAAAAAGTGGAGATGTCCAACTGAGCAAGGGCCTAAGTGCCGAACTGACACAAATCAGAGGATGTGTTCAACAGTGATCAGAACTTTAGAAGAGGGTTGTATGATGTCAAAATGACAAACTTACCGTCTAAACAATCAAAAGATGGGACAAAGCTTGGCTGTTGGCTCTACCCTGGACAGTTGGCTGAACTGTTTACTGTTCTCCATTGTATGTTAATGGTCTGGCTATGAATTCTAAACTAATTCATCAGAAGACATGAAACATTTTCAGGCCATTTTCTATTCTTTTTGCGATTGAGTTAGCTTCAGTAGTCCACATTTTTTACTCAGTAAAATCAGCAGTCAATACTAAGGGTGGTAGTGCACTACAGCACTAGAACTACAGAAAGTAAAATGAAGTAGATACGGCTGTGTACTGAGAACAGAAGGGAAATACATACCGGCCAGTTTCTTCTAAAGACAGTGCCAGAACACATTTTTCTGAAGACAGCACCAGAACATATTCCGGATCCCTAAGGAACAACAACCTTGTCAACTGCTTTTGCCCACTTCGGTACACAAAGCACAACCTAACACTGAGTCTTAGACTTGTTCTTGTTGATTACATCGCTTCTGCTATGGAAAAGGACAAAAAAAACAGTAGGGAGAGATAAAAATAAGACATGAAGAAAATGGCCCTGTGCTGCTTGTTTGTTGGATGGTTTGGAAGGAAAGAAATGTGCTTGTGTTTCAGAACCAGCGGCGCTCAGCCGGTTTCCTGTTTGGTTCAATCAAAGAGGAAGTGGCGATTTGGAAGGAAGCCGGGGTTTTCAGAAATATAGGAGAGTAGTCTCTCAGTGTAATCTTTTCTTTTGGGAGGTTGCTCCTGTGACAACTTCCATTACTTCGACAACTTCTTGTTGAAGTTAAAACTTTGTATATTTGTACATATTCTTCAATCTTAAGTAAATTTAGTTGGCCTATCTTGGTCGGCCCGGCAAAAAATAGGGCATGAAGATCAATATGTTGAGCATATGGTACTGAACAAAAAAGTCCTAAGCCCCTACCTCAAGGAATCTTCTGAAACACTGAAATCGAACTTCTCTTGAACTTGGCTGCCGGATGCTTCTGTTCACTCTTCAAGTCCAGTCATTCTGGAAAAAAAATAAAAGGATTGATCAATGAATTATTCAAAGTGTGCTATATTACATATGGGTGTGAACATGGGATCTATCTATTACTTGACTCTAAAGAAGATATATGAGCAAACTGGGTTCCCATTATGACTGCTGACTTAACCTGGACTTTTCAAGTGAAGCTTCTCCATCTTTTACTAGATTTAATCTATCAAGAATAAATAAAATAGGTCCTAGAATCAATTTAACATAAGAATACATGAATTAGAACTTCTCAAAGTGCGAGAAACGGATCCTTGGAGTTTCTTTACTATCCTTAGGAGTTAGGAGGCATTCAAAGGTAATGTGTATTTTAGTGTTAATCATGAGGTATAAAAAATTAACTCTAGGGTGAATCTCTACCTCTTGATAACTCCCAAGGACCATTGAAGAAATCATTATGCGAACGTTAAGGTTAGATCAGAAAATGATCCTAACTGTTGTGAAACTAGAGAGCCCTACTGCTTTATGAACAACTTTTTGAATCCTTGCATAATGATAAAGCTACCTTTGTTCATACATGTGATCTTCATAGCGTTAAGCAATTATCATGGATGATGAAGCAAAAATATGTACTACATGAAACTACATTTTGGACTCGCAAACATTGTATTATAGCATTATTAGTTAAAAAGCACCGGTGCTCACTGCTGATTTTGATTTTGAGACATGTTGTTGCCAGTACTCGCACAAAGAAGCTGGTTAATTATGCAAGGCAAGCAGTACTCCATGTCCATGGCATGTTAAGTACGATTTGGCACTAGATAATTGAGAAAATCTAAGGAAAGATACCAGCATAGGCACTAGCTCTTGCTGATAATCTCTTGTCACCAAGTTAATCAGCTAAGCACCAACAAAAACCAAAAGAAAATGTCTCATCTATAATTACTGCAGTATGAACTCTCTAAACATGGAATTCTTAAGATACAGTGTGTGAACTGAGAAGCACAGATATCTCCAAGCAACAAAGCAACATGTTCAAATCCAAGCTCATGTTCTGGCACTATAGTAGAATGGAAAGTACTTGCAAATTACTGAGGTCAAAGAGCCCATTTTGGGTGCAACTTTGAATTGACCACCTCCAACTATAATAACTCTATGTGAATAATGTGACTAGTTTTTTTTCCGTCCTCATCTCCACCGGAACAGCTAAAATCCGTTTTAAAGGTACAGAAAACATAGAACGTGATACCTAAAAAATACTGTAGATGACGAGCGGCATCACCATGACTACCCCTGCAACGAAATGCAGCCATCTAAGAAGGGGAAGAGGGAGGATTTACCGTCGGTGACGCCTGCGCCCCGGGAGGTAGATAAGATGCCGAAGCCCTAGCGGCTGCAGACGCGGATCGTACGGCAGCGGAGGTCGGTGCCTTCGCCCATGGAGTGCAGGAGACGGGGGGTTAGGGTTCGGAGGGGATTTGAGTTGAAGGAGAAGTTCGTCTGGAGCCATTGGAGGAAGGATCCGAGCTCGCCGGCGCCGGAGATGACGGCGGCAGCCACGGTGTTCGACGAAATGCGCGGCTGATGTTGAGGGAGCTTGAGATTTTTGCAATAAGACCCCTGATCGTCGATCAGGACCGCTACCAATGGTAATAACGGTCGTTGCTTTTCAGATCGACGTTTTAAGAACTATTTTTTTCCAAAAAAACTTTAGGGATTAGGGTTAGTAAAAACTGTTGAATTTTGAGTTTCTGACAGAAGACGAAATGGGATTGGATCTATAAACTAGAATAATCATCGTAATATTCTTTGTGCAATTTATAAAATTCGGTTCAAAATAAAAATGACGATAATTATATATGGCATTAAGTGAAAAGATGAGTCTAGCTCTAGTTTAATATGAAACTTTGATAAATACAGACGGTCCAAAGTGAAGTTTCTCATGATTTTATTACTTGTAGCATTAGAGGAAGTTTAATAGTATAGCCAACTACTAGCTCCAAATCATCTATAGCCAATGTAATTATACAATAGTTGCTTACTATACTATTAATACCTGATCCCATCTGTCATACACACATTACGTTTTGGAGTCCGTACTGCAACTGGCTACAGATTTATAGCCCGCTGCTTCTCTCTCTATTTATCTCTTTAAAATATGTTTATAGCTGGCTTATATTGTACATGCTCTTACTTGCTCCCTTGGTGCTGTATATGTGGATACTTTTGTCATGAAACTGCATCAGCTCACACTATATGAGCTTCTCTTTATCAACTTCTGTATTATGATTGGGTACAAAATAATTTGCCTGTCTCCATACTTGTTGAATTGCACAAAATATGAATAGCTAAAACATTTTCAATGTGAATGATCTATCAGGCTCTACATTTTGTGAGCCAACAGGTGACTGAAATGCTACAATTCATTACCATGATTGCCAATAAATGCTTGATTTTTTTTTAATTTGATAGCCTTTACTCTCCTTATGATCAATTTTTTACATTTCGGGTTACTCTAACTGTTAACCCATACCTTAATTTGCCTAATAAATTAAGTATTGTACATGGCTTCGTTTTCCTTCTCAAGTTGTTGTTTTGCTACAATTTGGATTGTAAATTAAGCTGAAATTATGAGAACCTAATCTACAAAGTTTGCAAGTACCCAGGTAATTAAACGAACAGTTCACCAAGCTGTAGTTCAGATAATATGCAGTTCGAATAATATGCATTGAAATAAAGTATCAGTTTCTTGTTAAAGGTATAAAATGTTGAGAATATAGGCATATAATGATTTAATATATTCCATAAATAAATCATGACATTACAGATGTATACTAGCATTAACGCATCATTATATCTACACATGTAAACTAAGCAGTAAAACATGAACATATCAAATATGCGCAACATGTCGAACACGTACCGAGGTGGCGGAAAGACCGGTTGCTCGGCAGGAACTACTCGCGGTTGCGAGCGTCGACGAATGCGCGCAGCATGCGAGCGGAGAGGAAGGCGAGCCGTCGCGGACGAACAGGGAGCAGTCGCGCGAAGCGCTTCCCAAAAACCTTATTGCCGCCTTCTCTCGGTGCAGGATGTCGAAGGCAGAGGTTCCGGAGACCTGCTCTCCCGATCGCTGGTGCACGCTGGCGAGCGGGATGGAGTAGTCTACGAGCGACGGCGCAACACAGAGGAGGAGGCAAACCCTAGATTGATTTCGCGTGTGTTGCGTGAAGGCGGCGGCACGGTTTAAATAGAGATAGGTCGCTTGATCAGGGCGCCCGCATGATCTCCACTCTGCGTAACCGAGCCGGATAAGTCGCGCGTAACTTATCCGGACTCCACGGGCGCCCGCACGATCTCCACTCTGCGTAACCGAGCCGGATAAGTCGCGCGTAACTTATCCGGACTCCACGGGCGCCCGCACGATCTCCACTCTGCGTAACCGAGCCAGATAAGTCGCGCGTAACTTATCCGGACTCCACGCCGTTTTCACGCACCGGATTTTTCGAAATGTTTCCAACAACAAAACAAATCCGAATTTTCCTGCAGCAAAACAAAACTGCAAAAGGAGACTGCATATGCGCAAGGGTGAGGAGCCAATTTTGCGGGCGGACCATTCAACGCGTACGTCGTGCACGCGCGCCGCCTGCCCTGCCAGACCAGGCCAGTGAGCGCGCGCGTGTGGTCCCCCTCTTCTCTCCACCACACATGCTTCAAGTGGCTAGGAGGGCATCCTTCCTTTTAAGGAGGTCCCCTCTCCTAGAATAAGCAAGGTGCTACTAAACTCCATATGCATGCCATCTCATGAGGTGGGCTTTTGTGATTTTCCAAAGAATTAATCTTCGAATGGGCCTTAGCCCATCTATTAATTCCAACATAAAATATACGGAAGAATCTCCTCTGACATAAAGTTAGATGGACATGTAAAGTTAAAAAGATTTGGGTCCGGGGCCCAAACATTTGTTAAGAAAAAATTGTGAGTGTTAGGGATTGAATATTGGACCATCAAGTGCACTTTGAAACCATACACCATTTGCCACTGCACTATCAAGTGCATCTCCACATATCATTATATTACAAAGCAAACCATTTATCTTTTGTAGTTCCATTTTTTTTGTGAAGTATATTATTGTCGATGGAATTTTAGGTGCATAACTCATGTTTCCCTGTGTGCATGCATAGGTGATTTACAGTTTTTGCTTACATTCTTACGTAACTATTTACATGGAATTGCCTGTTCGGGCCCATGGTAGAAAAAACACAGTAATGCATGTAATGCATATGCTAAGCTTAGGATTGCGAAATGCATGAGCAACACAAGAATTTGGCCTTGGATTGGATGAAAACCCAGAAATGTTTTAAATGTTATATTTGTATGACACAGAAAGATTGACATTACCCTGAATCCTGGATCTTTGGAACGAAATTTCCTACAAAAATATATAAATTCATAGCAATTTTTCAAAGGAATGGGTAAGGTGAATCCAACAGTCCAGTTCCTCTGCAATTCCCCGGTTCTTCTTTTGGTTCATTAGAAAAATGTTGGAATTTCACATGAGTAATAAAATCCTCCAATACAGTACAGATAGGAACTTTTTTTTAAAAAAAGAAGGAAATTCCAAGGTAAGAACAGGCCTGACTTGAGTACTCAGTTTTCCACGCTAGTAAACAGTAAACTGTAAACTATAGTTTTCCACCCAGATAGTAGCTACTAAGAGAAGGAAAACCAAAACCAACCACCGCATGCACTATAATATGATGTTGACCCACTGATGGTGATGCTCGTTTACCTGCTAATTTGTTTCTTTTAAGTTAGTGATTGTCATTCTATAACACTCATCTCTATTATACTATCTGCTAATCTGCTATATCCAAAGTCTCCGTTGTCCTCAAGTCCACCTCGGCGGGCTTCATGCAAGCTGCAAGCATTGGCATCTAAATTTCACCCAAAAAAAGAAAAAAAAGGAAAAAAAGCAGAGAAGTTAGCCTGGCAAGTGACAAGCTGGAAAAAGAGCAATCAATTTCAGTTGAATTCCGTTACCGAAGTGTTTAAACTTGCTGAAAGTTTAGCTTGCATGGTCAGTAGTTGGTCGCTGGACTGGAGCAACTAGACCAAAATAAGCTAAGCCATGGCGGAGCTGGTGCCGCAGGTCGTCGGCGCCGTGAGCCGCAGCATCGCCGGCCGCCTGCTCGCCGACATCGACCTCGCCAGCAGCGTCGGCACGAACGTCGAGGACGTCACCGACGCGCTCACACGGCTGACGTCGATACGGGCCGACCTCGAGGCCTCCATGGGGAGGCTGCCGCAGCGGCGGCGGCCGGAGGAGGTCACGGACTGGCTGTCGCGGGTGGACGGCGCCGAGAAGCGGGTGGCCAAGCTCCGGCGAGAGTACCAGCGCCGGTGTTGCTCCTGCGGCGGCGGCGGCGCCTTCTCGCTCAACCTGTTCGCGAGCTACGCCATTAGCCGGCGCGCGTGCCACGAGCGCCACCGTCTCGCCGCGCTGCTCGGGGAGTGCGACAGGGTGAGGAGCCTCGCCGCCGGGGCGCCCCGGCCGTCGTCCGGCGCCATGGTCGTGCCGTCCACGGTGGTCGGCATGGAGGGCTACCTCGAGGAGGCCCTGGCGTGCCTCGACGACCGCGACGCCGGTGTCGTGGCCATCTGCGGCATGGCCGGCGTCGGCAAGAGCACGCTGCTGCGACGCATCAACAACGTGTTCGTCCAGGACCCCGACAGGAGGCACGAGTTCGACTACGTCATATGGCTCGACGCGCCGGGCGACTGCGCCGCCGTGGGCAAGATGCAGGACGCCATGGCTCACCGGCTCGGCCTGTGCGCGCTCCCGGACGGCGGCGCGCCGGACCACCGTGCGCGTCCGATCTTTGAAGTCCTCAGGGACTCGAGCTTCTTGCTGCTGCTCGACGGCGTAACCAAGCCTGTCGACTTGGTGGACATCGGCGTCCCGCACCTCGTGCACGACGATCGCCGGAGGCAGAAGGTCGCCATGACCACCCGAACAAGGGGAGTCTGCGGCAGGATGAGCTCGTCGCGAAGGATTGACATGCAATGCTTGGACAGTGACCATTCATGGCGTCTGTTCAGAGAGATCGCCCGCGACGAGACGATCAACGCTGACCCGAGGATACCGGACTTGGCGAAGGAGGTCGCCGGGAGGTGCGGCGGCTTGCCGCTTGTGCTCACCGCCATCGGCGGCGCCATGAGGTGCAGGAGGCAGCCAGAGGAGTGGGTGAGCACGGTGACCGCGCTCAGGAACTTGGAGCTCGCCAAGATCCCCGGGATGGACGCCGGCGAGAAGCCAGGCGCCATGCTGCGATCGCTGCAAGAGAGCTACGGCGACCTGCGCCATCCCGTGCTCCAGAAGTGCTTCCTCGCCACGTCCCTGTGGCCCGAGGGCCACGCCATTGACAAGGGCGAGCTCGTCGAGTGCTGGATCGGCCTCGGGCTGGTGGGCGAGTCGCTGCCGATGGACGAGGCCGTGCGCACGGGGCTCGCCGTCCTCAACGAGCTCGAGGAGGCCAACCTGCTGCTGCCCGGCGACGCCACGGGCGAGGTGAAGCTGCACGGCGTCGTGAGGGGCGCGGCGCTGTGGATCGCCCGTGACCTCGGCAAGGCGCCGAACAGGTGGGTGGTGTGCACCGGCGGCGTCTCCCTCCGGTCGAGGCAGAAGCTAGTGGAGTTCTTCGAGCGCGCGCGCGACGCGGAGCGGGTGTCCGCCATGCGCAGCTCGGTCGAGCGGCTGCGGGCAATGCCGCCGCCGTCGTCCCCGTGCCGGAGCCTCTCCGTCCTCATGCTGCAGCACAACGCGGCGCTGCGTGACATCCCCGGCGGCTTCCTGCTCGGCGTGCCGGCGCTCGCGTACCTGGACGCCTCCTTCACCGGCGTCCGCGAGGTCGCCCCGGAGATCGGCACGCTCGCGTCGCTGCGTTACCTGAACCTGTCGTCGACGCCGCTGGAGTCCGTGCCGCCGGAGCTGGGGAGGCTGCGGCAGCTCAGGCACCTGCTGCTGCGGCACACGGCGCGCCTCTCGGCGTTCCCCGCCGGCGTGCTGCGTGGGCTGCCGAGCCTGGACGTCCTCGACGTGTGCCCGAGCAGGTACACCGAGTGGTGCGGCGCGGGAGGAGGAGGAGGAGGAGCGAGCCTGGACGAGCTGAGGTCGAGCTCGGCGTTCGTCCGGTCCCTCGGGATCTCCGTCGCGACGCTCGCCGGCCTACGCGCGCTGCGCGGCCTCGACAACGTGCGCACACGGCGGCTGACCGTGACGCGGGTGGCGGCGACCGCGCCGTCTGTCGCGCTGCGCCCCTCCATGCTGGGCCTGCTCGAGGCCCTGCACGAGCTCACCGTCGCCAAGTGCTCCGGCCTGCAGGAGCTGGAGGTTGTCGCCGGCGAGGAGGACAACGCATGGTGGCGCCTTCCGGAGCTCAGGAAGCTCGAGATCGATGAGCTGCACGAGCTGGCGGCCGTGCGGTGGACGCGGACGGACGTCGGGGCGTTCTTGCCGGCGCTCCGGTGGGTGAAGATCTCACACTGCAACAGGCTAAGGAACGTGAGCTGGGCGGTGCAGCTGCCATGCCTGGAGCAGCTGGAGCTTCGCCATTGCTCGGAGATGGTTCACGTCGTAGACATTGACGGCGACGACGAGGAGCAGCGACGAGAGCACCCGGAGACGCGCACGTTCCGCTGCCTCAGGAGGCTGCTGCTGGTGGAGCTTCCGTCGATGGGCAGCATTGGTGGTGGTGCAGCGTTGAGCTTCCCTTGGTTGGAGACCCTGGAGATCGCCGGCTGCGACAGCCTCGGAGAGCTACCTGTTGAGCTGCAAAAAAAGTTGAAGGAGATTTGAGATTATGTTAGCCAAGCTGTGAATCTGAACATTGTTCCTAGCATCTTAAAGCTTAAGAAAGAAAGATTCACTCAAGAAGATTAGTCTTTCATATAACACGCGAACAGTGCAGAAGTTTCAAACATCGCAATACATTTAGCTACCCCTTATAGCTCCTTTAATTAATAGCCTAACAAACGTAATGCCAGAGGCATCAAAATTCTAATTCTAGAGCCGGATAGCCCGGGCTAGCTTCTGATTGTGTGGCAATTGTTCTAGCATCTTACACATTTCACTTCAGAACCTATTCTCATGGAACCAGCTATGAATGAGGGGTTCAGAAGATATATTTCACAAAGGAAATTCCACCACTCTTCCAACTTTCCAAAGCGGGCCCTACACGGTGTTGCATATGTCAACAGGCCATGGTGAGGATCAAGATCTTGAGGTGCATCATGCAGGCAGCACACTGCATTTCCGATGACATCCTGATGCAGCACACTTCTGTACAGTCAATGCGATAAGCTGCTCCAGTCTGATCATTCTTCATGCCTCAGATGCCTGTTCAACACCAGTTATATGAGCTATGCAGGCAAAAATGGTAGAACCTCGCAAGCTGCTGTGGTGAGGCTTCTATGGAAATCATGAGCCCATCAAAAGGTCACCAAATTTTCTTGAATACACACATGACTGCAAGGTAGAGTAAACCGTAAGGTATAATAGCAAATGAAAAACTGTAGAAGGCTGTAACAGAAAACTGAGAAAATCGGCTAGTCGAGAGACTCCAGGATTGTTAGTGCCAATAAAAAGTTACAACGGTGTGTACACTAAAAAAACAAAATGTTAGACCTAACATGCCAGTATAGGACAGTTGCACCAACCGGCGAATGCATGAGCAACAGAAAAATATAAAAAGAAAACAATATGGCAGCATTGTATCATAATTTATTCAGGCAACATTTTGGATGAGTGCAATAAGACTATCACAACATTAAATATATTTAGTAAACCATGCTTTAAATATTGAATAATAAACCAATCCATAGTACCTCAGTGGTTCAGTAACTAGAACAAGATGTCAATTGACAGGCTAACTGGTCATTCAAAGACCACAACTGACAATACTAGGCTTTGTTTTCTGTTTGCTCGTCCAATGAAAATGAAATAACAAACATGTAACAATTAACAAACTTACATATTAAGAGGGCAGCAACTGCTAACACAATTAATTGAACAGGACGCCCATACCGAATTCGATATCGCGACCTCTGCAGTCGTCTATGCAGGGCTCCAAGACAACCATAAAGTTTCTTATTGTATGTACTCTCATCACAAGTACTTACACAACTCTTGCTTCTTTCAAAGCATCTATCCGATCCCTACAGAAGGAAAGGCCCTACAGCATTAGAGAACTAGAATGTATTCAAATGAAAGCATTGTTGGACAATGAATATTTGCACTCCTCAAGGATGCCATCTGTACCTGACCCATCTGAGAACTGAGAGGGATTGTCTCTTCCACATCTTGTTGATCAACAGCGGCCCATTTCACAGATCCACCTTTTTTCTTCGTTCTAGGCTTAGATTGCAAGGCACTCGTCAGTGCACATGTTTTCACTATCTTCAGCAAAGGTTCTTGGTGCTTGTCATCATATGGTAGGTCAGCAGAACTCTCGCTCTCATTTGGACATAACATAGTCCATGACCCGATATCAGCATGGGCACTAGCAGCCCTTCTGTGCCCACGATGCGTTTCTTCCTTTACTCTTGCTGAACTCAACTCAGCGGAGCCAGAATCCTTGGAGCTGTCAGCATACATATCCTTTTTAACCATTGCTGCATTGTTGCCCACATCAATATCACCAACAGATGGAATTGTAACTACTTTGTCTCGCTGTTGAAAAGAGCTTGCAGATAGGAAGGTAGCAAGATCATTCCGTTCATCCTCATCCAAATCAATCCAGCTTAGGGCACCCCTTCCCTCTGCAACATTGGATTCTTTCAAATTGTTCTCAACCTCAAGTATGCGACAACCGATTGCCGCAACAAAGTCATCATGCCGTGCTTTTGTGTCCTTTCCAGCTGAGAAAACCTTGTCGTTTGATCTAATTGCCCGCTCCAATTCATCTAGCTAGAAACAAAACACAACTATTAGACTCTTTTGCCATCAATTTTCAATATAAAATCCCTGAAATTGAAATTAACACATATGGGACAAATTGGCTTCTCATATTCACATAGATCAGATAGGAGGGGAACTACATTCCACTTAGGGCTCAAAGCACCTTAAATGACATGATCTACATAAATGCAGGTTTTGTATAATAAAAAAAAAAGTTCTCATTTACCACAATTCGTAATTGGTAAAAACCATGATTTTCAAGAAGCAAACATCAGTGGCTCATAACAACAAACAAATCATACCACGTTACGTGTCTTCCTGCTCTAAGCAATGAACTATGTTTCTAGGTATCCTAATAATTTAGAAAATTAGGGGCAAAAGGCATTCGTCAACCACAGATCACCACGACACAGAAGAGCAATTACCGCCGATCGTGCCATGGCTAGACGCTAGTATACAGCAGAGAAATGGATGTCGAGAGAGCAACCAATTCACCTGCCACTTGGCGGTGCCGAGCGCAGTGTGCAGCTCGCGGCGGAGCTCGCCGGCAGGGAGCCCTCCTCCACCCACGGCAGCAGCAGCCGCCGCCGCCGCCGCCTCCGAATCGCCCCCACTCCTGTCCTGCACCCATATCCTGTACACCGACTCCATGCTACAGAGACACACCGAGAATCACCATCAGATCCATACGAACGCGACGAACCCCCAACCGAAAAAAAAAACAAAACGGGGGAGGAGACGGCAACGCACCGGTCGGCGGATCCCTGCACCTCCTCGGCGGCGGGGAAGAAGGGGTCCTTCTCCCAGCGGTCGAACGACGTCGCCATTGCGAGCGAGAAGGGGGAGACGAGGGCAACGGAAAGTCGGAAATGGCCGAGACGAGACGAGACGAGACTCCCTCGCGTTTTTTCTCGTGGTGGCCAGGGCGCGGGACGCTGCCTATTATTAACTGGCGAACTGGCAAAGAAGAGGGGATTTCACTGCCGGTTTCTCTGAAAACGGCAAAACGCTTACGCTTTTTCCTCTGAAAAACGGCGAAGCAGCAAATCCCACCAGGAATTGATCTGCGCGTTACTACACGGGAAAGCTCCTCGTTTCGTTGAATTTTATTGGCAACATTTAGGCAAAGGTGCGTGGTTGGAGACTGCTGTTGCCTTGTTGGCTTATTGCTTAGTGCTCGCCGTGTCGTTTTATCTCGTGCTGTAGCATTTATCCGTTATTTATTAAGCAAGGGCTGTGTTTTTTTTTTGCTTAGCTTGTCATACAGCAGGTCAGCAATTGCTGATCCATGGATATCTTCCAAGTTCGACATTTGCATCACGATGAGCATATGCTGTCTCTGTATTGTGTAGATTTGTAGCTGATGACAGCTTAGGGCTATCTATGGTTTTCCCTGGTAAACCAACAGATTGAAGATAATTTGATTGTTACAATGCAGTGCCTTCTATATCAAACGAATTGCTGGTTCGGATGAGTGAAGGCATTAGATGGAAGACAGATTCCCTGACTAGGATTTGACAGGCGGACGACAACAAGGAACACCCAAGTTTGCATGTTATTATCAGATACCGGACGAAACAAAAAGACAAAGTTGAACTGTAATCACTAAAAAAAGGTGAGTCGAATAGCTGCACTGACTAATTCTTGACACGCATATGAAAACAGTTCTGCAATCACGACATCAAAGAACATCAGCAGCTTGTCTGAGAACCCAACTGGTCAACTCACATGATCACATCTTCAGTTCTGTCGTCCATGTTCCCTGAACACTGGGGCGCTTTGTTACGTGTCTGGTTCTCAGCTTCACCACTTTCCTGCCCAGAGAATTCCTTAGCCTGGTAGCTTGCAATAGTATGTCCTCGGGCGCTAAATTTCGGACACAAACAACTCGCTCATTATGATTTTCTGCACAAGAAGAATGTTGATTAGAAAACTGAATGTCATAAGCTTCGTTTTTCTCAAAAACGAATTTGTTGTAGCCATGTAAACACAACCATGAAGAAACATTAATAATGGAACAAGAAAAACAGTATGGCTGTTTGGTTCAAAGAATACCCTCATTCCTAGAGTCTTATCAGATCCTACATGATCCTGTTTGGTTATTAGAACGGGAACATGTGACCAATAAAAATTTGTTTGGTTATTGCAATGGGATTAACCTCATTCTTTGGATTGAAACAATCCAAAGGTGGATGAGATTATGAAAACTCATGGAATGCAGTTATCCACAAGGGCACCCATTCATCCAAGATGGGTGTACTAATTGTGGTCAAAATGCATTCCTCAAATTACAGGCCTCTTAACAAGGTTCCTTCGGAGAAAAATCACATAGTACAACCATAATGATGTGTTTAAACCAATGACCCAATGTCCGGTCATCAATTCACAGATAAGACAGCGGCCTACTGATGTTTTGCATCTTGTCAAACAGGCGAGACTTTGGGTAGACAACTACTCCTATAGTATGGCATTTTACTCAGAATGGACTCAAAGATGTAATTCAGTACCAGAAAGTGATATCCTTATCAGTAACAGCAATAAGGCTCCTATAGAGTTCCTGGTAATTTTACAATGGTTGGAAAACAAGGGAGAAGATCTTACTGTAAATGCCCTTCAGGTTAGGATGCTGTCCACGGACTAACTCTGTCACCACCTCTAAGTGGGGGTTCTTTTCCTTAAAAGCTGGAAGATGCGCCTCCATAAAAGCCCTGCAATTCCAAAAATCATTTTCATGAAGGAGCAACCAAATTAAAATATCTAATTGTTCAGACATCAACTTCCAACAACACAAGTATTGGCAAAATGACAACTTCCAAATGTGTAAGCTGGGAAATCATACAAGTAATACTTGAATTATAGCATATTGATATACACAAAGAGAGGATATAATGTGAAAATTACTGTCCAGAAAAAAACAAGTTCTCGAATGTCGGCCATGATCCTAACGTGGCAACGAGCAGCTTATAATTGGCTCTAATTGTGACCAAACTGCCTAATGTCTAGCTCTGATTTCTCTCATGTCTCGGTATGATAAATGCACATCAATTTAACTTGCAACAATTGAACATTTTCCCACCAGGGCAATATGTATGTATAGCCCTTCGTTATGCTTTATCCACAAAGAATTGAACGAAAGTGCAAACCTATCTCCGACGCACAGCAAAGACTACTCGGGGTAATCGAAGACAAAAAGAACAGTTCCCGGATCTAAATCAATTCCCGGCAACAAAGGAAATCCGGACCAGATCATCTAGGAGGCCCGTAGTATCATCACGGATGAGAGCTATACCTGATCCCCCTGCTGCTCCCTCCCCAATCGCAGTAGTTCACCACGAGCTTCTGCAGCTGCCAAACGCCCCTCAGCGCCATCCCTGCCGCCGCCGCCGGGGTCGATCCAAACCGGGAGCTACACGGGGACTCCGCTTCGCTGCACGCGGAAATTCGGAGACCCCGGATGAGGAAGACGAGGATGCAAGCGGACGAAGCCAATCGATCAGTCCTTACCTTGCTCGCCGCCGGCGCGCGAGTTGGGGGAGGAGACGGCGAACGGAGGAGGAGACGACGGTAGGAGGGGATACGCTTCGTTGCTAGGGTTTAGCCCAGCGGGAGATGCAAAGAGTGGAGCTGGGCCTCGGTAGGCCGGGCTAAGACCAGGCCCATTTTATCCACTAGCCTAGGGCTTTGGGCTTTGGGCCATGGGCTGTACAGATATAATGTATCCTAACGATTCTGTACAATTATTTAGAGAAAATCCAAAAAAATCATTGACAAGCACTTGTTCCAAGGAATTGTTACCAACGAGTACGAGTTCTATGAAATAGTAGTAGCATCATTTTAGAAGTGACTTTGTCCAAAAAAAAATATCATCATCAATAGGGTTCCGTTAGTAGTTCTCCCTTAGGTGCTATAGATTATAGAATAAATAGTGTATTTAACGATGCGGGATGGTAAGAACCCTAACGGTGATATCATTTCTAAGACAAAATTGCTTATACGATGGCATATTATGAAACTTGCATTTGTCAATGAAATTTCTTAGATTTTGGTGTTTATTATCAATAGTATTTCTTGGATTTTCTCTGTTTTTAAGTGGACGATTCCGTGCTGTCGCTTGAAGTTTTCCCGAAATGAACTGGCTGGTACTGTGCATACCAGTCATGAGCGCATGGAATGATGCAAATAAACATTATCTCTGAATCTTTTTTGAAAAGAGATTATCTCTGATAATCTGATTTATAGACTCGGCACTTTATGATGTGTTTCAAAATTTAAGGATGTTAGGCACCGCTCAGCAGCAAGCGGACCTAAGGCGCAACATGCTACAACTTTTGCGTTGCCTCAGTAGAATAGAATAAAACAAAGGAGCAAATCTGCAACAGATTTCCAGTGCAATCCAACAGCAGCAGATGGCGTTCCGTTCATGTTACGTTCTCATTCTGCAGTCTTCTGCTGCCCTCACTTGTTCAAAGTAGGGATGCGCCTGCAGGGGAGACAAAAAGCAGCATATGTTACAGACTTGCGATCCAGGGTCCAGGCCAACAAACTGTTTGCAATACATATGCTCGACCAACAGCAAGTTAAGCCTGTGAATGAATAGCTTGACAGGAACCAACCATAGCTTCACGAGCGGTCAGCCTGTCATGGTGGTCGAAGCGAATAAGTTTATCAAGAAAATCAATAGCCTGCACAAAGATTGGTGCGACGTTTAGTCCTGTACTCCTGATAGAGGGAAATGGGATATGGAAAAGAAAAATCATAGGACGAGAAGGAAATGCATATAACCTCTGGAGAGACAAGATGCCTATTTTCTGGATTTATAAACTTAGACCAAGGTTTCCTGGTATGCCTGTGTGTAGAGCAACAACAAATGTATCAAGTAATTTTTTTTTTACTAATCCAAAATGTGATATGAAGTGAAAGCATCAGAACAAATATTCTACGAGGTAATACCTCCCAATCAGAGCCTCAAGCTGGGGATCAAGTGCAATCCTGTATTTATTCAGGTAAGCATTAAGCTGGTCTGTACCTAGAACCTGCTCAGGTATAGTTCATCAATATGCTAATGCCTGCAATATTTTCAGGCAGAAAGCAGAGCAGACATATACAGATACAAGTGCAAATGCTCAGCATAAACACATGCGCATGCGTCTATGTGAACTGTAGCAAACCTTGGCTATTTTGACAAGCTGGTCATGGTTATCGTGGCCATAGAAGAATGGTTCCTTGCGAAATATCTGCATCAAAAACAGTAAATAAAGCATAACAGTTGCTATCTTTCTATACGCAAGTAATTTACAGAAGTAAGGCCATGGCAATTTTGATAGGTTATTTTATAATCATAGGAGGGCAAACACACCATTCCAGCAAACATACAGCCAAGGCTCCACATGTCTAAAGAGTAGTCATAACTTTGGAAGTCAACCAGCAATTCAGGCCCTTTGAAGTATCTGGATAAAGAAAATAAGTTTGCAGATAAAACTATCCACATTTTCAAATATAAGAAAACTTATATAGTCTTCTAAAACCAATAAATTTGCTATAACACTGGTAACAGAGGATGGATTCTGCTTATCCATAAAATTAGCAAATTCAAAATAATTATTTTGCTAACAAATATTATGCAGAATAAAGGTAACAAGCGATGGCATAAGGCTATGTCACTTCAGATATTTTTTATTGAAATAACAAACGATAATCCATAAATATGAATATGAAACTAATAGGAAGCTAAACTAGTCCCAAGCACTCTATAAATAATGTTCTATAATGGAAATTTAGATATCTTCTTGGGGTTAATAGGATGGGGTAAACATTTAAATAAACAGGACACCATCAATTGACGGAGCTACAGAATCATGAAGGCATATTTTATGAACTTGCCTTGAGGCAACCCGAACATTGTACTCTTTCTCTGGAAAATAAAACTCAGCAAGTCCCCAATCAATTAAGCGAAGCTTGCGGAGTTCATGGTCAATCATAACATTGTGAGGCTTGACATCGCGGTGCATAATTCCTTGAGAATGACAGTAATCCAATGCCTGGAAGGTAAGCAGGACGGAATTTAGAAAAAAGATAACAGGAGATTAGAAATAAGTCCTGGCTACTAAATCGACGAACACCGAACAAGCCCAACTGAATAACGGAAGCCATAGAAGGGAGATTATTGAAACTAGTAACTAAATAAGAATATAATAGAATGTTCTGTAATTACCACATATCCTTTTTGTTATCAGTACATTCACATAAACAATTAGGTAGACTTTCTATGTTACCGTCTGACATGAAAGAAACAAACTTTATAAGTGGACCATATATGCAAGACTAATCAAGCAGAACATAAAGTTGCAACATTTGTTTCAGCCTCTAATTCAAACTACTGTAGGCCATAGCATTAATACTAAGTATGCTAGAGAGTCAAGTTAATCAATTTATAGATTAATGCATACAGTTCTATAAGACATTCAACATTGCAATAAACAACAATTGCATCATAGTCACTATCTACCAGGCATAGCCTTTCCATAATGCCATCGTGAAATATGTTAAGCTAATGCCACTTGGAACAACCACAACCCACAACTCCACAAGCACAATTCAAGAGCTTGTTATTAAGTCCATACATAGCCAATGGTCACCATCTGAAGGGGTATGTACATACAGATATTTCAAACTATCATTGTTAGACTAAAGCACAAAAACTGATTTGTAAGCGTGAACTTATTGTAGCACAATGGATTTGGGCAAAGTTTAGCTTAATATGGTGTGATAGGAACAATCAGACCCAAGTATTGACAACTATATTCATCACAAGAGCTGAAATTTTCAACACTTCTACTAATGACTAAATTAAAACAGAAGCGCTACCTTAAGAAGTTCATAAATGTAGAATCGAATATCATAGTCTGTCAATGTTGGATACAGAACTTTGAAATCTGTGCTGTTTACATATTCAAATATCAAACTTGGAGTTTTTGATTGTTGATCTCTGACAATATTGTGAAGTTTGACAATATTTGGACCACCACAGAGGTTCTGAAGAATTTTTATTTCCCTCTTTATCTGCAAAAGAATTAAACTGCTCATATATAATAGCACAGAGAATTCTAATAAGCACATGAGCAAACAGAGAACAGTTCGGAAGAAAAGATATGAGGTTAAATATCCAACAAATGAGCAAAAGTGAGATCGCTCATTGTAGTGGAAAGGAGCACAAAAACTAAATAATAAAAACTGTAGTTAATAATAATCTAACTTCTTAAGTACCACCATCCATACAATCTAGTAACTGGATTCAATGAAGTAACTGAATTCAAAAGTACCAACAGCCATAAAATCTGAAAATGGCACAAATGGACTTGAACAGAATTAGGATGTTAAAATTTAGCTGATTTAACCAAGGAACAAGTCAGCGTTTAGAGAAGTAGGCAATGCAGGTTTGATCCATCAAACTGTTCCAAGTATTGAGTGTGTCGCGAGGAATAATTTAAGCAGAACATCCATATATGTTAATTTTCAAAGAAAACAAGGATACCTTCTTTTTCTTAACAGGCTTGAGAATTTTAATGATGCAGCGCTCATCATTTGTCACATTAATTCCTTCGAAGACTTCACTGTATTTCCCTCTGCCTACCTTTCGCACAACCTCGTAATCATCCTGCTCACTGAATGGAGAAGAACAATCCATTGGTAACAGAGCATAACTAAAAGAAAATAAATAGTTTGATTTTTTTTTACTTCACATTCCCCCAAGTTGTCAATTAAAACAGTCAAATAGATATTAGCAAGGTAGAAGAACATTTTTTAATCATGATAACAATATATGGTCATGTAAATGCTGTCTATTATCCAGTTAGGCATATTGGTTGGTGCAAATCTAGTTTATTTCACCAAAACCTCCTCTGGCCATACATTGAGATAAAATGGTTTCCCTCAATGAATATATTTGTGAGTGATTTTAGTAGTGTAGAATGTAGTTCCCTCAATGCACACACAGCTCACATGATAAATCTAGTCAGATGACCCACCAAAAAAAAAGGCCATCAATAGTATTGAAGAACAGTGCCCATTTGTTCAACTAATATATATATACCTCCCCAACTACAATTAGGAAAACTTTAGCAACTAATCCTTCCTGTCAAACTTCAAACTATCACCGAGATGAAAGGAATTGTATGATCATAGCTTGGTAACAAAGGTTTCGAAATATACAGTATCAAAAACAGAAGGTCCAACTCTAAATTGGCAACACGATGATGACCAGACCCAATAGCCACATCGAGCGATACCACTGCCGAACAACACACCGATCGACAACAGCTAGTTCGCAGCTCGCACAATCTCCGCAGTTCAATCGTACGATCTATCCCCAACCCTCCAGCAACACACACACAGTCACAGATGCAATCATCTCGCATCGCTACGTTATTCTAGGCGACGACGACACGAGTGGGGGGGGGGGGGGGGGGGACAATCACACGGTAGCACGGCGAGGCGTAGGTGGGAAGGAATCAGTTCTTACCCCCATTCGACGGCGAGGGCCTCGTAGTCCCAGTACTCCCTGGGGCGGTGCACGTTCACGTCGGCGTAGACGCGGGCCGTCGACATGGCCGCCGCCGCCGCTACCGACGCCACCGAGCGGGCGCGGGGGAGGGACCCCGCGTGCGCCCCCGCCGCCGCGAGCGCCGCGACGGCGCCTGTGGCGAGGGAGCCGACGGTGGCGAGGAGGGAGGGGAGTATGGCGCTCGTGGTAGCGGTGGCGGTGGCGGTGGCCGGCGCGCGCGGCGAGGCCCGATCGGATTTTTTTTTTCCTTCTTCTGGGTGGGGTCGGGTGCTCTGGTCGGGTCGGAACGCGACGGGGTCGCTATATCATATCAGGTCACGGCGAGGGGAGCGGGTTGTTTTGGCGGTTTCCCGCTGAAAAAGGGGGTGTGCGCCATCGCGCAGCACGCCGGTTTCTGAACAAGAGATGCGTGCACAGCTCCTGCAGCAACGAGTTGTCTGTTTTTTTTTCCCGAACACGTAAAAGGATTGTAGGATTGTAGGTTATTTCTGATTGCAGTAATTGGAACCAGGTTTTAGCTAACCGGTTGAAAACTACGAAACTTCAAGGTTTCGAGATTGGATGAAAGTAGATTCCGGGTAGACTTTGAATGGTGTTGAAGAATTTAAATTTAAATTTTAACGAAAGATGTCGTATAGCTAAGATCGGAATCCAGCACTTATGATGCTTCTCTCTCGTGGCCCGATATTCTAGAAATGGGATAACTCTCGCTTTGATCAAGTGCAACGTTTGCGACGTGGCTACCAACCAGAACAAGTCCAGAACGCCGTGCAATCGCTAGACCACAAATGATGTCGTACCAACCGTAACGTGCGGTTGATGATCCCTACAATGCAAACGAGAGAACACTGCAAGAACAAAATAAAATGCAATCTAAATATTGCGAATAGGGGATAACTCTCGCTTTAATCGAGTGCAACGTTTGCGACGTGGCTACCAACCAGAACAAGTCCAGAACGCTGTGAAATCGCTACACCATAAATGATGTCGTAACAACCGTAACATGCGGTTGATGATCCCTACAATGCAAACGAGAAAACACTGCAAGAACAAAATAAGATGCAATCTAAATATTGCGAATAGGGGATTAAACACAAAGGAATAGTTACGATTGAAGTGGTAGATCTAATCGACCCGGCAAATCAACACACCAATTATTAGGGGCTCTAAATTTATAGTCGCCGACTAATCAAGCGAGGACAAGAGACAAGTGAATGACACTTGGCAAAATTCAATTAAACAAAACTCAATTGTTCTAGAGGGTGTACATAGACATTTATAGAAGAAAATAGATCAAAGGTTTAGTGCTAATTCGTGGAGGTGGGCCTAGTGTATTACAAGGTCCAAGTACCAAGTTCGGTTTCAGCAACAACATTGTCTTGTTTTGACAATTTCCGTTTACTCGGAATGAATTTGTATATGAAACCGGATGCGTTTGAAAGGTGACGAGATAAGCTTTCCATCAAGTCTAACATCACCCGAATCGGAGTTGGCATGAAGACACTAGGTCCATTTGAAGTCAATGCTGTCTCCGGAGGTCGAACTGGATTCCAAAACTCATTGGAGATGTATATTGTAGATCCTCCATTCATCCGATGTATTCTTGGGCAATGTTTTATATTTCTCATGTTTGGTTGTATACATATACTTGATCTCAACCTATTGGCAAAATCCTTTAGGTATGTTTGGATAATGGGAAATGAATGGTGGGATTGGGATTGAGAAATTGATGAAGGGTTTTGATTAAATAGAAGAAGGAGAATGAATGGTTAGGATTTAAAGATGTATTTTTGTGGGTAGGAAATTACTTTATTATCCCATTAGCCAAACACTGCCTTATACTTTAGACCGGAGGTAGTATTCAAAAGTTGTTTATGGTAATTGGCTGCAACTCTTTTATATACTCTTTATAAAACAAAAACATCTTTGAATTTGCCGTTACCAAAATCTTCATCATTTTTTTTGAACGGAAAAATCTTCATCATTGAATCCTCAATGTACTGCTACTGAACAATGTAACGCATTTTCATTTTGCCAACAAAATGGAAAGATAATGAGTCTGTGTACCGTCACGTCATCACTTTGTTAATTGTGGGCCTCCATCAGTTTTTGGGCTTAAGGCCTTAACACCTGGACCACTCGACGCAACCTAGCTGGAGGCCCAGTACAGTGCCAGCGCCGAAAAGGAAAAAGTATACTTCGATTCCCTCGACTATCACCCGAGTACGATTCATATCCACTAACTATAAAACCAGCTATATCGACTCCTTCAACTATTAAAACCGGTACAAACAATATCTCTCAATGATTTTGGAGATTGTTTTGGCTGACGTGGCGCCTACGTGGTAGTCTTGACCAAGTCTTTGTCGTACGTGACGCTTACGTGGCATTAGAATAAAATAAAAATAAAAATAAAACAAATATATGGGACCCATATGTCATTCGCAAGGAAAAAAAGGCATTGTGGGACCCACATGTCATCCTCCCTCTCCTTCTCTTCTTCCTCCCCCTCTCTCTCTCCCTCCGGCCTCTCTCTTCTCGGGACGACGACGGTAGGGAGCAGCGGCGGTGGTGGTGTCAGTGGGGACGGTGGCGGCGGCGGCGGTGGGGAGCGGCAACGGTGGCAGTGGGGAGCGGCCGCGGGGCGGTCGGGAGTAGCAGCGATGGTGGTGGGGACGAGGCAGTCGGGAGCGGCGGCGGCGGTCGGGAGCGGCCGAAGCACCAGCAGACCAGCTCCTCCCCGAAGCATGAAGCACGCCGTCCTCCTCCTCCTCCTCTCCTCCACATCGCCGCAGCCGCCGCTCCCCGCCGCCACCACCGCTGCCACTCCGCACCGCCGCCGTCGCCGCTCCCCACTGCCTCTTCCCCCACCGCCACAGCCGCCGCCGCCGCTCCCCACCGCTGCCGCTGCCTCTCCCCACCGCCGTCGTCCCGAGAAGAGAGAGGCCGGAGGGAGAGAGAGGAGGAGGGATGATGACATGTGGGTCCCACAATTTTTTTTTCGAATGACATATGGGTCCCACATATTTTTTTTATTTTTATTCTAATGCCACGTGAGCGTCACGTAGGACAAAGACTTGGTTAAGACCGCCACGTAGACGCCACGTCAGCCAAAACCACCGAGAAATATTGTTTGCATGGTTTTAATAGTTGGAGGAGTCGATATACTCGGTTTTATGGTTGGAGGATATGAATCATACTTGGGCGATAGTTGGGAGAGTCGAAGTATACTTTTTCCCGTCGAAAAACACCTTACGTGAGTTTGGATTTCCTTTCTCGGCTGGGCCAAATTCTCTTGGGCCTGAGGATTGGACCAGACTCTAGAGGGCCTACCAGAAATGGCCGTACACTAATAGTCTAATTCCAACACTGGTCAAAACTCTCTAATGGTCAAAACCGATCCAGCAACTGTCCTCTCCCTCTCAAAGAAACAGCAATTATAGCATATATATAATCGCGTAAGAGCAAGGATAATAGTAGAGCTCACTATCTACTATTAGCTTATTTTATAGCCAACACATATAATAAATTAGTTATAAAGTTGGCTACAATTTTCTTCTCCTATCTCTATCTCTCACTTATACATTTATTATTTTTGTTTTGGAGCTTGTGTTAAGCTAGCTTTTGCATGAGAGTCAATACCTTTGACTTTTTTTTTGTTACATCTCTCCTCCACATAAGTTTATAGTAATCTTATAGCTCACTATTATAATTGCTGTAATAAAGGTTTGTTTCCAAAAATCGTTCATACCGCGGCATCCCTCTTTTTGCTCGTTTTCACAACATGCGCACACTGCAAACTGCGAAAGCAAAGGAAAACGCGTGATCGTAAGCAAATCGTTCTCCCGTTCCGTGCTACTCGTACTAGAGTCTAGTCTAGATACGTTGGTCAACCAGGTCCAGATATGCCCTTCCCGATATCAACCCCAGCTGATCCCGTACAAGTCGCACGTTCACTCGGATCTGCTTCCGCCGGTTCAGAGTTCGCCCTCTCCCCTTCGCGCTCCCGCGGAAGAAAACGGCGGTATCATCTTTTCGAAAATGGATCGGTCATAAACAGATCATAGTTACTTCCTCCGTTTCATATTATAAGACTTTTTAGTATTGTACATATTCATATATATATTAATGAATCTAGATATATATGTGTGCCTAGGTTCGTTAACATTCATATGAATGTGGACAATGATAGAAAGTCTTATAAGCTGAAACGGAGATAGTACATATTATAAGTCATTTTAATTTTTTAGAGCAATTCTACGGTTGAGGAGATACCATAAGATATAAATATTTAGTATAAAATTTGGTACCTCATAGTATAAAAGAAAAAGTGGTACCTCGTGTAGCTCCTTAAGGATCGTAAAATTATTTTTAAGGTTGTAATAAGTTTACAGAAATATATAGCAATATTTTTAATACAAAACAAAGAAACTATCAACATATATTCAATATGTTAGATTTAATGGAATCAATTTAGTGTTATAAATATTACTATATTTTTCTATAAATTTGGTTAAACTTTTTGAAGTTTAACTCTAAAAAATTCAAAACGATTTATAATGTAAACAAATGAAATAATGTATTTTTTTCAATATCAATAGCAATATAGTTGCGAAGTGAACGTAACTCAACTGGTTAGTTTCCTCGTGGTGGAACCAAGATATACTGGCGGCTCAGTTTTTCGAAGGTGCTTATAGGGGTCCCAGGTAGGATATGTGTATGTGTTTATATGGGTGAGTCTGTGTTTGTATTGTATTTCTCAATAAAAAATTAGCAATATACTCCCTCTGTTTCAAAATATTTGACACTGTTGACTTTTTAATATATGTTTGACTGTTCGTCTTATATTAAAAAAAATTATGAAATATGTAAAACTATATGTGTACATGAAAGTATATTTAACAATGAATTAAATGATATGAAAAGAATAAATAATTGCTTAAATTTTTTAAATAAGATGAATGGTCAAACACGTATTAAAAAATTAACGGTGTGCAATATTTTAAAACGGAGGGAGTAGTAATGTTGAAAGGACTTCAATTTATGCAGGTCCAGAATTATATAAACGGCAGAAAAATGATTTCAACCTATATTCCATTTCCACCTATACGGCGCTCCTAGCTTTGGGTAGCTAACAAACGCGTCTCCCCTACCGTTAGTCCCGCGTCTCCTCCCCCGCGCCCCCGCGTCGTGCCGTGCTCCCGCGGCTAACCTTTAGGCTTTAGCCTAGCCCGACCGACCGGTAAACACGCGCCCCACCACATCGCCCCTCTCCCCGCCTATACACACGCCACCACCACCACGCGCGACGGACACGCTCCCCCTCACTTTCACTCCACACACACACTTCACGGTTCGCGCGACGAACAAACGGGCAGAAAAACCCTGCCACGACGACCCACGACTGAGCCGAGCGTACGCACGCACCCACGCACGCCATGGGGGCGCTGCGGCGGTGGCTGCCGTGCTGCTGCTGCTGCTGTCGCGGCGGCGGAGGAGGTGGTGGTGGTGGGAGCGTGGGGGATGGGCTGGTGTGGGACGTGGCCCTGAAGGCGCACGCGTCGGGGGACTACTCCGTGGCCGTGGCGCAGGCGAACGAGGCGCTGGAGGACCAGGCGCAGGTGTTCGTCTCCCCGGCGGCGACGCTCGTCGGCGTGTACGACGGCCACGGCGGCCCCGAGGCGGCGCGGTTCGTCAACAAGCGCCTCTTCTCCCTCATCCAAGGTCTCGATCACTGATTCACTTCCTCATCCATCCTGATCAAACGCGCAGTACGAGTAAATTAGCAATAAAGAGAGATGTATCGATCGATTTCGTCGTGCAGAGTTCGCGGCGCAGAGCGGCGGCATCTCGGCGGAGGTGCTCGAGAAGGCGTTCGGCGAGACGGAGGAGGAGTTCGTGGCGTCGGTGCAGAGGTCGTGGCCGTCGCAGCCGAGGATCCTGTCCGTCGGCTCGTGCTGCCTCGTCGGCGCCATCGAGGACGGCACGCTCTACGTCGCCAACCTCGGCGACTCCCGCGCCGTGCTCGGCCGCCGCTCTGCCGCCGGCGCCGCCCACGGCCGCAAGGGCAAGAACAGGGTGGTTCCCGAGCGCCTCTCCAGGGACCACAACGTCGCCGACGAGGACGTCCGCCGCGAGCTCAAAGAGCTACACCCCGACGACTCCCACATCGTCCTCAACACCCATGGCGTCTGGCGCATCAAAGGAATCATCCAGGTAATATAATCAACCAAACATCTTTTTTTTTTAACGATTCCGGTGCGAAATTCTATTGATATAGCAGAAGAAAAATTACGAGATTATAACCTAGAAAGATCATAACCACTAATCAACCAAACATCGAATCATCGATTCTTTCTTTCTTTCTCGCAAGATCAAGCTGCTGATCGATGCATATGCAGGTGTCGAGGTCGATCGGCGACGTGTACCTGAAGAAGCCGGAGATATGCAAGAGCAACCCGATGCTGCAGCAGACGATCTGCCCGTTCCCGCTGCGGCGACCGGTGATGAGCGCGGTGCCGACGATCAAGACGAGGAAGCTGAGGCCAGGGGACCAGTTCGTGATCTTCGCGTCGGACGGGCTGTGGGAGCAGCTCACCGACGAGGCGGCGGTGGCGATCGTGGCCGGGAGCCCGAGACGGGGCGTGGCGATGAGGCTGGTCAGGGCGGCGCAGCTGGAGGCGGCGAGGAAGAAGGACGTGAAGTACGAGAGGATCAGGACGATCGAGAAGGGGCAGAGGAGGCACTTCCACGACGACATCACCGTCGTCGTGCTCTTCCTCGACAAGTGCCGCGGCAAGGCCGGCCGCGGCGACGAGATCGACGGCACCGACGGCCCCGTCGACGTCTTCTCCCTCAGCCCCGACGACCGGGAGGACCCGACCAGGCCAGTGCTCCGTTGATCGACGGCGGCCGGAGCTTCAATTCCAGCCGCCGCCGGTGGTGTGTGTACGTACATACGACTGTTCTTGGTTCTTTAATTTGCTCCCCAAATCGAGGTTTGCATTTGGCGCGAAATTGGCCGTTTCAGCCAGAAAGGTTTGGTTTTTTAAGTTGCCAGTTGCCACGCAGGTCTGGTGTTCATCACCCTCAAATCGTTTTCTGGTTCAAAGCTTCAAAATTCAATTTGTTTTGGTTGGTTTTCTAGAAATAATGCTGCAACCACTTCATCGGAGAGAACTACGTGTAATTTAGTTGTGAAGAGTAGACAGTAGTAGTACTGTAGTAGTGTCGTGTCTTGTAAATTCTAAACATAACAAGTTGCTCAAGCTTCTCCATTGGAGAGAGGCATCCAAATTTGTTACTCCATCTGTTCTGTTAGTGTTCTTGAATGCAGCCAAGCCAACCAAAGCAGACATTGGGTCTCACAATTCACAAAATTCAGATCGAGAAGCTCAACGAAGTCCACTGTGCATGCATGCAACACCGTCATCACTCATCAGCGGCAAAACATGAGTCATATAGTCTTGCTGAAATTTTGCATGAAATTTTGAGGATAAGAGGGCAGCCACAATCTTGGATCGGTTCAACCAACACTTGTGAGCTGTGACTTCACCGGTCAACATGGGTGCTGTCCTCTCTTCCAAACTGCATTTATTTGTAGAGATGAAAAAGATATCTGCGAAGAAATGGTAGATGAAAAAGATATTTGTCAAGCAAGTGCTTTGAAGATTTCTTGGTAGTGGGTTGGATAGTTTCCAAGTTAGCTGAGCCGTGAAAGCGAAAGCAAATTTCCAGTTCTGCAATTGCGGTTGCTGATCCATTCAACGAAGAACCATAGTCTACCGGGTTCAAACGCAAGTCAAAAGTACACTAGTGCTATAACGCGTAGGACTGTCCAAATGGCATTTTTTTTCTTTTTAATCTGAATAGGAATGGAATCCTTATTATACAAAAAACAGTGAACACGAATGATTCGGGAATTCCTACTGCTTTTCAATCCTGAAGTTTCTGAAGAATCTGATACAGAGGTGATGGCGTAGTTTTTAGCTGTAGCTTGACCAAATGACCATGTGTTTTGAGTCCTGAGTCCAGGTCTCTCATTCTGGTTTTTGGCTTTTGACTTCTGAATCACTTCATTGCAGGTCATCGCAGGTGGTTAGAAACTTTACTACTAGCATAATTGCATTTGCTTATGATCAACTTGACTTTGACTCCAGCTACAAGGCGACCTGACAAAACCAATGGGGCGTGTCAGTTTGTTGTTTCCATGTGACTTGTTCTTGCAAGTCATTTTATTTCCCTCTCGACAACAGTTACCGGGAGACAATCATGCATTAAATTGCTAGTTGTTGGTACCGGTTTACGCCAAAATCACACCATCACGAGTTTAGCCTGAAAATATCAGAATAACTAGCCGGTACCCCCGCGCTTCGCTGCGGTGAGCTAGGAAGATTGCTCATGTTCCAGTAATAAGACTATAATTAAAATCTTGATATAATCAGGTCTTGTTGAATGGCATGTATTAAAGAATGATAAAAATATATAGTGAACGGTTAATATTTACACGGATAAATGAGCTAGTGTGTCGGTTGGACATCACATAGCACTATTGCTTATATTGGCAGCACTGCAATAAACATACTACATGAGGTAGATATGGATAAAACAATGGTTATTGTTTGGATGGTTGTGTAGCATTTCCTTCCCCAAGTTACATGATGTAAACAACTACCTGCTTGAAGAGCTTTCTTCTTTCAGGACAAATGGAAGGCATAAATTTTTCCAAGCTTTATCCCTATCTAGAGCGAACTGCTTTCATCCTGTCGCAAAGCTGAACGTCTATTAATTGAAATTGTAGAAGTCATTGCGGTTGCCTTTCTTCGAAGAGTTTCAACCTGAATATATGTTGATCGCTTTGCTACATGGGTGCTATATGCACTAATGCATCATAAAAATAAACTGATAACCACCAATTTAATACTTTGATTCCCCATGAATCAATGGAAACAAATGCTATCTGTCCATGTGACCAGCACTAAGAAAAAACACAAACTCTATAGTTACCTGCTGGTGCCATTTAATTTCCGTGGTACATTGGGAAATAATTTGTTCAATAAGTTTGACATCATTTGATTTAACATAAACACTAAAAGCCTAGCACAAGAACACTATCATCCATCATCAGCACTAAGATAAAATCAAAACATTTACTGATGCTGAAGACCTCTAAAATCATGCACTTAATTTGGAACTGAAATGCTGCTTAAACAGGTATTTTACAATTGTTTTTATGAGCAGGTATAATTAAAGAAATAAAAAATGGCATACCATGCATTACTCTCTATTAATGCTCTGATCAGGGTGCACAAAGCCACAAAAAGCTGGGGTTTCCACCAACTATATTTGGCAAGTGCAATACCAGGATATGAAGATAATAACGTTTAGCCTGAAAAAGATATTAGAACATATCCCTTGTTTAAGAACATATACTAATTATCAATCTGATAAGAAAGCAATGAGAAGAACATTTAGTTTTACCTGTCCTCTATTTACGAATTACTCAATTATTCTATGCTTGTCTTTGGTAATGATTATTGATGGATTATAAACCAACCTGCCAAAAGTGGAAATAGGAAAGGAAACAAACCATCTTGAGTGAGTATACAAAAAGCAAGAGCAGCAGAATGAGGCTATAGAAACTGTTAAGATATAAAGGCTACAGTTTTGCTATCCAAGATTCTAATTAGGACATGCTTCCAAAAGGTTTCCCTAAAAAAAGTGCTCCCAAAAGCTTCACCGTTTAACTTGAAATTGGTCAGAACACCTGCGCTCAAAGTTTCTACTTTTAATGCAGATGAAGCCCATAGCAGGGAAGAGATCCCCATTTTAAAAAAGGATATGAAAGAGAAAGAGGAGCAGACAACAAATTGTAACTGAAAGAAGCTCATCACAGCAACTGAATTACCTCCAAAGACCTCCAATAAGTAAGGAGTAGGAGTTCGGCATTCAAATTAGCATACCAAGATGGCATCTTTAATACAAATTGGCATGGAAATCCGCTCGTCTAACTGCAAGAACAATGGATGAACATATAGGAAACACGCCAAGCTGAGATCCTGCCAGATTACAGTACCACATTGTTTAACCAAGCTACCATTGCAAATCCCTTCTCAGCAGCAAACAAATAGACAGAGAGAACTGCAGCAAAAGAAGTACATGCAGAACATCATTTTAATAGTATAAGCTGTGAATTTGCTGATTTGCAATAACTACAAAGAATCAACCTGCTCCTGGCAATGCACCTCAACAGCTACCCACCGTCGAACAGAGCACCACTTTTGCTCCCTCTGAGCTTCAGTGAAAAAACAAATTTGTAGATCATAAAATTGTGTGGTATTGGCCTATTGAGGGCTTCCTATCGTTCCCAACATCATTGAGTGGCTCCATCTTACGTACTCTCACCAACAAAACAGAACCACCACCACCAGTAATGCATGAAAGCATGAGACAGTGGGCCATGGCCAGGGAGACAACGTGGGCACATCAAGATCAGCTGGTCATGGTTAGCATTGAACAAAATTAGAGAACATAATCTCCCAACCATGGTAGGACACAGGGAATGCGGTGGAAACAAATGTTGTATAACAACACAATGAACGAATAATTACTTTACTGAAGGAAAAGTAAAAGCATACCTAGCCTGGTGGAGAAGGAAATCAAAGCGGCTAGCCAGACCATAGTGTGGCAGCGGTTTGAGAAATGTCACACTGTTAACAACCAAATTTGGTAAATTCTATCACTATGGGCATCGAAGGTGAAGATCAGATCGAAGTGGAATCCAAAATGAAGATCGTTGCGGAAACAGAGTAAGAATCGGCTGCAGTCCAAATCGGCTAAGGTCAGGTCGGCAGAGTTCGAGTCGGACGGGGCTAGCCGATACAGCCGATTCCGATAATATGACTCGGCGTATGTCGTCGGGTTCAAGTTGATGTGCTTCAAAGATGATTGCCACGCATGGATAGAGTCTTGGGAAGGCAATCGTATCTATTAATTAGGATATTCTGTATAATTTCCTTAGAGATATGTTTGGGCAAAAGTCTGCCGTAAAGACTTATGGTATCTTAGAGTTTGTTAGAGATAATAGTCGTGTCCGTTATGGACGTATCTTGTAATTCTCGGGTATAAGTAGACCCGAGCCCTATGTAAAAAAAAAGGACACACATCCAATACAATCTCGGCGCATCGCCACCCTTTTTGCTTTACTTTTCGACGAGTTCGTGCTCTCGGGTTGAGCTGCATCGGTTTCGATCTTCAACAAGAGGTAAAACTTGTCATGACGATTTATATTCTCAGGATTAGTGCTTCCATCTTTATGATACTCTAATCTTGTCTATATAATTCGTCGAGTTATCATATATCTCACATAATCTTCGATAATATCTCTATCTAACCTATAACCGGCTAACATCTGTTAATGGAAGGCAACCGATTAGGTTAGACAATGATGTTAACTTAGATTATGTGATATATCTACCACTCTATGAAACTTCCAGCGGCTTGATTGTCTAGACATTGTTCTTCTTTTCATACTTAATGTTGCATCAGTTGAGTTTGATCTATTAAGTCGTGCTTAGATTTGCAATCTCTAGCCTGCTTTCTGGTTGCCGATTAGGGTAGTATCGGAGTTTCAGCCGATCTTATCTGATTTAACTACTTTTATTCCATATGCTTAATCTATATGTTAAATCTGCCCTTTATGTTAGGATCTTGTCGCATCTAGGTATATTAGGCTTCTGTTTGGTATATTCTACTTGCTTTAACATCTTAATATAGAGTGGTATCGGAGTATTAGCCGATACATGCTAGATCCATTTGATCGGCTATGCTATAAATGTATATAATCCCACTATTAATATATATTTCGATCTAAGTGATTTATACTGTCTCGGCAAGGCGACCGATCTATCCCAATCACTTGATTTAAGTATATATCGATATAAGGATTATATATCATTAATATCTACAGCCGATCGAGTAGATTTAGTTCTGATTTGCTTATTGATATTTGCTGATCGATGTACGCATGACATCGGCTTGAAATAAATGATATGTCATCGGCACCTAGCCGATCGGCTATCATTTATAGGATTAATTGCGGTTTCTTTGTTCTATTTCTTGTTGATTGCAGGATCAAATCAATTGGCACGCTCATACACCCGAAGGCGAGTTTTGAACCTGCACTGGAGTTAAGCAAATCTCCCAGGCCTCGTGTTTTCTGTCAACACACACATCTCATCCTGCCATTTCGTCAAGCATAACAAAATTATACTTAAATTTAACATCCCTGAAATACATAAAAGCTTAGGTCCTTAGAGCAATGCAAGGAACAGGGAATCGAACCAAAAGCTAAGCACAAAAGGCACAGAAGAGGAAAGAGGGAAAATAAGAGGTGCAGACGTCGTCGTACCTGCGGAAGAGGAGGCAACGATTGGGGATCCACTGAGCCGATAGGAGGCGAGGTCACCGCTGGCGCTGAAGATGGAAGGGTTCGCGAGAGGGCGAGAGAGGGTACCGCCGGGAAGCAACCCATCGACGGGGAGGCCACTCGCCGTCGGCTCGAAAAAGAGGAGCGGGAAGAAAGAAAGGAAGACCACAATGACGGCGGAGGCGGCGACGACGACAGATGCGCGTGCCCGTGTACGGGACGAAGGAATCACTCCGCAAGAAGGCGGCAGCGGCGGCGACGGCCGGGCCTCACTCCGCAAGATTTGGGGATTTTAGGAAGGGAGGAGCCGTGGATGTCGAGATGGTGCCAGCCACGTCAATTGGTTCGCCTAGCGTGTGTTTGGTTCTGGGACTAGGTGGGATGGGATGAAACCATCCCCGATTTGAGGATTGGGATGATTCCATTCGGATGTTTGGTTTGTAGAATAGGACGATCCCAGTTTTTTGTTTGGTTCAAGGAACGAGGGAGGGATGGGATGAGCGCCATTTGCAACCACCAACAACGCCGTTTGCAACAACCATGGCCGACGCCGCCTCTGCCCGCACCTCCGGACGTGGTCGCCACCGGCCTCCTTGATGGCGTCGATGAGCGGCTGCGGGGGGCTCGGCGACGGCGGCGGTAGACGGCTCGGGCGACAGCGGCGGCGGCGGGCTCGGGCGACGTCGGCGGCGGTGGGCTCGGCGACGACGACGGACGGGATGACCCAACCGAGCACTGGCGGCGATGGTGTCGGCCTTCGCGCAGAGCAGCCGCGGCTCGGCGATGACGACGGCGGCGAGGTCCGCGCGGGAGAGGGAGAGGGAGAGGCCGGTGGAGAGGAGGGCGAGCACGACCACCATCGCGGTCGGGCGGGCGGAGAAGCGCGACGACGCACGGTCGGCCTTCGCGTAGAGCAGCCGCGGCTCAGCGACGATGACGGCGGCGAGGTCCGCGCGGGAGAGGGAGAGGGAGAGGCCGGTGGAGAGGAGGGCGAGCACGGCCACCATCGTGGTCGGGCGGGCGGAGAAGCTCGACCACACACGGTCGGCCCGCCGCCGAGTTCCCCGCCTCCGGATCCGTCGCCACAACCTTCCCCATCGCCGGATCCGCCGCCGCCGCCCTCCACACCACCGGATCCGCCGCCGCCGCCCTCCCCACCAATGGATCCGCCACCACCGAGTCCCCCGCCGCCGCTGTCGTCGAGGCCGCCGCCGCCGCCGTCGTCGAGCCCACCGCCGCCACCGTCGCCCGAGCCATCTACCGCCGCCGTCGCCGAGCCCCCCACCGCCGCCGTTGCCGAGCCCACCGCCGCCGTCGCCGAGCCCGCCGCCGTCTCCCGAGGAAGAGCGCGCGAGCAAAGCGGCGGTTTCACGCCGTCGCTCGTCCCAGGTGGGACGAGTTCGTCCGCCAGTTTTGGCCGGACCGATTGGTCCCGGATCTGAGAGGAATATTCCTCTGTAGGGACCAACCCATCCCACTCACCCCTGAACCAAACACCCCTAAAAATGGGTTCATCCCATCCCATCCCATCCCATCCCAGCAACCAAACACTACCCTAGGGAAGCGAGGATGGAGGGGATCGGGGAAGCCATGTGGGACGGAGCGATGCGCGTGCGAGGTGTGGATGGTTGGATCAAACCAACGCGCGGACATCGGACGGTGCATGCATGGCAAGGGACTGTAGTACTGTAGCACATTTTCCTAGACTGTGGTTCATCGAATCACTGCTGGTAGTGGGGTCAAAAAAACTAAGGATTTAATATGATAGGGGGAAACATTTTTAAACTCTTAAATGAGATATCCTCTTGTTCGCTCAAATACCATCTAAATAGTTATATCAATAATTTTGACAACATTCTTACTTCAAACTACTCTAAACTTAACTCACACATCAAGAAATAAAAAAGACAAACCCAATGTACGAGAAACACCCAAGGATCTTCTGGCTAGCTCCAAAGTTGATGGACTAGACGACTTAGATTCGAAGCCTCACCATTTCTAATTATTTGGTATTAGATTATTCCCTAATATTCACGTCTATTTTTTTCAAAGTCAATGTATAAATAGATATTGCATTACTATTTGTATCTGATTTTTTTTCTTCTCAAAGTGTAGATCGAGAGGGATTAGAATCCATTCCTAATAATATGTATAAATCGTGACATCCATTTTAAGAGATATTTTGCAGACAGAGAACTCCAAACTCTGGAAAACTAGAACTTCCGAACATCAGAACCTCAAATTACAACTTCAAACTGCAAGAACTTTTGAGTGAGTTTTTTAAATCTAACAGAGAGCTAAATATTTTTGAAAAATCGGACATTCCGATGCTCTTAGAACTTCCGATCTAAGTTGGTTAGTTTATGGTAGATTTGAAAGTGAATTTTGAGTGAATTGTAAATACCGGTTAATATTTAGCAGAGTGAATTGCAGTTTGAGCCACCTTTTCTACTCTATAATTCACCAACTCACTGTTACACCTACATTACCCATTCATCAAATCCAACGCTCTGTATTTATCGAATCCAACGGCTCCGATCGCCCCACGCACACTCACGCAGACGCCGGCGATGCCCCAGTGGCCCCACCCTGCGCAGATCGTTGCCGCGCCGCCCTCCGCCGTCATCGCCTCCCTCACGCACCGCACCTTCGTCGTCGTCGCATCGCTCCCGCGCCGCCCCTCTGTGATTCCTCCCCTCCGCGCGGCCCTCTCCCGCTCTCCGCGTCACCCCTCTCCGCTCGAGCCCATCCCGCCGCCAGTTCATCGTCGCACGCCGCATCACTCGGATCAATGTCGCCGTCGCACGCCTTCATCTGCACATCGCCCAGATCGGCACTCGCCCTCACCGCATACGCTCGTCCTCGGACAGATGGGCACCACCGCCGTCGCCGTCGCGCTCATTCCTCCCCGTCCAACCCGCGGGCCTCGCCACAGCCAACCCTGCCCACGAGGTAAAACAGCAATGCTTACCCTTGGTACTTTCTTTGATCAGTTTTGCATTCCATCAATATTCCTGTATCATATAGTCTTTATTGTACCTAGAATCAGCAATGCTTACCCTTGCCACTTTCTTTGTCCAATGTAATCTCCTTTGGCAAGTTTTTGATGTAAGGTATTGTCCTGCATTTTGTTTCATTTTTTCAGTTCTCTGACAGGCTATGTTGGGTTTGGTTTTGAAACTCTATACAGTCACTCGCTTTAACTAAATAGAGAAATTACTGATGCCTAAATCAATTGAGAGTTTCTGGAGTTGTTAAGGAGTACATCCAGGAGAAGAAATTGGAGATCAGTGATTCTTAATTATGCAATTCAATTCCATTGATTAATGAAAAGACTAAAGTGAAACACTCCATCTAAGCACAGGTTGATGGGTGCAAATGCACTTAACTGTTAGTAATTGTAGGACATTATCTCATTCCTTTTTTGAGACATTGCACAAATCTGAAAAACTGTAACTATGGGCCTGTTTGGTACAGCTCAAACTCCTAAATATAACTCCAGGAGCTGAGTCTGGAGTGGAGTTGTGGAGCTGCCTAAACCTAGCTCCACAACTCTAGTACATTTTGTGAGAGAGCTCCACCTAACTCCACTCCTAGTTCTGGTGGAGCTGAAACTGTTTGGCTGAGCTCCAGCTCCAGGAGGGGTGGAGCTGGAGCTGGAGCTGTGCCAAACAGGCCCTATATCTTGGTGTTAAACTTGTTAATATCATCTGGGACTTTGAAATGTGTGGGATATGCTAGAGCATCATACTTTGTTTCTAAGGGAACAATAATGAGTGAACTGAAACAATGAGTGAAGGATGCCTCAAGCATTCAAAGTCCCAGACGGTGCAAAGAAAGTGCTGGTATACTCTCTAATCTTCTCTTGTAAATTTCACTCTTGCTTTCTCTGTGCACTGAGCATCCCTCTTGAATTTCATTTTTTTCTGAGGTTCCCAATAATTTTGTTGATTTGCCTGTTTCATTATCAGATTGAAAACTAACAAACCGATACTAGATTGTGATGATTGTTGGACGGTAGACTGTTATGAGCACTACAAACTGATATGATTGTTGCAACTGCCGTTGAGAGGGGCTGATTCAAGAGATAATTTGAGCTCTGATGAAACAGCTTGGAAGCTGGAATATGCACATGAATATTGGATCATGTTAACCAGGAGGTATATAGTGACGTTATAATTTTCATCATTGTAGGTGACATATCTATGTTTAGCTATAAGATTTCTTAGTTAAAGGTCATCAAAATAAATGGTGCAGATCCTGCCACTAAACAATGGTTAGAGGTTGCTGGTGAACTTGCATGCCATTCTTCAGTGATGCGGTTGAAGTTACTTGGTGAGTTAAATTCTGAACCATTCTTATGGTTGACAACCATGCACATTTAAGAATTCACTAGGTGCATGTGATAATCCTTTGTGTCATCTAGGGGGGGGGGGGGGTACTATTTCCCTGTATTAAATATGTAACATAAGGACTTAATATTCATCTCTTTGTTTGCCTTGTGCCTTAATCCGATTCATCATAATTGTATTTTGTTTTGATAGGGGAAAGTATTTCTTCCACTGTTTTGCACATATATACCACATATTGCAGGTCCTTCTGTTTTGGAATCAGGGAAGTAGGAGGGTGGAGCAAATCTTTTTTGAAGCAATGTTGTATCAACACCTCGTTATTTTGTTTGCTTTATGCTCATATGAGATTTCTTAAGCCAATCGGCATGCTCCTTCCGAACATACTTTGAATATGACATTGTTCAACTGTTTCACAAATTGATGGAAATGAACTAAATTGTTTTCTAATTCTTAAATTTTACAGTAAGCTGTTACCTATTGACAATATTCCCCTATGCTTTTAGGAATATGAGCAATTGGTTAGCGGTTAAGAACTACTTATTCATAGTCAGAAGATAATGTCCTACATAAGATGATCAGAAGATGTGCCTTTTTTGAAGTGTAAGAGAATGTTCTGCTCTGCATTCCCTTTCACTCTTTATAGCTTCTGTTTTGTTAAATACTAACATTCAATTTTACTTTAAATTTGAGTCCCTGGTTTAGCTACAACCATATATTGTAAGACCATACTGCCAAGGTTAGCAATTGCTTGTATTTTTCTTCTGCAAATAACTTGAAATATCAGCAAGTAATTGACCCATTACATACCCAAACCTGATGATAGTTCCAGATGAAGTAGTAATAGCTATACCAAATAAATTATTATTGTTTATTCTATTTATGTCATGGCTTCTGTATTCTGTCCATGTACTTTTGTATTTTGTAAAACATGCAGCCAATCACTCATGATAATTTGATGTAGGCAATAATTTCATCTTGCCATTCATATAATTCTGCCCGACGAGAGTGTCTGTAGCTCCCCCCCTCCCTTTCTTTTTGCTTCTTTTGCAGAGGCTATTGTGGTAGTAATTATGTTAATTGCTTGATTGAGTAAAGATGACACTTTTCATGGTTTCTTATTCAGCACAGTTAGTCGTACACTCTTATTGGCTTAAGAGGGAATGGCAATGGACAGAAATTTCAGGAAGGAGTCCAGCTAGAGTATAGGAAAGATGTGGAGGAAGCAACAAAACAAATTGTCTAGCTGAAAGAATCAACATTAAGTATGCCTGTGTAGATTACAAGCCTGTGGTCCTTATTGACCATTGCATACAGTTGAATTAACGGACTGCATTATATGCTGCGTCTGGTAACTATATTGATGACAGACAATTATTGCGATTATATCGACATATATAATTCTGTCTTTATCTGTCATTCCTTTTTTACGTGAATTTTAAATCTACCTTATTCTATATTTGATTGCCAAAACGTACATTATATTTTGCATTGGTTGTTTAATTTGCATTGCAAAAATATTGCCATAACATTAGCACATGTATATTTGCCATTGAAAGAAGATGTCCGCATGCATCGAGAGTATGGAGAGTATGAGTAATGGATAGGATTTGAAGCAAAACTGACTGGTGCTTGGATCTCCCAAATCTGAAAACTTAATTATCCACTTTTGCTTGTAAATATATATCCTATCTTATATTGATTGGATTGTCCAGATATCTAGCCCAATCTGCTAGGTTGATACCTATCCACAATATTAGATTATGAAAAATATATGTCACAATGTTGTTTTAAAGTTGTATTTGAATTTATTATAAGTAAATTATTGGAGTCTTTGGAACGAAGGTCAACAAATTGGGTGTAAGGCCAACATATAAATATCCCTGATAAATCTGTGCCTGAATAAAGTTGAGTGAGTTATGAATAAGGTCTTCGAGTTGTTTGACTCCAAACTTTATACAATTTAATAAATTTATGAGTATATGAAATTATTTTTAAGCCAAATATACACAAATCATTTATCGTGCTCACAAATACATGCATATCTTTGTTTGGATATTCGGTTTTTAAAATATTTTAAATTTATATTGTAAAAATATATATCTTGTTTTGGTTGTTTGATTTGCATTAATAACGAAATTTAGCCGTTGCGTTAGCACGGACATATTACTAGTATTGATAAAGTTTTACTTGAACTATTATTTGCCCAACCTTTACACTTTTCATTAGCTAATTTTGTCTTTATTATAATTTGGATCACCCCATACCACTTCTTCAGCACATCAATTATCTCGAGCACAACAACTCCGGTGCGCCCGCGAACTCCACCTATGTGTAGGCAGCATGCTATACCTTTGCCTGAAGAGAGACTAGACATGGTTAGAGGAGAAAGTTAGGTTGGTTTAAAGTGTAATAAACGTGAAGTTAACTAGTCCAAAGTAAAATATATATATATATATATATATATATATATATATATATATATATATATATATATATATATATATATATATATATAATTATATAAAGTGTAATCTAAAATGAAACTTTAACAATAAAAGATGATGAGAAACTGCAATTCACTCTGTCAGGCGCTCTTATTACGCCCTATCTTAACTGCAAACCATGCATGCATGTGCGAATTGCAATCGATTTGCCGGCTTAATTTGAGATCCCCAAGATCATCCTTCTTCTCGGCAGGTGGTGTATAAGCTGTGTGTTTGTCACGGCCACATGGGAACTCACAATATAGTATCCATGGCGGCTCTTGCCATTGGCCTCCTAAGCAGTTTGTTCTGCTCGAGTAACTTGCCCACAGGATAGTTTAATCAGCTTGCCATGTACTATCTGAATTCCTGCTAGTACAGTAGCTTGGGCCTAAAGTTCATCTTTTTTGGGGCCTCTTTTTCGAATTTCTTTCCCCTTTTTTTTCCTCCGTAGGGCAGCCGGCAACATGGATGCAGGATGCAGAATTAAAACATTTAAACTGTACTCCTCACTTGAAGGACCACAAATTGCTTTTGCTAATTGCAATGTATCACTCTTCACTTTGTGAGTGGGAATGGCACTTTCAGAAAGACAGAGAAAAAGATTGGTTTGCAGAAACATAAATCAGAGTTTCAGACTTCAGCAGGTTAATTCAGAAAATAAAAAGGATTAGTCTTGACTGCTGGATAATTTTCAGTTTAACATTTTAGCATCAGAAGTCGAAAATTCGTGTGAGCTACTTACTATAATGCAGGGACTTCGTTGAAAGCTGAAGCTAGCAATGGTAGCTAGCTTCTAAGCTAGTTAATTAGCCAAAACTAGTTTAATTAGCAGAGTGAAATCTGACGGGTAGGTTTGTTTAGTGTTTTGCCGGGTAGAAAGGCTTCAGGTTGGGTTAAATTAGGCTGTTTGTTGGGGGATTAACACTTAACAGCCGCAACTTTAGACCTTAGACACGCCACCCGGCGAATTATCAGCGCTAATGACATGCCATTAGCGTTTGCAGAGCGTGGTTAAGTGCATGCATGGACACAATTATCCAGCGAAAGCAACTGATGCCAAATCTTTGTCGACGCACGCCTAGCCCTAGTTCATGCCACTGATAATCAACCTTCTGTCAATTAAGTTACACAATATTGTATAAGAACCAGACAAGCAGAGGAAGCAGGCAGTACTGATTACTGAATCCTGAACTGATGACAGAGTGACTTGTCTGATTCAGAGAGATTCTGCTGTTAATTAGGATCTCTGACACTGTTGCCATCTGCTGAAACATTCCCAAAAATTTTAGCTACCTCGTACTGAATGAACTGGAGTATGTGTTTCTGTAATTCTGTCTTTACATGCAGGTTATAAGTACAGTTTCAGGTTAACTTCGAGCATCAGTAACGGGAAGAGAAGAGAGAAGCAAATTTGTTCAGGCTGCTGAACATATATAAAAGGACACTCTAGCTCTGCACTTTCATGAAAAGAAGTTAAGAACATCATATATATAATCCTTTGCCTAATTGACTAATTATATATCAGCATAACACCTGTCCCACTACTTGTACAAAACCCTACTCTTCTCTTCTACCTCTTGCACAAGCACAAGAACACAAGAACTCGGAAATGGAGCTGAACACCAGAAGCTTGCAGCAATCTGGTAGCAGCAAGAGCAAGGGCAAGATCATGGCGAAGATCGTCGAGGAGGATGAAGAGGGGGAGGAGGAGGAGGAAGAAGAAGAAGATAGCCTTAGCTCAGGTTGTCACTGCTTCTTGTGCGCCATCAAGGAGCCTGATGCTCGCCTCCGCCGCGCCAGCCTCGCCGCGTTCTTCCGGGAGTTGCCGTACTGTGAGGATGACGATGCCGGCGCCGGCGCCGGCGCCGGCGTTGATGGCGGACGGTCATGTGGTGAGGTGGTCGGCGCGGTGTGGAGGGCGGCCATGGCGGCGCCCGACGACCCGGAGCTCCCGTCGCTCGGCGCGATCCGGTGCATGTCGCTGCTCCTCGCTCGCGCGCTCGCCGACGTGGAGTGGCGCCGCCGTGGCCGGAACGTGTACGTGCCGTACTACGCCGCACACGTCATTGGCTCGTACACCATCCGCTCCTCCGCGCACGCCGAGCTGGCCGTCGCGGCCGGCGCCGTGCGGCCGCTGCTTGCCTTCCTCGGCGGCGCCATGACGTGGGTCGAGCAGCGCGCGGCGGCGCGTGCCCTGGGCCACCTCGCCAGCTACGACGCCACGTTCCCGGCCGTGGCACGGCACGCCGCCGAGGCGGTGCCGCTCGCCGTGCGCGCCGCGTCCACCTGCGTCGGCAACGTCTACGCGAGCTTCGTCGCGCTGGCGCCGAGCAAGCGGCCGAAGTACCAGCGCGATCTCTTGACGCGCGGGCTCGACGGCGGCGGCGGCGGCGTGGTCGCCGACGGCGAGGAACGGAAGGCGGAGGAGTGGGCGAGCCAGCTCCAGTGCTGGTCACTCTACTTCCTGAGCTGCCTCGCCTCCAGGGACGTGTCATCTCATGCCACGATATGCCATGACCCCGTCTTCTTGCGCGAGCTCTGCCAGATGTGGGGTGGCCTCGCCAACGGCGACTCGCCGGCCGGCGTCGGGCTGCTCCGCCTTCTCTGCAGGAGCACAGCCGGACGCGCCGCCATCGCCGCATGCCGCGACGCGCTCTCCGGCCTCTGCGACCTCGCGCGGTCGTCCGACGACTGGCAGTACATGGCCATCGACTGCTTGCTCCTCCTCCTCGACGACCGTGAGACATGGCACGCAGTCGCCGACGCCACGGCGGCGCGCCTCGTCGACCTGGCCGAGCTCCGGCACCTCGGCCCAAGGCGACGGCTCGGCAATGCAATAACAGCTGCACTGCTTCTTGACGACGGCGACGACGACGGCGACATTGTCCATGGCCGTGAGCTCGGCATGGAAGCAAAGGAGGCGATCGCCAGATTGAGAGAAGTGCAGGTAGAGAGGAAAGGGAGAGAAGACGCCATGTCTAGGGATGAGCTGCTCAAGAGAAGGATCATGGCGAAGGAGAAGAAGAGGCAAGGCAACGACATGTTCTGGCACGGCGAGGTGGAGAAGGCGATCGAGCTGTACACCGAGGCGCTGGAGCTGTGCCCGCTGAGCAGGCGGCGTGAGCGGCTGGTGCTGCACAGCAACCGCGCCCAGTGCCGGCTCGCGCGGCGCGACGCCGACGCGGCGGTGGGCGACGCGACGCGCGCGCTGTCGCTCGCGCGGCCCGCGGCGAACGCGCACGCCAGGAGCCTGTGGCGCCGCGCGCAGGCGTACGACATGAAGGGCATGGCCAGGGAGAGCCTCCTGGACTGCCTGGCCTTCGCCGGCGCGTGGCTCAACCGGAAGGACGGGACGGCGGCGGCCGCGGCGGCGGCGTCGCGCGGCGGGAACCCGAAGCTGCCGTACTGCGTCGCGCGGATGATCAGTAAGCAGATGGGCTTGACAGGTCTCTTCTCCGCCGTGGCGACGAACAGTAGCACCACCAAGGTAGATAGAGATGATCGCATGCCGCATTACAGCGACGGCGACGGCGACGGCGGCGACAGCGACGACGAGGAAGACGACGACGACGACGATCGTGATGAAAGCGAGGAGGAGGAATTTGCTGAGAAAGGAATGAAGCTTTGTAGGCCAGGTAGTAGTAATTAATTAACCTCTCGAGCTTAATTTACCTATGCAACTACTGCATATACATGTGTTATGCATGGTTAATCTTGATTCTGATCCAAATTGGTTAATTATCACCGATGATCAAAGTGGCTAATCTTGTTTGACCAGGTAAGGGTTTACCAATCATCACGGACGAGGCTTGGAGGAGATTAGCTCGGAGGAAGAAGGCAACGAGCCGAGTGTTGTCTCATGATCATCGATTCTAGCTTGATCCATTGAAGAAAGACAAGTAGACAGAGACAGATAGCTACAGTTCATTGATCATTGGTCGGGATGAATGATCATGATTCAGCAATTCGATCAGGGCTTAATCGCAGACTTGTTGTCATTAGCTAGAGCTGATGTGATGGGGGTAGTGGTTTAATTTGATGTTGACGCTGGCTTAGCTATACTTTCTAGCTAGCCTTGCATTTGTAGTTTCACTCACGTGATCAAATGATGTTCCCATTGATAATACTTCCGTATCTGTGCTAGATCTCTGTTATTTCTTGCAAGTTAGAAGTTGTCAATGTGAGAATGGCCGATCGCCCTATCGAATTGGTGAAAGCAGCTAAGCTACTTGATTCATAGAAATATCCTATTATTAGGTTTTTCATAACTTGAGGAAATGTTTCAGTTGAGAATTTCTGAAGAAATTATTAGCTTCCTGCCAAATTAATTAATCTGATCCATGTCAGCATTAATAAAACAATAATTAATTATAGGAAAAACATCGGTAGCGTGGTTATATGATTTCACTCATCAAATTTAAGCATAGTGTTAATGAATATTACGCACACGTTAATGCGCTAGCTCTCAATAGAACTTTTGTGAGCCTAAGGATTTACCAATGATCTTTTTTTTAGTGTGTGTTAGTGGCTAAGGATTTGCCAATTATCTTTGCATTTTTAGCGTGTTTGGAGGGTGTACTCGTAGACAGCATTGTATGTACGCATCCGTCTTTTATGTAATCGGAAAAAAAAACAACAACTCATTGAAATACTAGGGTATCATTTTTGTCCTCTTCACCCGTTTGAACTTTTACTTAAACACCTAAAAGAGACCAAACACACCTAAAAGAGACCAAACCTTAATTCCAATAAATTATATCTTCTAGCAAGACATTCACCGAGGATTAATCTTAACCAGAGAACCTGCTTAAAATTGGCAAATGAAACAACCACTAACACATTGAACTGTTGAACTCTAACAAAGTTCAACAGTTTGTTAAAAGCACATCTACATATGTGTAATATTTATGAGTAAGATTTAAATCTTAGTGGCTGGAGCCATATTCCATCCTTAGATGCCTCCTCCATCATACTACCTCCGTCCCAAAATAATTGTATTTCTAGGATTCAAAATTCGTCCCAAAATAATTGTAATTCTAGAGTACTAATTGCCCCATCAATCATCTCTCATTTAAATTTCTCCCTATTTTACCCTCAACCATCTTCCTACTCTCACATAAACACCATTTAATGAGGGGCACAATAGTCTTTCTTCTCAAATCTTAATATATGCTAAACAACATAGAATTACAATTATTTTGGGACGGAGGTAGTAAAACATTTCTTTTGCGATCACATGGCAGATGTGCACGTATACGTACTACTATACATGCAACACCACACTCACACACCCACGAATATGCACCCTAACAAATACTCAAAGAGACGAAAATCAACGGACATTCCTAATCTCAATAAATTCCTGTTGAAAGCACAATTACACATGCGCAATATTTGTGGGCACTTCATTAGTAAAGTACTTCACTCATGAGTCATGGCTCCACCACCACATCACTGGTGCTACTCCATTATAATAATAATAGTTGCCCTATAATAACTTAAAATATATATCTGCACTAGTAATTACTCACTCCCTCCCGGTATTCAAAATTTATCCAAAAAGCTTGTTAGTTTAGAGTATATTTTGTCACATCAATCACCACCAATTTATAATTTTCTCTATTCTACTCTCAACTATCAACTATATACACACCATTTGATGGAGGATATTATAGTCTTTTTTTCTAAACTTTAATTTTTGCTAAATAACCTAGAACGATAACTATATTGGAACGGAGGGAGTAAGCATTAAGGTCTATTCTGACTCTGATTTATTTTTCACATTCCTACGAAATTTGAACTCCTATCTGAAAATCCAGTGAAGTTCCAGACGTGGGCATGAACAGAAGGATCGGATGGGATGAGATGAACAGTACATCATGATTAGAGGATTGAGGGAGTGGCGCGACGTACAGAAGGCGACAAGGACGCATGATTAGCCAAGTGCCGAGCATGTCCTGACCCAATAATCGACTGAAGAATGTGGCGGCCGTACAGGCAAATTGAGCGTATCGCCAAATATAAATCCCGTGCAAAAGCTGAGCCGTGATGATTTGATTCGATCGGCAGGTGGTTACTGGGTACTAAGCCAGGACTAAAAGCGGTTAGTGCATACTAAGACGGTACTACTAAAAGTAATTATTTTTGTACTAAAAAGTGCTTTAAGCGCGCACATGACGAGCAAATGCTAGTGGCCCGTGGCCGCTTTCCGGATATAGCAACCTGGGAGCCCAACTTTTCAGTACAGAATTTACATTTCTTAGCTTAGCCTCCTGTAGAACAGTAGAAGCATGCGAATAGATTATAGTGAAAAATTCTGGAAATAATTGGGCGGTATCACCTTTTTATCATTGGTTCTTTTGTAAAATTGTATTTGCAGCTTTGATACTAATAATTCATCAATACATCAACGTAAGTCATTGATCCTCCAATAACATAAGCGCCGGCACCTGGCAACAGTGATGACAGCAACAGGCATAGGAAAAAATAAAATATCTGTAAAGTCATGTACATAACCACAAGACGCATGTGCGCAGTGATCTTGAAACTTCACTGTAACAACGATCTACTGTTATCTGAAACCTTATCGATCAGAACAATCTAAAGGATGAAAGGAAAGTGAAGAAATAAACAGGCCTAAATATTAAATGCAACACAGATGATTAATCTCAACATAGATCCACCCACTTCCATTTAACGATTTCATTTTGCCTCAGCGCACCACATAGTTCCTCAATCGTTTCTAATGCATACTACACAGAGATATTCCCTCTGTTCTCAACAGGGGCTCCACGAACTAAAGTAGTTAAAGTTATCAATGATGGACAGGTCAGATCTCATCGTCTTCGGTGGCTTCATCATCAACAGCAGAGCTGTTCCCGTTAGCAGGCTCCAATTGCTTGCCATTGGACCCTGGGGACTTGCCGTTGGACTTATTCTTTGTTGTTGGTTTTTTGCCCTTCTCGGCTTGCTGCAGCTCGAGGCCCTTAGCCGACAGCCTCCGCCTCCTCTTTGAGTTCACGGCTTCAGCTGGTTCTTCAGCAGTAGAATTATCCACTGCCAGAGAAATAAAACTAAGAATGATGCCCATGTTTCAGAGAAAATAGCAGTATAATTGACGGTGGAATTATCTTGAATGAATACTTGAAACAAGATCCTCTTTCTGCCTAGAAATACATTGTCATTTATTGCCAATACTTTCAAGTTATTCTAGTTTGCAACTTTGCATATGATGACCTGTAGTTTTCTTTGAATAACATGGTTTCCCAACTGTGCATTTATATTATACATATATATGAAATGAGTAAACTGCTACAATTTTGTTCAATTAAACTAAGGACCAGGTTCAATTTATATCTCACCATAATGACTGCACTACAGTGTTCCCTTGTGTGAAGAAATTGTGCAATTCTTTAGATCAATACAAAATGTACCACACTGCTAGTAGATTTCAATTGAAAAACAAATAAAAGTGATACTATCATACTACATATTATTGCATAATAATAAGAACTGAAATGAAATACTACCATAGTCTAGCACTTTACCTTCCATTGGACTAGATGCTGGAGGAATCGCTTGTCCATTCTGTACAGCATCCAATGAGGATGGGGAATCAGAATGATTGCTGTCCTCCAACTTCGATGAACTTCCAAGGCATTTGTCGGGCTGCTCATCGGGAGTGTCTGGGATAGGAATAGCTGCCAAGTAGATGAGCTCCATCGTTGTGCTACTGCTATCATCCAAATCACTGAACGTTGAGTTTTTATCATATGTCTCAATATCGACATACTCATCCTCGTTTACCAGTTGTTCTTCAGCCTATACAGAAAGATTTAGATAAAACACATTTTTATGGCACGAGTAACAGCTAAAAGTCTTAAAGACAGGTAAAGAATTGTCATTCACCTTTTCTACATATGCATTTAAGTCAAACTCATCCTCTCGTTCAACATACTCTTCGTTTTCTTCTAATTCTACAAAATCAGGAGCAAATGCACTCCAATTCTCTACATGTTCCTTGGCCCAAATGTATGCTAAGCCTGCTACAGACACTGAAACAATTGTAGGATCTACTGGATGCCAGGCAATATCAATAAGAGCTTCCTTTGGACCTTCAAGGATTTTTACAAGACGTCCTGATCGGTTCCATATGCACAATCTGTGCTCTCCTTTGCTTGCTGAAGCACCAACAATCCACTCACTATCACCACTAAAGCATGGTGCCTTCCACGGTATCTTTGCGATAGCATCCAAAAGTTCACAAGAAATAGCTAGGCAGCTTGCACCATTTGCTTTTAGCTTCTCGTAGTGACTCTCATAGCTAATGTTGTTACTGCTTATTTTTTCTATCTCCTCTCCAGAACCTTTAACAGGCAGAAGATTATCATAGACTCTAATCACCCGATCATTAGAGTTTGTGAGTAGATATCGGCCATCCCTGCTGAAAACAATATCCTTAACTACTGTTCCACCTGGGATGGGAATCACAGCATGTACCTTGATGCTTTTTGAATCTATAATTAATATCTCTCCCTTGGAATTGCCCACATATATCAGATCCCCATACTTGTCAAATGTTGCAGCAGTTGGTGTAAAAGGTGGAGAACCATCAGAAAATTTATTGCGAGTATTAGGAGCAGGGAGGTTACCATTATCAGACAGAAAAGCTGGGAGAACTGTAGTACTTCCAGTGTTTAAATCAACAAGAATAGGTGCAGACGAGAGAGGGCATGCCAAACAAATAGATGGGGTAGATGGACCACCAGGATGAAGACGGACACTTAACGGAGTCTGCTGAAGAGTAATGCGGGCAATTTTTTTCTCATTTACCACATGCCAAAGTGTCAATGACTTGTCAGTAGCAGAGGCGAGCAAATGGTGACCATATTTAGACCAGGCCACACTTGTTATAGGTGCAGTACAATCTTTATCATGCAGTTCTCTTGCAATCCCCCTTGTTTCAAAGTCCCAGATAACACAGGTACCATTTGCACATCCAGCTGAAAAAAAAAATCAACTGACATAAATTGTTGGATAAATTTGCTTTCAGGGTTCAAGTACAAAGCAGCAGTCCACCAAAATTTATGGCACTCCACATGAATGATGTTTTTACATCTGTGTATAGATATATCACAAGGCCTTACAGGTGTGCACAGGTTAGTCTTAGAAAAGAACAAAAGGATGCATTAAAGTAAACAGATCCCTTATCATATCATCATGTTATACTTATATGTGGCAATGCCAAGATAAATAGAGATGCGGAGACAACACAAAAGAAGAAAAGGAACTACTTCAGGCTACAAGAAATGGCTTTGGTTACTGTTAAGTGTTAACAGCTAAAGAAACTTCAAACAGATTAAAACTAACATTAATCGTGCAGGCATGCTTCACAAGCGCACAGTGTAAAATAAACAGTCTGTGTGAAATAAGAAGATAATTACATATGAGCACAATTTAAGTGTACTGTTACAGGAATATAAAATGGGATAATTACCAGCAAGGAGAGTTCCTCTGCGGTTGAATGCTATGCATTTCATACTCCCATACTGCAAGAACTCCTCAATCGTCTCAGGGAAATCCCCCTGCAAAGGATCTAAACCAACATAACATAGCAGAGGTCAGTATATTGCTGCAAAATTCACTGTAGTTTTATCATAAAAAAACACAAGACAATGCTCATTGACTCTTAGCACAACATCCGTAATTGCAAAAGAACCAGTTATCTGAACAGAAAATTTCAGAATTTGATGCACGTAGAAAATGCAGCGCCACTAGTAAAGGCACCAGTGCATTCCCAAATTTAACCAATAGGCCAATACTGCAAATCTTCTCAAATCCTACTCCTAGATAAGCAAAACAATCGAAAATCTGAGCCTAAATCTTGAATACCACTTCATTTCAATGCATCCAGGAGACAGAAACCAGCAAAAGCGTTCACTATAGCACAAATACACGCTAATGTTACCCACAAGTCCCAAAATCACCAAAAGAGGGGGGAAACTAGGGCCAAACAGCGCAGCCCTAATTCGCGCAAATCCGCCCTAGAAACCTAAAATCCCACCCAAATCGGCGGAAGTACCGCACAAATCCCCCAAACTCTCGACCTACCCACCCCCGAATCGCTCCAATCACCGCGTCCCCGACCCATCCCGCCGCCCCCACGCAGAATGCGAGAGAGAGACGAAACTCACCGACTATAGGGACGTTCATCGCGGCGGCGCCACCCCCTCAGCCTCGCCTCGCCGCGCCGCTGTCCCCAGGCGGAGGCAACCGGCGAACCGCCCCCAAGAAAACACCAGGTGGCGAGAGCGCGCGCCACGCCGGACGGACCAGGGCGAGGGCTAGGGCGGAGGAGGCCGCCCCGCTGCTGCTCCGCTACACAAAGCCCTAGGAAGGGAAAAACCTCTCTCTCTCTCTCTCTCTCTCTCTCTCTCTCTCGGCGGAAGAGTGAGGAGGGGAAGGAGGGGATATGCGTTTGGAGCACGAGTCCGAAACCGGCGCGCGCTGGGCCGAGGCGAGGCGCGCGCGGGGCAGGGGAAGGGAGGAATTCGCCCTGTTATATTCTGATTCTGATTATTCAGATTTTATTTCGATATTGGTTATGGTGTAACATCCCGGCTCAGGACTTAATAAGATTAATATAATACTCATATTAACAAGTTGTAACTTCTTTTTCGGAAGCTGATGTCTAAAGAACTCCAGGGTTAAACGTGCTTGGCCTAGAGCATATGTAGGCGGACCCGAACGCTTTGTCTGTGGCCAAGAGGGGGACCTGAGGACAAGGGATGGGTGACCGACCGGTTTCACGGGCAGAGCAATTTGAAACGGGTGACCGGCTGAGAAATTCTTCCCGGGTGAGTGCACACGACAATTTGGGATGGGTGACCGACCGAAAACTCCAAGGGATGGGTGACCGACCGGTTTCACGGGCAGAGCAATTTGAAACGGGTGACCGACTGAGAAATTCTTCCCGGGTGAGTGCACACGAGTGAGGACAAGTGATGGGTGACCGACCAGGAATTCAAGCAATTTGGGATGGGTGACCGACCGAAAACTCCAGGGTTAAGCGTGCTTGGCCTGGAGCAATTTGGGACGGGTGACCGACCGAGAAATTCTTCCCGGGTGGGTGCACACGAGTGAGTGTAAGTTCAAGTGCCTTAATTTGGTTTCGGTGATTAATGACAAATCTAATTATATGAGACTAACGTTTTTATGAGTCTTTTTTTGACTAATCTTATTTGGATATGAAAGTAAAAATGATGGGAGGTATGTATTAAACTTCACATATTCTAACTTGGTCTCTCTTGTGGATCCAAAATATAGTGTGAGCTCCCTTATTGATCTTGATTGATTATGTGCATATGCATTCCTTCATATCCATATGTATGCACATCTTGAGAGGGAGCTTATTCTATATTTTGTTCATTATAAGATCTCTACCTTGATTTGAAATTATCTTTCATCTCATCTCTTTGTATTGTTTATATCGGATTATTATCTATCACAAAAGAGAGAAAAGATTGAAAGATCTTGGATTAAACAATTTGTGTAATTGTTACTTTGGTGATAGATGATAAACCGATGTTTATGGGATTAACCTCTCTTTTCTATAAGTTTTCAACAAGGTTATTTCCCGACAATGAGATGTGGTAGATATGCATTCTTTGGTGATGGACTTTAATCATGACAAGGATGAAATTCATGGAGATAAAGCGATATGTATCACTTCTTATCTCCTACTTTTTGATAGGTTCATATATATGATTTCCATGTTATTGTTATATAAGTGTAAGACTAATATTTACTTAGTCTCCTTTACATTGAGAACATGGAGATCATGAAGGTATGTGTTTTTTTTTATCTTCATCATTACTACATATGCCTTCTCTATGTGTATAGGATAAACCCCCCATTGGTTCTTCTTTACTTATGCATACACTTGTCTCTCTTGTATATTTCTTTGTATGCATATACTTAGGGGGAGCAAATCCTATATATTTATTGTGCATGTTTTAGATCCATATTGTTCACCTATTATTTATATCGGATCTTTGCACTTGAACTTGCATACGAGTATATGACACTTGTGATGTTAATGAATACTCAACAAACATATACATATCTTTCATATGTAACCGGTTGGTCATTAAGTGAAGGATGACAACCGATTTGTTGAGACTAATGTTCTCCTTTGAGATGTGAAAAGGAATAGGTCCCACTATGATGAGGCTAATGGATGACACCATGGGTTAATGGTCACCAAGCCAAGGACATCGCCATGTTGGCAAGAATGAAATCAAGCTTGTGATGAGAAGAAAGTCTTAACAAATGATGGTAAATATCTTGGTATAAACATGGTTGAATCAAATGGTCACAAGTGTTGATCTCGACTCAAGCTTGACCCCAAGATGGATAGCGCAAGGCAAAGGTATAATGTAGCTAAGAATGTTTTCTTAGTCTTTTCCCGGTCTTGGTGTTTGGTGTAGACCGGATTTGCTAGATAGGCGCCGTACTATCAAGAGGGGTCTATGAAGCGAGCTTGTGGATGATCTTGTGCCATATTAGTTCATATGCATGTGTGTGTATTTGGTGGGCTTGTCTAGCCAAGTGTGGTGAGTTTTCTCAAGTCCTAAACAAAGAGAGATGTGGGCAAATCCTATAGGTTTGGGTAGCCTCATGTGGTTATGTCCGGTGGAGTATCCTTTGGAGTGTGAGCCCTTTCTCCCTGAGAAAAGTTGTGTTTCTTAGATGGATTGTTCATGGGTTGGATAGCCCTTTGAATAAGCTTTCCATAAAGTCCAAGAACGCCAAATTCCGAGACCCGAGTCAAGAGATATCGTCGTTTTACTAACGGTCGGTTGAGTTGAAAAGTGACCTGCGGTCTGACCGTGGGCCTTAGGCCGGTCGGACCGGGCCTGTTAGCCGGTCTGACCGGCGTGGTAAGGCCGGTCTGACCGGCCCCATTGGTCTGTTGCACTGGTTTGGTTTTTGGTGGCGATACAGAGCCGCCAGAGCCGCAACCAGTCAGACCGAGCCGACGGCGGTCTGACCGAGCTGTGGACGGTCTGACCGGCCACTACACTGCGGTCAGACCGGCCAGATTGAGTGGGCTCAATGATTGCCCTGTAACGGCTAGTTACAGGGCAAAACTAGCCGTTACAAAGTAGTCCGGTCTGACCGGCCTTACAACGGCGGTCTGACCGGCAGAGCACAAAGTTGGGGATTTCGGTTCCAACGGCTAGTTTTGGTAGTTGGGGGTATATATACCCACTCCCCAGCAGTAAGGGTAAGGTTTTGGCACTCCATTGCATTATCTTGAACCCTTGCAAGAGCTCTCACACCCTTGTGCACTTAGTTTATCTAGTGAGGTATTAGAGAGTGAGTTAAGCCAATCCAAGTGCATTGCTTCATTGTTATAACTAGTATGGCACTTGATCATCCTCGGCAAGCATCCTAGACTTGTTACTCTTGGAGGTTGCCGCCTCCTAAACGGCTTGTGTAGGTGTTGCCCGGTGACCTCTCCGAGGAGATTGTGGAGGAGGTTAAGCGTGCTTGGCCGAACTCCAGGGTTAAGCGCGCTTGGCCTGGAGCAATTTGGGATGGGTGACCCTGATGTCCAAAGAACTCCAGGGTTAAGCGTGCTTTATCCGTGGCCAAGAGGGGGACCTGATGTCCAAAGAAACTCCAGGGTTAAGCGTGCTTGGCCTAGAGCAATTTGGGATGGGTGACCGACCGGAAAATTCGTCCCGGGTGCACACGAGTGAGGACAAAGTGTGCACTAGAGCAATTTGGGATGGGTGACCGACCGAACTCCAGGGTTAAGCGTGCTTGGCCTGGAGCAATTTGGGATGGGTGACCCTGATGTCCAAAGAACTCCAGGGTTAAGAACTCCAGGGTTAAGCGTATTTTGTCTGTGGCCAAGAGGGGGACCTAATGTCCAAAGAACTCTAGGGTTAAGTGTGCTTGGCCTGGAGCAATTTGGGATGGTGACCGACCGGAAAATTCTTCCCGGGTGCACACGAGTGAGGACAAAGTGTGCACTAGAGCAATTTGGGATGGGTGACCGACCGGGAAGATTCCCGGGTGCACACGAGTGAGGACAAAGTGTGCACTGGAGCAATTTGGGATGGGTGACCGACCAGGAAATTCTTCCCGGGTGCACACGAGTGAGGACAAAGTGTGCACTGGAGCAATTTGGGATGGGTGACCGACCGGGAAATTCTTCCCGGGTGCACATGAGGACAAAGTGTGCACTGGAGCAATTTGGGATGGGTGACCGACCGGGAAATTCTTCCCGGGTGCACATGTGCAGAAAAGACTTGTGTTACCCTGTGAGGGCAGTTTATGACATATGAAAGCTGTCATATGTAAGCGGACCCGCCCTGGGAGAGGCGGGACGTTATTATCATGTTTTTTAAACTACTAATTCCTCTATTTCAGATTATAAGTACACTAGTATTTTCATTTACACTTCAAATCATCAGATTAAAAAAAATAAAAACTACTAGTTGGCTCGTATTGTTCAAGTGTAAGATGTGGCCAAGATTCCTGGTCGAATGCTTTCTTAACGAAGACCGCCATCCTTATTCTTGTTTGATGGGGGTTTATCCCCGAGAGGGAGAGTGAGGGTTTATTCCCGACAGGGAGAGTGACCACTACGTAGGTTTTTATTCATCAAGAATTGGAATCCCTCCCTTCTTGTCTACTTCCTCTATTTTATAATGTAAGTCTTTCTAACATTGCATATATTTATATAAATGTTAATGAATCTAAACACATGAAACAAAACAGAGGGAGTATGTTATTTCACCGTCTTTACCGACCACCAATAAGACCTTTATTTTATATAAAAAAGTTCATTATTCAAAATTAATTACTTTGGAGGGATCCAAAGTACAATATTTTAAACGAAAAGACTAGGAATTTTTTTTCACCTAGTACCCCTGTTTAATTTAGATTTATGTTAAACCCGGCACGGTCCTATCCTGGATAAATAGTGACCGTTAGATCATGATGAGCGGCCCAGATCGAAGAGGATAATCTACGGCAGCATTTTTACATAAAAGACCCTTTGTTATCATCTAGTCCTCGATTAGGTCGGACGGGAGAGAGAGAAAAGTCAAAGACCCTAGCGAGGAGCCGGAGCTCCGGCGATTGACAGCGGTTGCGCCGTCGTCGCCATGGCCGCAGAGTTCCCGAAGGATGTGAGGCGAGGCGGCACGCCGGCAGCGGTAACGAGAGGACGGGTGGAGCCTGACGGCAGGGCTGCCTCTGCATCTGGCTGCCTAATGAGACGATCTGAAGGAAGACGACGGCCATGGCGACATCTCCTGAAGATAACCTCGGTGGGACGACAGGGTCATTTGCCTAGTTCAAAAGCATACTGATACTGAACCAATCAACCAATGATCATGACAAACCAGGAAGAAATTCAGCAAGTGCAACAAGGATTCCTGACTGTTCAGAAGTTCCAAGTGTCAACAGCAATTCTGCAGATCATCATCATCCAAAAAATGAGAAAGGTAACAAAGTTATCTACTGCTGTTTATAACCTCAAACACATGAATGCCACTGTGGTTTATCCCAACCCTAAGTGGAGAAGCCCAACCAATTCGCTAATGCACTTATACAACAGCAGAGGAATATACAGTGTAGTTCATCGGTAGGCTTCTTCCTGGAGCTAATACAAATAGACTTTTTTACTATGCTTCTTCCTGGAGCTAATACAAGCAGGCAGTAGTACAAGTTTTTACATGGGGGAGCATCTTTCTTCTAATATGATCTGCTTCACCATGGTAGAAACTAACAGTTCTGAAGGCCGATAAGGGAATTGTCCTGCCCTTTTTTTGTTCAAAAAACTTCTGAAGGCGCTCATGTGCTCTTTGTCATTGCTGAGCGGAGGCGAGAATACAGTGAGGTATTTCGCATGATAAGATAGACGATGAATGCAAGGTAAACTGCCAATACAACGCACAAGCTTGACCGAACCAATGCTCCCCGGACTTCAGTGGCATAGAAGGACAGTATAAGATACCCATTGATGAGCATCAAGAATACTGTAACAATCCAGCTAATCACCTAAGTATAAGCAAAGATAAAGTTAACAGCCTACCCTTGCAAAAACATATATATTCAGGTTTTCTTTTCTCATCTGAATACAGATATGCTGTTAAACAACCAAAGCCGACCAAATAAATCTACAGTTGATTAAGAGGTTGGTGAATGGTGAACTATATACTGAAAAAAAGTTTATATAGATGTAAGAAGGTAGGATAGCATAGACAAACATATATGAGATGGATTTCAGCTTCAAGGCTAACAGCTTAATGGAATAAAACATTGAAGAATCATGTTCATGCATATCAATTTAATCACCTACAGAAACAATGATCTGAAACTAAGGAACTGTTGTCGATGATTATGAAAATGAAAACCTTTTATTCGTTCAGTTTCATCAGATGACAAAAACTTAATAATAAGATCACATGACCTAAAACAGCAAATGGAGTTCAATACTAGTTAAATTATCTGCCAACATGAGACATATGATAAAGAAATATTAAAGGGAAAACTTACTTTTGTGATAGGACCAACCACAAATGATCCCATGACTTGCTCCTTTGAGACAAGTGTGATGAGAGGAATCAGTGCAAATGGTATCTGTATGGATTGAAGAACATTGAGTGCCTCATTCAGAATGTCCATTGTAGGATCCTCCGTGTCAAAAAATAAAGCCACAATCATAGTTGGAATAATTGCAAAGCTTCGAGTAATCATTGCTCTTAACCACTTCTTCAACCGAAGATTAAGGAAGCCTCCCATAACAAATTGGCCTGCATATGTGCCAGTAATAGTGCTACTCTGTCCAGATGCTAACAGCCCAATAGCCCAGATATACAGTATAGGAAAGAATGCAGTCCCATATTTCTGCTGTAAGTACTGTCCAGCATTCTCAAGACCTATACCATCAGCTTGTTCAGATCCATAAAATCCTTTCGCAAAAACTGTTGTGACACAGATGTTAATAAAGAACGAGACAATGAGGGCAAGAATGGACTCAATGTTGTAATAGAACACTGCTTCTTGAACACGGGATTTCTTGTTTGTGTCAATCTTCCTTGACTGCACTAGTGCTGAGTGCAAGAAGACATTGTGGGGCATGATTATGCAGCCCACAATTCCAACTGCTTGTTTGATTGTCCTTGAACTCAACTTTGGAACCACCAAACCTAGATAAAGAAAAGAAAAGAGAGAGAATAAACTCTTCGACTTCTCAAGGCTGCAAGATAAGCAAAAGTATTTGCAAACAAGTCAGCTTGAATACCAATCAGAAGCTCCTTGCCACTTGGCTTTGTTTCACCAAACATAATTGCAAATGATACTGCCATGACTGCAATCAGGACTCCGAAAAATGCTTCCAATTTTCTCACTCCATAGTTCTCCAGGAATAAAAAGATGAAGCTGGCATCAATAACACGTCATGTAAGCCAAACAAATGTCAATTTTATTGGACAGTTCCCAATCATATAACAAAACAGACAATTTGTCAGCACATAAACAAAGTAAAGGCTAAGTCAAAATAGAGAATCATTGAATAACACTACAGCAGAAACAGACAGGAAAATGTTGTCTCTTTATTAGTCATCCCGATTTTTAATATGATTTGTTCCTTTCATCGTTACTAGCTTCATACCCAAACATCCCTATCTAGTAGTCAATAAAATTCAAAACTAGGGGCCTAACCAGGGAAGACGATAAGCACTAAGTAGAAGTGTACGGACAATACATAAGGACATGCCCTTAGATTAATCAACAATCCCAGGTCTCTTAACTGAATATAAATTAGAAGTATTAAACCAAACAATAAACGTGCATTATCGTCTGACCGAGCGACTCCCAGGACATCTGGGACCATTACAGTTTTTAAGCATTCCGCGACCACCAAACATGGCTTTGATGACAAAACCAACAGAAAAACGTCTCCAAGAAAAGAGCAAGCGGCAACAAAAATAATTACTACAACGCAACATAATACCGTCAGCAAGTAGCACGGAATTGATCGAAAAGAAGCAGAGGAAAAACTGGAGTTTCGTCTAAATTTTAGCTCCCAAGAAGGAATTCTGAAGATGAATGCAAAGGTAGCCATCATCACACTAACCAAAATAATAATAATAACTGGGGGAACAAACAATGGAAGTGAATAGTCCCACTCAAAATGGATTCGCCACAAGGGCAACTCACCAAAAAGACACGAACTTTATTTACTCACCTAACGATTAACGATTGGCGGGACCAAAGAAAGGAAGGGAAGCGATCGAAGGACAGGAGGAGGAAAGGGAAAGAACGGAAGCGAGGTTTCTGCTCTCTCCTGAGATGCCATCGGGAAGAGTCCAACACGAGAACGAACAAACAATACTCGCTGTGTCAATCGAGAGACCAACAGGATCGACGAAAACACATCGAATTACAGTCTTTTAGTTCAAAAACGGGAAAAGAACAAGGGCAGCGATGAAGAGCAAACAGAGCGTCCAATTTAACCAATAAGAAAGCAACGAACTCTCCTATCCAAGAAAGGAACTCCTTGCCAGTCAAGAAAAAAAAAAACCGATGAACTTACTCGCAAATTCTACTCGCCGCAGGTAAGAAAGGAAATCCTAATCAGTTAAACGATATCGATGTCATACTCGCAAATTCTACTCGCCGCAGCTCCAAACCAAAACATGAACCAAGCAAACTCGGGGCTGTATACTATGATCAGCAATAAACTGAAAAAGGAAATCTAGGAATTTTCTGTGAACAAGACCAACGGGGTAAGGACAAAAAGGAAAGCCTCGTTCGTTCCCAACACCCACCAATCGAACGCGGTGATGACGACGCCGCCCCAGAGCGGGACGGTGCCAGCGGAGAGGATCTTGATGGCAATCGCGCTGCCAATCACCTCCTGGATGTCCGCGCCGACGAGCGCGAGCTCGGTCATGGCCCAGAGCGCGCGCGTGGCCCAGGGCGGGTACTCCTCCCTGCAGAGCTCGGCGAGGTGCTTCCCCGTGGCGACCCCGAGCCGCGCGGAGAGCAGCTGCACCAGGGCGCCCATGACCGTCGCCCACAGCAGCAGCCACAGCAGCTGGTACCCCGCCGCCGCGCCGGCCTGCAGGTCGCCCTCCAGGTTCCCCGGGTCGAGGAACGCGATGCACATGAGGAACCCGGGCCCCGTGAACCGCCACAGCTTGCGCCACGAGAAGGCCGGGCGCATGGCGTCGCCGCCGCCGCCGCCGCCGTCCTCCGAGTCGGAGTCCGAGACGGCGATGGAGACCTTGTCGTCGGAGTCGTACGCGCGCTCGTCGTACTCGTCGTGGGCGGTGGCGGTGGCGGTGGCGGTGGCGGCGCCGCCCCCCACGGGGAGGAGGCTCTCGGCGAGGTCGCGCGACGCCATGGTGGGGGGGAGTGCGGCGACGGCGAGGTGGGCGAGCGAGTGGGAAGAAATGGATGGGTCAGGACTCAGGAGGGAGGTTAGGATGGGAAGTTGTGCTCTCTGGACTCTAGGAGTGGTTGTTTTTCTAAGATAACAAGTATAGTGGCCCGCGCAGATTGCGCGGCTAGCATCATTATATTTTCTCTCATATAATAGCATATATGTTTTCTCATTATATTATTCAAATATATTAAAATGACAACATAATTTTAAATTTTACAATAACTTTACAAAACTACTAATGTGTAATGTTTATATTATATTTTATATACGTGTTAGTTATTAATTATTTTTAATATCAAATTTTAGTTATTTGTAAATTATATATATTCCTATATGGACTCTAGACTCGTCTTTTAATATTTCTTTTTTTAATTCATTTTTATTTATGAATTTTTATTATTTCTAATTGTATTTCTATGTGGACTCTAAACTCATCTTTCAATATTCTTTAATTTTTAATTTCGAATTTCAGTTGCTTCTAAATTATATTCCAATATTTGTATTCCTATATTGACCTTAAATTCTTCTTCCAATGTTTTTCTTAATTTTGAATTTTAGTTATTTGTAAATTGTATTTTTATACAGACTCTAAACTCTACTTTTAATTTTATTATGTTTATTCCAAATTTTAGTTAGTTTTAAATTCCTATATGGACTCTATACTCTACTTCTAATATTCCTTATTTTTTTAATTCCGAATTTCTATTTTTTTTTCTAAATTGTATTTCTATATATACTCTATACTTTACTTCTAATATTCCTTATTTTTAATTCCGAATTTATATTATTTCCTAATTGTATTTCTATATGTACTCTATACTCTACTTCTAATATTCCTTATTTTTAATTCCGAATTTCAGTTATTTCCTAATTGTATTTCTATATGAACTCTATACTCTACTTCTAATATTTCTTTTTTTTTAATTCTGAATTTCAGTTATTTCCTAATTGTATTTCTATATGGACTCTAGTCTCCTCTTCTAATATTCCTTTTTTTCATTCCGAATTTCAGTTATTTCCTAATTGTATTTCTATATAGACAGACTCTAGTCTCCTCTTCTAATATTCCTTTTTTTAATTCTGAATTTCAACTATTTCTAAATTGTATTTCTATATGGACTCTAGTCTCCTCTTCTAATATTCCTTATTTTTTAATTCCGAATTTCAGCTATTTTTAAATTGTATTTCTATATGGACTCTGTCTTTTCTTTTTCTCCGATTAATGTGAGAATTTCTAGGCCATGAGAGCGAACTTGGAGGTTCCTTTTTCTATTCCTTTAATTATATATTTAATTCCAAATTTCTTTGTAAATTGTATTTCTATATGGACTCTAGTCTCCTCTTCTAATATTTCTTATTTTTAATTCCGAATTTCAGCTATTTTTAAATTGTATTTCTATATGGACTCTGTATTTTCTTTTTCTCCGATTAATGTGAGAATTTCTAGGCCATGAGAGCGAACGTGGAGGCTCCTTTTTCTATTCCTTAAATTCTATATTTAATTCTGAATTTCTATTTTTTCCTAATTGTATTTCTATATGGATTATATAGTCTACTTCTAATATTCCTTATTTTTAATTCCGAATTTCAGTTATTTCCTAATTGTATTTCTATATGGAGTCTATACTCTACTTCTAATATTTCTTATTTTTAATTCCGAATTTCAGGTATTTTCTAATTGTATTTCTATATGGACTCTAGTCTCCTCTTCTAATATTCCTTATTTTTTAATTCCGAATTTCAGCTATTTGTAAATTGTATTTCTATATGGACTCTAGTCCCCTCTTCTAATATTCCTTATTTTTAATTCCGAATTTCAGCTATTTGTAAATTGTATTTCTATATGGACTCTGTTTTTTCTTTTTCTCCGATTAATGTGAGAATTTCTAGGCCATGAGAGCGAACGTGGAGGCTCCTTTTTCTATTCCTTTAATGGACTCTAGTCTCCTCTTCTAATATTTCTTATTTTTAATTCCGAATTTCAGCTATTTTTAAATTGTATTTCTATATGGACTCTGTATTTTCTTTTTCTCCGATTAATGTGAGAATTTCTAGGCCATGAGAGCGAACGTGGAGGCTCCTTTTTCTATTCCTTAAATTATATATTTAATTCTGAATTTCTATTTTTTCCTAATTGTATTTCTATATGGACTATATAGTCTACTTCTAATATTCCTTATTTTTAATTCCGAATTTCAGTTATTTCCTAATTGTATTTCTATATGGAGTCTATACTCTACTTCTAATATTTCTTATTTTTAATTCCGAATTTCAGGTATTTTCTAATTGTATTTCTATATGGACTCTAGTCTCCTCTTCTAATATTCCTTATTTTTTAATTCCGAATTTCAGCTATTTGTAAATTGTATTTCTATATGGACTCTAGTCCCCTCTTCTAATATTCCTTATTTTTAATTCCGAATTTCAGCTATTTGTAAATTGTATTTCTATATGGACTCTGTTTTTTCTTTTTCTCCGATTAATGTGAGAATTTCTAGGCCATGAGAGCGAACGTGGAGGCTCCTTTTTCTATTCCTTTAATTATATAATAGATTTTATACTCGGTTTTTTATATTTATCTTAATCAAATTTCTTTAGATTTGGCTAAATTTATAGAAAAAAATAGTACCATGTCCGTTCCAAAATATAAGAACAACCGAATGGGACATTTTCTAGGATGTGGATTTTCATTCCTTGAGAGGATATCCCCTCATTGTTTGCATGTCATTTAAATAGTTATAAAAAAAATTGACAACATATATTAATACGAAATATATCACTCTCCAAACATGTTAAACTGAAAATAGTTATCGCACATTCGCCGCTATATTTATTATTTTATTACAACTTGTAGAAGTTGAATCTAAGCTTGCATGTTTGTAGACTGATATATTTCATATTAATCTATTTTGCCAATTTGTTCATATTTTTTATGACTATTTAGGTGGCATGTGTACCCCATTTCCTAGTAGTCTGTCCAGATTCGTGGTAATAAAAAATATCACATCTAGTTCTTGGTTATTATATTTTGGGACGGATGAAGTAATATTTATAACACCAAATTAGTTTTATTAAATTTAAAATTGAATATATTTTGATATATGTTTGTGTTTATATTTGAAATGTAAAATATTTTTCTATAAACCTGATAAAACTTTAAAAAAATTGACTAAGAAAAAAGTTAAATGACTTATAATATGATGCGAAGGGAGTACTTTTTTAACCGCAACTAATAACATTTAATATATTAGAACTAAGGGACGAGCTATAAAAAAATTAGGGATAAAACATGGGATCTGATGGTTATCTATGCAAACTACACTCGCGAGCTTGGTGCACGTGGTGAGAGGAGAGGATGAAAGGAGCACGACTTCTCTTTTAAGCTAGTAGAGAAACATCCAAAATCAAGTAAAAAAAGAAAACACTAGCCAAGTTTTTGATAGAAAGATATGTTTTTAAAAATCAAGAAATTAAAAATATAGCATTTGCAAATATTTAAATGTAACTAGGCAAAGTATTTGTATTGTATTAAAATATGGTACCAGGTGCTTTTTAAAGATTTTATTTTTAGATGCATACACCATCATTCCATAAAAAATGAACCAGTGCTAGAGCAAGTATGACTGCATGAGTAATCGAGTACTACTGTCTATATTTAAATTCTGTCGTCAGATTGTACTTGGTATACGGAAGCATTCTAATTAAACAATACTAGCCCTTTTGTGTTGACATTGGACTATAAATTGGGCTATTATCCCATTGGATAATATCTTGGGTACACTTCCTATATCTTTGAAAGTTCTTGAGAGCTCAGACTCGTTCAGAAAAATCTGATCCGTTAATGCTTGTTTGCATCGGTTGTTTTTCATTACCTTTTTTTTTCTCACTTTTTCTGTTCTATTTTCGCGGTGATGCATCGGTTGTTGACAACGTCAAAAGCAGCAAATTTATGATCGCTTGATCAGCGGGAGGACGATCCCTCTCGCGTAGCATTTTCGCCCATGATCTAACGAATTTTGGCGGCTCTATTAATTGCTAGTCGAGGTAGATGATTCTACGAAGATAGTGATGGATTCGTATAATCGTATTACTAGATAGTAGTAAAAATTTTAGATACCCATGTACTGATGTACATATTGGATGGTAGCAAATAGTGCTTTAGCGCCGTATCGTTTTCACCGTGGATAATTTGGGGGCAAAGGTAGATCGTTAAACCCTTTATTCTAGTTAATTATCAGGACAAGGACTCGATGAGCAAATTGTCTTTGGGAGTTCGCTTTTCCTTGCCAAGAACAAAAGTGAGTGTAGAATAGATCGAATTTCAGAGTGTAGAATAGATCGGTCGAGAACGCAAGACCTCTCCTTTTTCCGCACCTTTTTCTCTCGCTTTAATCGTGCGTTCCACCGGGCATCAACAGACAGCACCACTCGGCTGACGAATCCACGTTGCTGACTCACTGTGTGTCTACGTTCATCAGCTGTCCATATTTTTCAATAATGTGAAAGGGCTTATTTAGAAATAATAATCTCTCTGTTTCAGTTTATACGACGTTTTGACTTTGGTCAAAATCAAGCTACTTTAAGTTTAACCAAGTTTGTAGAAAAAATTAGTAACATTTTCAACTCAAGACAAATTTATTATAAAAATATATTCAGTTATTGATTTGATAAAACTAATTTAGTATTACAAATATTACTATATTTATATATAAACTTAGTTAAACTTGAAACAGTTTGCCTAAAACGGAGGGAGTAGTTAACTAGCATAGTAGTCCGCGATATTGCGCGGCTAGCATTGTTATATTTTTTCCTTATATAATAGCTTAAATATTTTCATACGTTATTATTAAAATGTATTAAAAATAGCAACACAATTTTGAATTTTGTATTGTATCGATAGTTATTAATTATTTTCGAATTTTGAATTTTACTCATTTCTATATTGTATCGTATCCCTATATGTTTTCTAGACTCTTCTCTCAATTTTGCTTGTTTTCTAAATTTAAATT